TGATAAAGCTACCCATTTCATTATGTATGAGGTCAATTTTTTTTTATTAGAGTTAAAATTAACGTAGATATATGACCTAACCTAACCAACCCTACCTAACCTAACCTAACCTATCTTTATAGGTTAGGTTAGGTTAGGTAGCGGAAAAAGTTAGGTTAGGTTAGGTTAGGTAGGTTAGGTTGCCGAAAAACAATTAATTCATGAAAACTTGGCTTATTAGGCAAATCGGGCCTTGCATAGTAGGCTGAGAAGTGCGTTCTGGCTACTAGGTACGACATATATATATATATATATATATATATATATATATATATATATATATATATATATATATATATATATATATGTCGTACCTAGTAGCCAGAACTCACTTCTCAGCCTACTATTCAAGGCCCGATTTGCCTAATAAGCCAAGTTTTCCTGAATTAATATATTTACTATAATTTTTTTCTTATGAAATGATAAAGCAACCCTTTTCTCTATGTATGAGGTCAATTCTTTTTTATTGGAGTTAAAATTAACGTAGATATATGACCGAACCTAACCAACCCTACCTAACCTAACCTAACCTATATTTATAGGTAAGGTTAGGTTAGGTAGCCAAAAAAAGCTAGGTTAGGTTAGGTTAGGTAGGTTAGGTAGACGAAAAAACATTAATTCATGAAAACTTGGCTTATTAGGCAAATCGGGCCTTGAATAGTAGGCTGAGAAGTGCGTTCTGGCTATTAGGTACGACATATATATATATATATATATATATATATATATATATATATATATATATATATATATATATATATATATATATATATATATATATATATATAATTATTCATGTTATTCTATTATTCCTGCTCTTGATAACATGTTTACCATTCAGAAAAAAAATATTACTGGAACATGTACTTATTCATTTATTTTGGAAACAATATAATGAATATAATAAATGTTTGGAAGCCTATATATATATATATATATATATATATATATATATATATATATATATATATATATATATATATATATATATATATATATATATATATATATATATATTATATATAACACATATAACAGACATATATTATTAAATATGACCGAAAAAGTAAGATTAATAATTCTAACACGAATTTTCTCGATCTTTCTTACGTTTCTTTTCACTGTTGATGGTAATTGAAAGATCAATTCTCCAAAATTCATTTTTATTTCTAGTCTGACGCGACACTTGAGCGCGTTTCGTAAAACTTATTACATTTTCAAAGACTTTAGTTTACACAAACACACACAACTTTTAACTGAATAGAGCTTAAACATCTTTCGAGTTTTTATACCTACATTTGGGTGAAGTGACATGTTACGATAGTTTTTGGATGAGGTGAAAATAAACTTTTTAACACAAGACAGAACACGAAACAATGAAACAGGTATTAAAAGTAGGTAACTGCAGAAGGCCTATTTTTATTGGCCCATATTTCTTGATGCTTCAATATTGGAGCGGAGTCTTGAAGTGGGTAGAATATAGTTGAGCATTAATTGGCTGTTGATTGCTGGTGTTGACTTCTTGATGTGTAGTGCCTCGCAGACGTCGAGCCGCCTGCTGTCGCTGTATCTATCGATGATTTCTGTGTTGTTTGCTAAGATTTCTCTGGTGATGGTTTGGTTGTGGGAAGAGGCTATATGTTCCTTAATGGAGCCCTGTTGCTTATGCATCGTTAAACGCCTGGAAGCACCTCCCAGGAAGCAGCCCGTGACAGCTAACTAACACCCAGGTACCTATTTTACTGCTAGGTAACAGGGGCATAGGGTGAAAGAAACTCTGCCCATTGTTTCTCGCCGGCGCCTGGGATCGAACCCAGGACCACAGGATCACAAGTCCAGTGTGCTGTCCGCTCGGCCGACCGGCTCCCTATCTACACTACATGTGTGCGCGTGTGGGCGCGAGCCCCCGCGCCTGCACACGAGGCATGAACTAACCATAGATATTAATATTACCTCCGGGGTGGGGGTGGGGGAGGGGGGTGGGGGATGTATAAAACAGCAGAAGGCTCTGGTAAGGCTCTTGGGGGCTCTCGGACATCTCTCTTAAGAGCTCAACATATAACAATCGTCCGTTATTGGTAGCGATGGGCGCCTGTCGCCCAAGGGGGAGCGCTCCTAGGGGTCAATATTCCCTCCGGAATCCCTAGGATTTGCGGCCGTGCTGCATTCTGGGGTGTGGCGCTGTTGTGCCCGCCCTGGCGACGGTTCGAGGGGCGTCGCGGGCCTATACGAGAACGCGGAGGGGCGTTATCACAGAGGGGGGGGGGGGGGGGGAAGGGGGGTTCGGACGGCGTAATGAATTACAATGTGAGGTAATGGAGCCATGGGACAGGGGTTTGTGGGTTGGGGGGGGGGGGGGTTGGTCCCTTTTACCTTACCTCCCCCCTCTACCCCCCGCTCAACCCCAGCCGCCCCCTCCCTCTACTTGCGCTTCCGGGGGGCTTTAGTCCCGCCTCTCAACTGTCAGTCAACCGGTGTGATTGACGGCGGGACCAAAGAGCCGAAGCTCAACTCCCGCATGCACAACTAGGTGAGTACACACACACACACACACACACACACACACACACACACACACACACACACACACACACACACACACACACACACACACACACACACACACACACACACCACAAATCCCATCAATGAACTAATCAAACCACAGTATCACTATATACCCACCACAACAGCTCCCTGGGTCAGGGCTGGCCTACGGTACTGCCGCAATAAATCCTAGTTACTATCGTACACAACATGAGGGGGGGGGGAGGGAAGGAAGGGGGAGGGGGATGGGTTTGGGGAGAAGGAGGAGGGGGGGGGTGGGGATGGGTGGTGGGGGGGTCGCCGCCCCTCATAATCTATGACGTCTCAGTCCGTGACCGCAGACAGCTGGCCAAGGCGAAGGTTCAGCAGGGCGTCCTGACAGCTGGGTGGACGGCGTTTCGGACTCGTAGTCCTGAGGTTCCGGGATCGATCCCCGGTGGAGGCGGAGACAAATGGGCAAAATGTTTCCTTCACCCTGATTTACACTTGTTACCTAGCAGTAAATAGGTACCTGGGAGTTAGTCAGCTGCTACGGGCTGCTTCCTGGGGAGGGGGTATAACAAAAAGAAGGCCTGGTCGAGGACCGGGCCTCAGGGACGCTAAGCCCCGAAATCATCTCAAGATAACACATAACTTTGGCACAGGTTTTATTTGCATATTTTCAAAAATTGGTCTCGACCAGTTTTTCCGTTGGATTTAAATTTCTCTCCCACATGGAGTTCCTTTATTTAATAATGTCTTCTCGACGCTACTGTAAAACCGTACCTATCCCGTTTTCCATTAAATTGCATTGATTTAGAAAATGTAAGGAAAACTATTTCATTTGTCCAGATGGAGTTAATGAGTGAAGTGTTTACAGAGGTGATGTAGGGGGGGTGGGGTTATCTTGAGGTTATCTTGAGATGATTTCGGGGCTTTTTAGTGTCCCCGCGGCCCGGTCCTCGACCAGGCCTCCACCCCCAGGAAGCAGCCTGTGACAGCTGACTAACACCCAGGTTCCTATTTTACTGCTAGGTAACAGGGGGGGGGGGGGGGCACAGGGTGAAAGAAACTCTGCTCATTGTTTCTCGCCGGCGCCTAGGATCGAACCCAGGACCACAGGATCACAAGTCCAGCGTGCTGTCCGCTCGGCCGACCGGCTCCACCGGATCATAGGGGGAGGATTAGGCTGTAGGGGTCGTGCGAATGATGGAAGTGAGGCTACGAGTGGTGAGGAGAGAGTGTGAGGAGACTGGGGTTGAGTGAGGGGGGGAAGAGATGATGTTGTGAGGGTTGAGTGAGGAGTTATGAGGTTGTGAGGGACAGGGCGGGCGTGGTTGAGGGGACGATTGATTTGAGCCACAAATTGATTTAAGTTTTTTTCCGGACGGAACTGCACCGCGTATCGCCCAATTGGGCTCGATTGTCCACAGCCTTTTATGAGCCTTTATGTTGGGGGTTTGGTCTAACACTAGTAGAGCCACTTCCTGAACCCCCCCCCCATGTGGTGTAACTTTGCTCAAAGTTACGGGTTGACGGCTAATTCTGTCCTACCATTGTTAAAGTTTCAGCTACAACAATCCTACAATTTGTCTCACTAAAGGCCTACTGTGTGCTCAAAGGGCACAAGGAAAAAAATCAATTATATTAGCGATTCTCAATAAGTTTTGTGGGGTGGAGGCCAATGGAGCCTCGTGTGTTGCTGCCTTGCTGGTGATGGCTACTTTCTGTATTATGCCCGGTGTTTGAATGATTAGTTTGTCTGTTATTCTCTCTGAAACACACACACACACGCCTGGTGGATAGCGCGCAGGTCTCGTAATTCTGTGGCGCGGGTTCGATTCCCGCACCAGGCAGAAACAAATGGGCAAAGTTTCTTTCACCCTGAATGTTCCTGTTACCTAGCAGTAAATAGGTACCTGGGAGTTAGTCAGCTGTCACGGGCTGCTTCCTGGGGTGTGTGTGTGTGTGTGTGTGAGTGTGGTGTGGAAAAAAAAGTAGTTAATTGACAGTTGATTTAAGCTATTTGAACTACTTCCCCGCGGGGAAGTGGTTCAAATAGCTTCGGCTATCACTTCCTTATGTCCGGTCGTGATGACCAAGCGGATTAAGGCGTCCTGTACATACCAGTTGCGTTGCTCCTGGCAATATGGGTTCGAGTCACTTCTGGGGTGTGAGTTTTCAGTTGCATATAGTCCTGGGGACCATTCAGGCTTGTTCGCATATATGTGTGTGTGTGTGTAGTCAAACTCCTATATATATAAATTTTACCAGACAGTTACCTTCTGATCACCGAGCAGCTAATCGCTCAACAACTGATCACTCTAACCGCTGTCCAGTCAAGGAGGTGACGCATCACATCCTCTGAAGATAAGGATGAGCCTTATCTAGAGATAACGGATATAGAGCCAGTGTGGAAGACGACGGTCCTGACCTATCTTCCACTTAGTACGTCTTTGTACGTCTTAGTACACCTCTGTACCTCACCTCGACGACATGTCGAGCTCTCATCTCCTGCTACTAGTCCTCCTGTGTCTCCTCGTCTCTCACCTCTCCCTGGCTTCCCCGCGACGAAGAGGACGAGCCAGGGCTCAAGAGGAAGAGGAAGATCAGCTTCCTAGCGAAGAGCAAGAGGAAGACCAGCTTTCTAAGGAGGAGGCGGAGGCGGAATGGGGTCTGTTGCCCGAGGAAGTGGACGCCTTTAGAGACGTCTTAATTAACCTGATGGATGTTTTTGACGACGGTCATGGCACCTCGAGCAAGGTAAGAGTGAAGAGGTGTATAAGGAGAAAGACTTGTGCCAAAGGGAACTATCAGGGGAAAGCGCCAAGCCAATTACGACTATATAGTATTTACGACTTGTGCCAAAGTGATTGCACTCTAATGACAAAAGGATTATTGTTGATATGATTCTATTCACTTGGGTTCTAGGGGACTCGAACTGCGGACCCTCCTACACACACACACGTGTGTGGCCGAAGCTCTGTCGATCGAGCTATTGAGTGGTCTTAATAAGGAAAGTTTGCAGATGCAGCATCCTTTTTTTGATGACCAGACCACACACTAGAAATTGAAGGGACGACGACGTTTTGGTCCGTCCTGGACCATTCTCAAGTCGATTGAGAATGGTCCATCCTTTTATTTAAATTATTATATATACTCTTTACGGTTATGTCAAAGTTGTTGCTTAGAATTCAAGTAAATTCTTTATTTTTTTAATATTTAAACATTAATTTCAATTTAATAAGCAAATTTGATCTTCGAGGAAAAAAAAAGATTCAAAATTATTTCTGGCATCAATTTCACGGAGCTGTGATATCTTGGGCTGTTGTGGCATGCAGAGCAACTCAACACGTAGGGTACGTTGTTGTTGTTGTTGTTTTTTCAGATTTAGCTACTCAGAACGAACGAAGTGTCCATGTAGCACGGGCTATGGCGAGCCCGTAATTGAGTTCGGTTATTCGCGGTAACCTTGTTGCTGTGATCGTAGGGTACGCTTGTGAGAGACTATATAGCTTCCCGTCTGGTGGTCATGAAACATTCGAACACAGAAGAATTCCATCCGAATATTCGAAGAATTCGATCTTTTGGGATCACGTAGGTGGATTTAAGGCAAGAAACGTCGTTTGCTTGAGGCAAGAAACGTCGTTTGTTTGAGGCAAGATACGTCGTTTGTTTGAGGCAAGATACGTCGTTTGTTTGAGGCAAGAAACGTCGTTTGTTTGAGCCAACAAAACGTCGTTTGTTTGAGCCAACAAAACGTCGTTTGTTTGAGGCAACAAAAGGTCGTTTGCTTGAGGCAAGAAACGTCGTTTGCTTGAGGCAAGAAACGTCGTTTGCTTGAGGCAAGAAACGTCGTTTGCTTGAGGCAAGAAACGTCGTTTGTTTGAGCCAACAAAACGTCGTTTGTTTGAGCCAACAAAACGTCGTTTGTTTGAGCCAACAAAACGTCGTTTGTTTGAAGCAAAAAAGTAGTTTGCTTGAGTTGTGACGTGTTGAACCAGCCTACATCCTTCTATAACGATAAGTGCTGATAGTAACCATCTGGTCGACAGGTCGAAATATATAGTGATGGACCACCAGAAAACCCCATTTTGTATTATTAATTTATAAATAAAGCCCGACAAAAAAAAATAAAGCAGCCATAGACTACCCTGATTCGAGATCCAAATGTTTAAGTTCAGTAGACAGGCATTCGGTGAATTAAATGAACAAACCCACAAGGGGCCGTGACGAGGATTCGAACCTGCGTCTGGGAGCATCGCAGATACTGCCTTAATCGACTGAGCTACGACATAGTATAAGAATTACAACCAAAAATTCTACTGAATTTACTTGGCAGCATCTGGGATGCTCTCAGACGCAGGTTCGAATCCTCGTCACGACCCCTTGTGGATTTGTTCATTTGATGCATCACTCTATTGTGATTTCAGTGTATAATTCGGTGAATTATTTTTCCTTAATTATAGGCTGAAGAGACAGATCATTTCATAACGTATTGCATGGCTATCCTGTCTTATCTTATCTTTATTATCATAAGATGGTTCGTTCTAGTTGAAGAGCGTCCCAGTATATATAGTTTACTAACAAATAAATGTTGACAAACCCATTTTCAGGGCAAATGGAGGGGGGGGGACATTTGACAAGCCGCTGGCGTCCTGTCCTCGTCGAGGTCACTAGTGTTAGTGGCTCTCAGTTAAATAAACAAATCAATACATAGATCAACTTTGGAATTATAAAGATGAGTTTCACTCCTGTTCTTGTTCAATAATTCTTACCATCATTCAGATTAATACTGTTATGATAATTTACTTTTCTGTGACACTGTTGATGTTGTTGTTATAGATTCAGCTACTCGGAACAAGTTCCAAGTAGCACGGGCTATGGTGAGCCCGTAACGTACTTGGCACATGAGCGGGGCAAGTAGCACGGGCTATGGTGAGCCCGTAACGTACCTGGCACAGGAGCGGGGCAAGTAGCACGGGCTATGGTGAGCCTGTAGTAGACTTACCTGGCACAGGAGCTGGGCACGTAGCATGGGCTATGGTGAGTCCGTAGTGGACTTACCTGGCACAGGAGCGGGGCAAGTAGCACGGGCTATGGTGAGCCCGTAGTGGACTTACCTGGCACAGGAGCGGGGCAAGTAGCACGGGCTATGTTGAGTCCGTAGTGGACTTACCAGGCACAGGAACGGTGCAAGTAGCACGGGCTATGGTGAGCCCATAGTAGACTTACCTGGCACAGGAGCGGGGCACGTAGCATGGGCTATGGTGAGCCCGTAGTGGACTTACCTGGCACTGGAGCGGTGCAAGTAGCACGGGCTATGGTGAGCCCGTAGTGGACTTACCTAGCACAGGAGCAGTGCAAGTAGCACGGGCTATGGTGAGCCCGTAGTAGACTTACCTAGCACAGGAGCGGTGCTGTGGAGACTGTTGATAAAATGTTTATTTTTACACAGAGGGCACAAGAGAAAGTACCATTCCTGGGAATGGGGAGAGAGAGAGAGTACCATTCCCAAATAATTTCTTTCTTGGAATTACATCTCCCCCAAATATCGAGTAAAGGCGTGATCAAATTTTCTTTCCATTCCCGTTGTTATCTCTCCGAACGGTTCGTAATTGCTCCATGAAATTGGGATTGATCGGAGTGAACGAGAAGACAGACAGACCAGGCCTAGAGACACTTCAAGATGTTATATACGACCACAGACCGAAGTTTAAGACATGCAAGAGGCGGCATGTTCAGTAGCCCCGCAAGACCAAACACCACATTCACTCCAAACATCTACCACCTATACGGGCTACTCATGCCCGTGCATCCTCTTGTGGTGGATTAATCCTCATCAATCAACCAAGAGACAGACGAGGGGGGGTGGGGGGAAGGGGGGGTGGAAAAATCCCGGAAAAACAGATTTGGAAATACAGCAAAAATTGCTGTATTCCTTCCACAACCAGCCCATCCTCCGAGAATGATAACACTCATGTCAACTATTCTGTGAGTGTTCAAAAATGAACTGTTGTACACGAAAAAGTTAAAGTTCTGCACTATTGGAGTGTCCTAAATTCCGTGATAAAAACTGGACACGAATCTAACCGTACGAAGGCCTCAATAAAAATTGTAGGCCTAATGTATTATGTAATGTGGTATTCTAGGCCTATTAATGTTGTTAATAGCACATGATGTGAATTTTATTGTTTGCAACAGTCGGTTTTTGTACGTTCGAGCAAACAGTTGCTGTAAGTACGACATCCTTTTTTGGGGGGTAGAAATAGCCTAAGCTACTCTATCCCTTTGAGATATATTTATTGCTTATCTCAATAAACATACTTGAACTTGATCCTTTTTTTAGAGAATGGCTTGACGAAGCCATTCCCATTTTCTGTAGATAGAGCGTTGACCATACTCTATCCTTCCCTCGCAAACTCACTGTTGTTCTACATTTTCAGGGGCTAACCATAGCCCGTGCTTCTTGCCCCGCTCCCGTGCCAGGTAAGTTACGGGCTCACCATAGCCCGCGCTCCTTGGAACTTGTTCCGAGTAGCTGAATCTATAACAACAACAATCTTAATTTTGTTGTTGTTCCCCAATAGAAGAAGAAATGTCGTGGGCGTCGGTGTGGCAGCGAGGACGAGGACGAGGAGGCCTCCATGGTGGTCATCATGGTGGAGGAGAGTGATGCTGACCCCATGGACGTGACCCTGGCCTCCCTCCTCTACGACGAGGACGCCCCCTGGGGCCGCTGCGCCAGGTCCTGCATCACGAGAAGATCTAGGTTAGTTGGGGGTGAAACACATACGAGAGGGGGGACTTTTATTTTTGCTCCAGTCTCCGTGGTGTAGTGGTAAGACACTCTCCTGGCGTTCCGCGAGCGCTATGTCATGGGTTCGTATCCTGGCCGGGGAGGATTTACTGGGCGCAATTCCTTAACTGTAGCCTCTGTTTAACGCAACAGTAAAATGGGTACTTGGATGAAAAAACAATTCTTCGCGGCAGGGGATCGTATTCCAGGGACCATAGGATTAAGGACTTGCCCGAAACGCTACGCGTACTAGTGGCTGTACAAGAATGTAACAACTCTTGTATATATCTCTAAAAAAGTTAATATATCTACGTTGTGATGACTTTCCATTTCACCTGGGTTCTATGGGAGACTCGAACTGTGAACCCCCACTCGATAGCCCAAGCTCTATCGACCGAGCTATTGAGGACTTAATAAGAACTATCTTGAGGTGATTTCGAGGCTTAGCATCCCCGCGGCCCGGTCCTCAACCAGGCCTCCTTTTTGTTACACACACCCCCAGGAAGCAGAACCCGCAGCAGCTGTCTAACTCCCAGGTACCTATTTACTGCTAAATAACTGGGGCATCAGGGGTGAAAGACACATTTTTGCCCATTTGTCTCCGCCTCCACCGGGGATCGAACCCGGAACCTCAGGACTACGAATCTGAAGCACCGTCCACCCAGCTGTCAGACTACGCAATAGTTGATTTCCATGGAAGTGTGGATGATGACTTAGTATGCAAACGATCTATAAACAGTTACAATGATCCAGTGGCATAGATGCTATACAATTACTGTCAACCCTCCCTCTGTAATATGTATAATTTCCTAAACGATGCTTTAATTTGCACAAGAGTTGTCAATACACAGAGTTATGTCTGTGTGTATCTGTGCAAGCTTATAGGTCAGACGTATAGGGTTAATCTCACTAAATTAAGAGTGTGTGGGGGTATGGGAAGGTTTAGAGGCCAGTTGGGGGTCGGCCCTAGTGCCACACTATGAAATATCGGCATCTTCCCCTCCCCCATCTTCTTCCCTGTGATTTTCATGAAGTCTGAAATATTGGTTGAGTTGTCTGAAGCTCTTTGATGTAACAATTTTGAGATTGAAACAGTGAAGGGGAGGAGGAAGAAGGGTTGAGAAGGGGAAGATGTTTAAAGGGAGGGAAGGAGAGAGGGGAGAAGTGAGAGAGAGAGAGAGAGAGAGAGAGAGAGAGAGAGAGAGAGAGAGAGAGAGAGAGAGAGAGAGAGAGAGAGAGAGAGAGAGAGAGAGAGAGAGAGAGAGAGAGAGAGAGAGAGAGAGAGAGAGAGAGAGAGAGAGAGAGAGAGAGAGAGAGAGAGAGAGAGAGAGAGAGAGAGAGAGAGAGAGAGAGAGAGAGAGAGAGAGAGAGAGAGAGAGAGAGAGAGAGAGAGAGAGAGAGAGAGAGAGAGAGAGAGAGAGAGAGAGAGAGAGAGAGAGAGAGAGAGAGAGAGAGAGAGAGAGAGAGAGAGAGAGAGAGAGAGAGAGAGAGAGAGAGAGAGAGAGAGAGAGAGAGAGAGAGAGAGAGAGAGAGAGACTAGGAGAGAGAGAGAGAGAGAGAGAGAGAGAGAGAGAGAGAGAGAGAGAGAGAGAGAGAGAGAGAGAGAGAGAGAGAGAGAGAGAGAGAGAGAGAGAGAGAGAGACAGACAGAGACAGAGACAGACAGAGACAGAGACAGACAGACAGACAGACAGACAGACAGACAGACAGACAGACAGACAGACAGACAGACAGACAGACAGACAGACAGACAGACAGACAGACAGACAGACCGACCCGGGTGCAGCCGGATACTAACTCTAGCAAGAAATATATGACAACAAAAAACAGGTTCAATAGAGGGGGTAACTCCTACAATGTCTCAGCCAGCCGCGGGTTACACTGACCCACTAATGCCATGTTATATTCCTATTCAGTTCATGTCCCAGCCTCACAGGTGTCTTAAATTCCTCCACAACTTCCAGGGACTGCAAGTACCGGACGCTGTGTGGAACAAAGCCCCTGCTGGAGGAAGCCTTCTGCTACGTCCCCGGCTCCTCCTGCGAGGACAAGGTACGAACCACAGGGGCCCAGATTCACGAAGCAGTTACGCAAGCACTTACGAACTGGAGTTAGATTCACGAAGCAGTTACGCAAGCACTTACGAACTGGAGTTAGATTCACGAAGCAGTTACGCAAGCACTTACGAACTGAAGACAGATACACGAAGCAGTTACGCAAGCACTTACGAACTGAAGACAGATACACGAAGCAGTTACGCAAGTACTTGCAAACTGAAGCCAGATTCACGAAGCAGTTACGTAAGCACTTACGAACTGAAGACAGATTCACGAAGCAGTTACGCAAGCACTTACAAACCTGTCCATCTTTTCTCAATCTTTGGCGGCTTTGGTTTACAATTATTAAACAGTTAATGAGCTCCGAAGCACCAGGAGGCTGTTTATAACAATAACAACAGATTATTGAGAGGTTTTAATGCTTGTAAACTGTTTACTATATGTAATCAAAGCCGTCAAAGATTGAGGAAAGTTGTACACGTTCGTAAAAGTACTTGCGTAACTGCTTCGTGAATCTGGCCCCAGTGTCCTAAAGTTGTTCTATGTTGGGACACAATTAAAATCCCTCTTGCTACTCACGCATTGAAACTTGTTCCCCCTTTGTTGTGTCCGGAAAGCTTGTACTTAAGCTTTTCAAGGTCCACCTTAGACCAACTATTGACCTTCATCCGCTAGGTGAACTGGTGCATCAGGTGAATGGACACGAGCCCAATTAGGTTTGTCCTGTCTCGGATCCTCGATTGTGAGCCGAGGACGTAGACTACAGTGCTACAGGGGGGGCCTAATATGACCGTGTATGGCTCGGAACAGAGTTCCCTGTTCTTAAAATACTTACACTCAACTTATAAAAAATAATCAAATAGCCTAAGCTACTCTATCCCTTTGAGATGTATTTTTTTCTTGTCTCAATGAACAGACTTGAACTTGAACTTGAAAAGATAATCAAACAGCAGACAACAAAGAGGGCGTGTTTGGGCATGAATTAGCATGCCTCTTTACTGTGGAATGATAAGACTTGCTGGAATGATAAGACTTGCTGGAATGATAAGACTTGCTGGAATGATAAGACTTGCTGGAATGATAAGACTTGCTGGAATGATAAGACTTGCTGGAATGATAAGACTTGCTGGAATGATAAGACTTGCTGGAATGATAAGACTTGCTAGAATGATAAGACTTGCTGGAATGATAAGACTTGCTGGAATGATAAGACTTGCTGGAATGATAAGACTTGCTGGAATGATAAGACTTGCTGGAATGATAAGACTTGCTGGAATGATAAGACTTGCTGGAATGATAAGACTTGCTGGAATGATAAGACTTGCTGGAATGATAAGACTTGCTGGAATGATAAGACTTGCTGGAATGATAAGACTTGCTGGAATGATAAGACTTGCTGGAATGATAAGACTTGCTGGAATGATAAGACTTGCTGGAATGATAAGACTTGCTGGAATGATAAGACTTGCTGGAATGATAAGACTTGCTGGAATGATAAGACTTGCTGGAATGATAAGACTTGCTGGAATGATAAGACTTGCTGGAATGATAAGACTTGCTGGAATGATAAGACTTGCTGGAATGATAAGACTTGCTGGAATGATAAGACTTGCTGGAATGATAAGACTTGCTGGAATGATAAGACTTGCTGGAATGATAAGACTTGCTGGAATGATAAGACTTGCTGGAATGATAAGACTTGCTGGAATGATAAGACTTGCTGGAATGATAAGACTTGCTGGAATGATAAGACTTGCTGGAATGATAAGACTTGCTGGAATGATAAGACTTGCTGGAATGATAAGACTTGCTGGAATGATAAGACTTGCTGGAATGATAAGACTTGCTGGAATGATAAGACTTGCTGGAATGATAAGACTTGCTGGAATGATAAGACTTGCTGGAATGATAAGACTTGCTGGAATGATAAGACTTGCTGGAATGATAAGACTTGCTGGAATGATAAGACTTGCTGGAATGATAAGACTTGCTGGAATGATAAGACTTGCTGGAATGATAAGACTTGCTGGAATGATAAGACTTGCTGGAATGATAAGACTTGCTGGAATGATAAGACTTGCTGGAATGATAAGACTTGCTGGAATGATAAGACTTGCTGGAATGATAAGACTTGCTGGAATGGAATAAGACTTGCTGGAATGATAAGACTTGCTGGAATGATAAGACTTGCTGGAATGATAAGACTTGCTGGAATGATAAGACTTGCTGGAATGATAAGACTTGCTGGAATGATAAGACTTGCTTTTGAATTTATAGTCAAGATAAAAACACTGGAGGGGAATTATCAAGGGAAAGCGCCAAGCTTGTTGTTGTTGTTGTTGTTGTTGTTGTTGTTGTTGTTTAAGGTTCAGCTACTGGGAACAAATAGTTCCAAGTAGCACGGGCTATGGTGAGCCCGCAGTGGACTTACCTGGCACAGGAGCGGGGCAAGTAGCACGGGCTATGGTGAGCCCGTAGTGGACTTACCTGGCACAGGAGCGGGGCAAGTAGCACGGGCTATGGTGAGCCCGTAGTGGACTTACCTGGCACAGGAATAAGGATAAGGATTTGGGATGGGACGGGGGGAAAGGAATGGTGCCCCAATCACTTGGACGATCGGGGAATGAACGCCGACCTGCATGAAGAGAGACCCCTCGCTCTACCGTCCAGCCCAAGTCAAAACACTGGATATGCCCCATACTTGGGCATGTAACTCTTCCAAGAGTTTAAGTTCTTCTTAACAGTTAAGAGCTTCAAGTTCAACAAGTACACTGTAGGAGATTAAGCAACAGATGCTTCATCACCAAGAGGGTAATAAACACATGTACTGCCTACCTCTCAAAGCCGAGGAAAAATCCACAAGGGCCGTGACGAGGATTCGAACCTGCGTCCGGGAGCATCCCAGACACTGCCTTAATCCCTTGTGGATTTGTTAATGTGATGCATCACGTTAGTGTAATCTCTGTGTGTAATCTCAAAGCCATAAATGCCAAGACATTACTTCCGTTTAAAATCCTGCTGGAAAAATCCTCTATGCACATTGACGAACCTTTGACAAGCCGCTGGCCTCCTGTTTCTGTCGAGACCACTAGAGATACCGGCCCTTAGGTAAATTCAGGTCAATTATACATTTTAATATGTTCACAAACATTTTTTTTTTTAGCATTGAAATATTCAACAGAAAACGGTAATACACACGTACAGGATGGTTGGATGGTTTAGATTCAGCTACTCTGAACGATCCATGTAGCACGGTCTATGGTGAGCCCATAATTGAGTTCGGTTATTCACGATAACCTTCTTACTCTGATATTTGGGTCAAAGTATTAAATGGAGGTGGAGTTTTTTTCCTTTTCACACTAGTTTTAGTCTTTTGTTTTAATAACATTATCTTGGTAGCAGATGTAGATGCACAATGCTCACTAGTGAGTCCCATTCTTCGACGGGTTTTCTAATCATTGTAGTGGCGGTGGAATGTGCATCTAATGCAACTGCTGTCGTAAGTTTGATGCGCAGGGCTTCAGTAGCTTCACATTCCAGTAAGTAGTGCAATAGTGGCGCCTCTGCTTCTGTTCCACAGATGTGACATTCTTTAACTATTGGGTTCATTACCCCCCAGCAGCACTTGTAACCAAGTCTGAGTCTGTGTATGGCTACTGCAATGTCTCTGGATATCTTTTTGTCAGGCTTGAAAGAGTAGTTCCCAGTGGCTTGTTCGTACCATATCGCAGTGGATCTTCCTTCCGCTACTTTGGCTCTGTGGCGACTTTTGATAGTTGAGAATATTTTCTTCTTGATTTGCTCCTTAATCTGTGAAAAACTTGGGTATTTAACCTGTACAACAGGTAGAGCAGTGGCAGTTTTTGCTAGTGAGTCTGCCTTTTCATTACCATCTATGCCAATGTGACTTGGTATCCAATTTAGGGTGATTGGCAGCCCTAGATTGTAGGCTTCTTTTCCTATATGTTGGACTTCTGTGAGGAGTTGTATATTATCTCTGTGCTGACTGGATAACAATGCCTGGAGCGAAGTTTTAGAGTCTGTACGAATGATGACATTATGTAAATTATTCTCAATTGTATAGTTTATGGCCTCCTTCAGGGCATAATGTTTGCAATGTTGAACACCCACTATTCATGCTCCAGTAAGCTTCATGGTTGTTAGTGTAAACTGCTGCCCCAGCAGAACCTCTTTCTTGATCAACTGATCCGTCTGTGAAGATGTGAGTCGTTGTAGGTCTTGAGATGGTTTCCATTTGTTGCTCTATGACTGCTTTGAGCCTCTGAGAGTCACATGCTGATTTTTTTTTACCTAATAATCCTTCAATGATAATCTTTAGACTCGATTCTTCCCATGGAGGAGGCTGCCGAAAGTGTTGATATGGGCTACTTTCTTCTTTGCTTCTGATTCTCAGTTTCAAGTCCAGTTTTCTAGAATCTTTATTCTAGAAATTTTTTATTCTTTAATAGATTAGATTATCCGTCCATGTACTTGTTCTATCTTGAAGGTTTCTACGAAACGATCTGTTTCATCTGTGTATTGTATCTTTGACTGACAGTCTAGCGGTGGTTCCAACAAGTTTTGCTGTTATGGAGACTATCCTTTGTTTGATCCTGTTTTCTAAGACTGGCAACATTCAACATTCAAAGGGCACACTTGGGTTTGTTCTCAACTCACAATCAGGAATCCCAGATGCAAAAATCCTGGCCGGGACAGAAATGGTTGGGCATGTTCCCGATCAACTAATGCCGCTGTTCACCTAGCAGCAAACATATACCTAACAATTAAGTCAACTGTTGAGGGGGATGCTCCCGGACGCAGGTTCGAATCCTCGTCACGGCCCTTGTTGATTTGTTCATTTAACTGTTGAGGGGTTGCATCCTCGGGAAGGCCAGTAGCTTGACCTTGGGGGAAAGGAAGGAAGGAAACTATCAAGGAGAAGCTCCAAGCCATTACGACTATATAGCACTTGGAACGGGTCAGGATTTGGGATGGGCCGGAGGAAAGAAACGGTCCCCATCCACTTGGACGGTCGAGGGATTGAACGCCGACCTGCATGAAGCGAGACCGTCGCTCTACCGTCCAGCTCAAGTGATTGGGGGAAGACCTCAGTTTAAACCTCGAGTGTCCACAGGCTACCTGTCCCTGACAATACGAATTACAGTACTATATTAGTTTTGTAGTGTAGTCTGTAGTTTTGCCCGAAACGCATTGCGTAATAGTGGCTTTAGGCATTGTATGTACTAGCTCTATCTATATATCAATCCATTAATGTAACATCACTGGCATGTATATACCTTACCTGAATAAACATATTTATTTATTTTATTTATTTATATATCCCTCAAGATGCTTACAGTGATAACTTTTGTATCTTTGTACGCAGGTACACGAGCAGCTGGCTTCAGAAGGTTACATAATCACAGAGGAGGAGGAGGAGAATGTGGCAGATGATACAGAAGGTGACCCACACGACCTGTCAGACGACAGTACAAGAGAGGGGAAAAATGTCCGTTCATCATACGCTGATGTCAGTGATAGTGATTATGACTATGGTGAGTATAGGGCTCTATGGTGAGTATAGGGCTCTATGGTGAGTATAGGGCTCTATGGTGAGTATAGGGCTCTATGGTGAGTATAGGGCTCTATGGTGAGTATAGGGCTCTATGGTGAGTATAGGGCTCTATGGTGAGTATAGGGCTCTATGGTGAGTATAGGGCTCTATGGTGAGTATAGGGCTCTATGGTGAGTATAGGGCTCTATGGTGAGTATAGGGCTCTATGGTGAGTATAGGGCTCTATGGTGAGTATAGGGCTCTATGGTGAGTATAGGGCTCAATGATGAGTATAGGGCTCTATGGTGAGTATAGGGCTCTATGGTGAGTATAGGGCTCTATGGTGAGTATAGGGCTCTATGGTGAGTATAGGGCTCTATGGTGAGTATAGGGCTCAATGGTGAGTATAGGGCTCTATGGTGAGTATAGGGCTCTATGGTGAGTATAGGGCTCTATGGTGAGTATAGGGCTCTATGGTGAGTATAGGGCTCTATGGTGAGTATAGGGCTCTATGGTGAGTATAGGGCTCTATGGTGAGTATAGGGCTCTATGGTGAGTATAGGGCTCTTTTCATTGTAATTATTACTCATATATCTAAATCTCATCACTTGCTTGCAGGGGAAAACACATGTATTGTTATTCTATTGAAGTACAACAGTTATTGGTTTTAAAGTCATATAATTACTTAACATCCAGAAAACAAGACTTCCTAAGTGATCACATTAAGTGCTACCAAGCAACAGCCTGTTGGACCAAGTTATCACAAGTTGAGCCTGCCCCGGGCCAGGCCTGGGGAGTATAAGCAACCCGTCCTCTTAAAAAGAACGTCACTTTTGGCTCATATGCGCACTATCGCCAAATTTGGACGTAATTTGAAATGAAATCGACTCACAAAAGTGACGTTCTGTTCCGTTTTCTATTTGAGTCGTCCGGCGTACGCGCAGAGGTTATAAGAGGACACTTTAAATTAACGTTTTTCATAACGTTTTGAAGCTTTATGAGAATTTCCTGCCCACCTAACCTATCAGAGGACCCTTAACTTACTGTTGTTGAAAAAAAAAATCCCAAATTTATTTTCATTTTTTTTTTCATTTCCAAATTACGTCCAAATTCGGCCATACGGACAAACGGCCAAAAGCGACGTTCTTTTTAAGAGGACAGGTTGACATAAGAACTCCCAGAACTAACTCCAGGTTGTTGGGCTTGGGAATTAGAAGAGCTCCCAGAACTCACTTGAATCAGATATGCTCAAGTCAGACAGGACGAAATACTGACACCACTGGAAACATTACAAGTGGTGCTCGTAGGGTGACAGCGGTGCTCGTAGGGTGACAGCGGTGCTCGTAGGGTGACAGTGGTGCTCGTAGGGTGACAGTGGTGCTCGTAGGGTGACAGTGGTGCTCGTAGGGTGACAGCGGTGCTCGTAGGGTGACAGCGGTGCTCGTAGGGTGACAGTGGTGCTCGTAGGGTGACAGTGGTGCTCGTAGGGTGACAGTGGTGCTCGTAGGGTGACAGTGGTGCTCGTAGGGTGACAGTGGTGCTCGTAGGGTGACAGTGGTGCTCGTAGGGTGACAGTGGTGCTCGTAGGGTGACAGTGGTGCTCGTAGGGTGACAGTGGTGCTCGTAGGGTGACAGCGGTGCTCGTAGGGTGACAGTGTTGCTCGTAGGGTGACAGTGGTGCTCGTAGGGTGACAGTGGTGTTCGTAGGGTGACAGTGGTGCTCGTAGGGTGACAGTGGTGTTCGTAGGGTGACAGTGGTGTTCGTAGGGTGACAGTGGTACTCATAGGGTGACAGTGGTGCTCGTAGGGTGACAGTGATGCTCGTAGGGTGACAGTGGTGCTCGTAGGGTGACAGTGGTGCTCGTAGGGTGACAGTGGTGCTCGTAGGGTGACAGTGGTGCTCGTAGGGTGACAGTGGTGTTCGTAGGGTGACAGTGGTGCTCGTAGGGTGACAGTGGTGCTCGTAGGGTGACAGTGGTGCTCGTAGGGTGACAGTGGTGTTCGTAGGGTGACAGTGGTGCTCGTAGGGTGACAGTGGTGTTCGTAGGGTGACAGTGGTGCTCGTAGGGTGACAGTGGTGTTCGTAGGGTGACAGTGGTGTTCGTAGGGTGACAGTGGTGTTCGTAGGGTGACAGTGGTGTTCGTAGGGTGACAGTGGTACTCGTAGGGTGACAGTGGTGTTCGTAGGGTGACAGTGGTGTTCGTAGGGTGACAGTGGTGTTCGTAGGGTGACAGTGGTGTTCGTAGGGTGACAGTGGTACTCGTAGGGTGACAGTGGTGCTAGTAGGGTGACAGTGGTACTCGTAGGGTGACAGTGGTACTCGTAGGGTGACAGTGGTGCTAGTAGGGTGACAGTGGTGCTCGTAGGGTGACAGTGGTGCTAGTAGGGTGACAGTGGTGCTCGTAGGGTGACAGTGGTGCTCGTAGGGTGACAGTGGTGCTAGTAGGGTGACAGTGGTGCTCGTAGGGTGACAGTGGTGCTCGTAGGGTGACAGTGGTGCTCGTAGGGTGACAGTGGTACTCGTAGGGTGACAGTGGTGCTCGTAGGGTGACAGTGGTGCTCGTAGGGTGACAGTGGTGCTCGTAGGGTGACAGCGGTGCTCGTAGGGTGACAGTGGTGCTCGTAGGGTGACAGTGGTGCTCGTAGGGTGACAGCGGTGCTCGTAGGGTGACAGTGGTGCTCGTAGGGTGACAGTGGTGCTCGTAGGGTGACAGTGGTGCTCGTAGGGTGACAGTGGTGCTCGTAGGGTGACAGCGGTGCTCGTAGGGTGACAGTGGTGCTCGTAGGGTGACAGTGGTGCTCGTAGGGTGACAGTGGTGCTCGTAGGGTGACAGCGGTGCTCGTAGGGTGACAGTGGTGCTCGTAGGGTGACAGTGGTGCTCGTAGGGTGACAGCGGTGCTCGTAGGGTGACAGTGGTGCTCGTAGGGTGACAGCGGTGCTCGTAGGGTGACAGTGGTGCTCGTAGGGTGACAGTGGTGCTCGTAGGGTGACAGTGGTGCTCGTAGGGTGACAGCGGTGCTCGTAGGGTGACAGTGGTGCTCGTAGGGTGACAGTGGTGCTCGTAGGGTGACAGCGGTGCTCGTAGGGTGACAGTGGTGCTCGTAGGGTGACAGCGGTGCTCGTAGGGTGACAGTGGTGCTCGTAGGGTGACAGTGGTGCTCGTAGGGTGACAGTGGTGCTCGTAGGGTGACAGTGGTGCAATACTTACCGGCAGTTTATTTTTGCTTGTCTTTCAGTGCCCGTCAGTTTAGATAACCGAGTGAGGAAGCAAGCGTGCGTGTGTGCGTGCGTGCGTGCGTGCGTGCGTGCGTGCTTGTGTGTGTGTGTGTATGTGTGTGTGTGTGTGTATGTGTGTGTGTGTGTGTGTGTGTGTATGTGTGTGTGTGTGTGTGTGTGTGTGTGTGTGTGTGTGTGTGTGTGTGTGTGTGTGTGTGTGTGTGTGTGTGTGTGTGTGTGTGTGTGTGTGTGTGTGTGTGTGTGTGTGTGTGTGTGGATGTGTGTGTGTGTGTGTGTGGTGTGTGTGTGTGTGTGTGTGTGGTGTGTGTGTGTGTGTGTGTGTGTGTGTGTGTGTGTGTGTGTGTGTGTGTGTGTGTGTGTGTATGTGTGTGTGTGTGTGTGTGTGTGTGTGTATGTGTGTGTGTGTGTGCGTGCGTGTGCGTGTGCGTGTGCGTGCGCGTGCGCGTGCGCGTGCGCGCGTGTGTGTGTGCCTAGTTGTGCGTGTCAAAAGGTAATTATTCTTGACTGAAGGCTTTAACGCCTTTCTCTAAAGCATTCTTTTCCTATTATGTTCAACAGAGAATGTGATTGATACTGCTATTAAATTACCCTCCCCCCCCCCCCTTGTTCGAGTCTCTTCGGTATGGTGGTCTGCTTATGAGGCTGGTGCTTAGTTGAGAACCATCCTTCATCCTTCTCCGTAGGCATCCTTCAGTCTCGGGAGACTATGGAGTTTCGGTGAACTATATAGAACGGATAACAATACATATAATATAGCAATGCGAACAAGCCTGAATGGTCCCCAGGACTATATGCAACTCCATAAAATATGCAACACCTTTTCCCAGATATTCCTTCGGGATTAAAATGGTTTCCAGATTCACTGGAAAACATTCAATCATGCGCAGAATGACGGCCAGTGATCTATTCATAAACTCAAAAAAGGCCTTCCAGACATAATATAGTAAGTAATAAATGTAATAAATATAAACAATAATATAGTCAACTATATGCAGAAAACTATAGAGTGCGGTAATATTTATGCTGGAGGTTACATTACCAGGTTTTTGGATATCGTACAAGGTCGTCAACTCTCCACGGACTATTTCAGGCTGGTCCTCTTTTGGGTTATGGTGGCCGTAGACACAGCTGCTTCTACGTCAGTTGATGTAAGAATATTAGTTGTTCTTGTTCATTCTTCAGGACTTTCATCAGTATGAACCAATCATCTGGAGCTCTGGGACTTTCTGGGGGATATTAGGAAGATGAATAGTAAGTTCCATCTGATCTCACTTGTGTGGGTTTCTTCTATAAGTGTTTGTTCTCCCAAAGAGGGTTAAGGCTTCTTCTCTTTCAAGTATGTTTATTGAGATAAGAAAGAAATACATCTCAAAGGGATAGAATAGCTTAGGCTATTTCTACCCCGCCTTCTACTCTCTCTGATTTGAAGAACGTGGATTCCCAAGATAATCCCAAGATAATACACCCTTATACACCCCCCTTCCCCATAGTTTGATGCTCATTTCATCATTCCAAGAGGGAAAAAACATCTACTTCACATTTCAGGATGGTTCGACTACCAAACTGGCAACACTGGTGATGATTCCTCAAACACTGTCGAAGGTACTCACAAGGATGAGGATGAGGGACCACAGTATGAGGAGGATGAGGGACCACAGTATGAGGAGGAGGAGGAGGAGGAGCACCAGCTTCAGGAGGAACACAAACGCTGTGGAAGGAAAAGTTTCAAGACCCGCGATGACCTCCAACGCATCATAGGGGGACGGCAGGCCAGAAAAGGAGAATGGCCCTGGCAGGTAGCCATTCTTAACAGGCTTAAGGTAAGTTCCTCACAACTTATAAAAACTCAATAAAAAGCTCCTCGTTCTCCACTAGATGAGCTCCTTGCACCTCCAGCAGGTGAGGAGAGCTCCCTCCATCTCCAGCAGGTGAGGAGAGCTCCCTCCATCTCCAGCAGGTGAGGAGAGCTCCTTGCATCTCCAGCAGGTGAGGAGAGCTCCTTGCACTTCCAGCAGGTGAGGAGAGCTCCCTCCATCTCCAGCAGGTGAGGAGAGCTCCCTCCATCTCCAGCAGGTGAGGAGAGCTCCCTCCATCTCCAGCAGGTGAGGAGAGCTCCCTCCATTTCCAGCAGGTGAGGAGAGCTCCCTCCATCTCCAGCAGGTGAGGAGAGCTCCCTCCATCTCCAGCAGGTGAGGAGAGCTCCCTCCATCTCCAGCAGGTGAGGAGAGCTCCCTCCATCTCCAGCAGGTGAGCTGGAGATGGAGGAAGTTTGTTTAGCAAGGCAGGTGTACCTGTTGAGGGTGTCAAGGATAGTACTGTTGGTACCCCAGGGCAGTACTGTTGGTACCCCAGGGCAGTACTGTTGGTACCCAGGGCAGTACTGTTGGTACCCCAGGGCAGTGCTGTTGGTACCCAGGGCAGTACTGTTGGTACCCCAGGGAAGTACTGTTGGTACCCCAGGGAAGTACTGTTGGTACCCCAGGGCAGTACTGTCGGTACCTCAGGGCAGTACTGTTGGTACCCCAGTGCAGTACTGTTGGTACCCCAGGGCAGTACTGTTGGTACCCAGGGCAGTACTGTTGGTACCCCAGGGCAGTACTGTTGGTACCCAGGGCAGTACTGTTGGTACCCCAGGGCAGTACTGTTGGTACCCAGGGCAGTACTGTTGGTACCCAAGGCAGTACTGTTGGTACCTCAGGGCAGTACTGTTGGTACCCAAGGCAGTACTGTTGGTACCCAGGGCAGTACTGTTGGTACCTCAGGGCAGTACTGTTGGTACCCCAGGGCAGTACTGTTGGTACCCCAGGGCAGTACTGTTGGTACCCCAGGGCAGTACTGTTGGTACCCAGGGCAGTACTGTCGAAATTCAGGGGAGTAAGAAATTATCAAAAGGCGCCAAACCGGGAGATAATATATAACCGTCTATATCGCTGGATATTCCAAAGGTGCTAAATATCACCAAAGATGCTAATTAAGTACACAAGAATATGTGGTGGGCAATGTCAAAGGTATCGAGGATTCACCAAAGGTTCTGCCAAGAGGTTAAATACCCCTCCAAGGCACATTAGGAAAGCAAGATATACGATCATCTTGAAAATTGGGACATTCTACAATGATATGCATGACTAAGTGGGACAAAACAGTTTGACATTGCAGAGAAATGCAGACAATACAGAAATTTAAGCAAACCCAGTTCATTTGCAACCAACATTGTATCTGCCACAATGGAAATACGGAAACGGAGGACAGACTTCCCCAGTATGTCCTCAATAAATTGACCAATACTCCTAATGCAATTTCTTCCAGATCTAAGAGAAAAAGGAATCAACAGATGGGAGACTTAAGAATTCCAACGTTCACGTTTCGATGTATGGATGACCCTGTAACTACAGGGCCCACTTAACTAACTATGGTCACCGCACAACACTAAAGAAACAATACAAGAGAATCAGGTGTTTATTGGCTTTGTCAGCTTTTCCAGGTCGTACACTTATGTTCAAGTTTGTTTTGTAATTCTCACAGTATTGCATATAATTTTTTTGAGATATATACAAGAGTTGTTACATTCTTGTACAGCCACTAGTACGCGTAGCGTTTCGAGCAGGTCCCTGGAATACGATCCCCTGCCGCGAAGAATCGTTTTTTCATCCAAGTACACATTTTACTGTTGCGTTAAACAGAGGCTACAGTTAAGGAATTGCGCCCAGTAAATCCTCCCCGGCCAGGATACGAACCCATGACATAGCGCTCGCGGAACGCCAGGCGAGTGTCTTACCACTACACCACGGAGACTGTTGTACTATATACTCCATCATGCTTATTATCCACCAATATAATAATGTATAACTGTCTAGTCTTTGTTGACCAGACCACACACTAAAAGGTGAAGGGACGACGACGACGTTTCGACGACACAATCGACTTGAGAATGGTCCAGGACGGACCGAAACGTCGTCGTCCCGTCACCTTCTAGTGTGTGGTCTGGTCAACATACTTTAGCCACGTTATTGTGACTCATCGCCTGTCTAGTCTTTACTCTCAGCCTATGCTGACTCATAATATATTTGAAATGCCTTAAAAGAATTCACGGATCATTGCTTGAGGGTTATCTACCAGGACGAATACTGGTAGATCAAGGTTATCTACCAGGACGAATACTGGTAGATCAAGGTTATCTTCCAGGACGAATACTGGTAGATCAAGGTTATCTACCAGGACGAATGTGTGACAGTTCCATCTCATAGATGTGATGGGGCTAGACCTTAACAGTAGGGAAGACCCCACCAAGACCACATGGAGAAATTTATCCAGTGAGAAAGGTAATTTGGTCTTGGTCACTAGGCGAGTACATACGAGTGTGTGTAGCTTGCCGGCAAACATAAACACAAGTAGTTAACAAATGAAATGCATTAGAAAGTGATTTGGTGGAGGCAGACTTCAATATACAGTTTCAAATGTATAATTAGACTCGGGAACCTGTACATTAGTTGACTGACATTTGAGAGGCAGAATCGGAGTCAAAGCTCAACCAGCCGAGTACAACTGGAAGTGTACTGAAGTGTGTTGGCTAGTGTGAGAGCAGTTTAGAATTGTGAAACTGCATTAAAAAAAATGAATGTGGTGTGATTGAGATCTCATTTTCGCATCCGCATCTAAGTTATTAAATTGTATAGAAATATAATATAGTAATATACAATTTAATACAACTTGTATATTACTATAATATTAAATTGTATATTACTACATTATAATAATTATATAATTACATTGTATATTACTATATTATATTAGTATACAATTTAATAACTTAGATGCGGATGCGAAAATAAGATCTCACTCGCACCACATACACCTTTCAGTGTTACTGTAATGCATATTTCAACTATCAAGAGTTGAATAACGCTTGACAGTTATTCAAGATAACTGTCAAGATACCTGTAGAGTACTTTTATTTAATTTCTGTATGATATTCAGATTCTCATAGCATTCATTTCTTGGCAGCTTTCCTGATGATTGACGACATTTAGCACCCTCCAACTACCCATGGTTTCTTTTCCACCATCAGGAGGCCATTTGTGGTGGTACCATTATTGCCCCTCAATGGGTGCTGACTGCAGCACATTGTATTGAGAAGCGACTCTATGTACGGATGGCAGAGCATGACTTGACCACCCACGACCAACATGAAATGGAAATGCGGGTCTGTACAAGTTCAAGTATGTTTACTGAGACAAGAAAAAAAATACATCTCAAAGGGATAGAGTAGCTTAGGCTATTTCTACCCCCCAAAGCGGGTCTGTAGATGTGCTTTCTCATATCACGTTTTCTTCCTATGTTATATCTTTGTTTATATTTACGTACTGTATACTCAGGAATAATGGGGGGACTCCTTTGGCAAGTCATTGGCTTCCTGTCCCTGTCGAGACCACTAGAGATATGGCCCCTCGGGTAAATTCTGGTAAATATGTTGTTATACAGCCATGCTCTTCTCCGCAGGTAGAACAGGCCTTCGAACACCCCGACTATGACCCAGAGACCCTCGAACATGATCTGGCGCTCCTGAAGCTTCCCTGGGAGGTGATGTACAGTAAACGCATCACCAGTGCTTGTCTGCCGGGAAGAGGGGTACAGCCCCCTAGAAAGATCAAGTGTGTCATAGCAGGCTGGGGCAAGGAGAGGGAGGCACACATCTTTGGCTCTGACGTTCTGAACTATGCCAGGGTGAGCAAATGGCACTGTTGGGTTGTAGTTTTGGATGCAGTAAGGATCATACAGGTAGTGATGGTACGAGACCAAGAAAAGGAAGCCTAATAAGTCTGTTGAGGAGTTTTAGGCTATCGATTTAATCTTTCCTAGGATGTAACCCATTAGTCACTTAAATAAGAACCCCAGCATTAAGTCTTAGGTGAACAGAGGCATCGGGTGCAAGGAATCACACACTCGCCTTGCCTGGGATTCCACCTGTGATCCAAACGGTTTAGTTGGGCAACAGCACAAAGGCTTATTAATTTGTCGTGCAATATGTACAAAATGTAATGATCCTCATGTGTTTTGATCACTTGTATTTGGGTTCTATAATGAATAAACGGGCTTGGTAATTATTATAAGACATTAGAGTTCACTTGTACTATAGCCCTCGATTTGATTTTATACACTGTAATCTGATTTATGATTGTATGTTAAAGGATCAATTAAGCTACTTAATTTTAATATTGGTTGGTTGAATGGCTTTCTGGGTCTATACTAAAGCACTAAAATAATTTAGGTCATTCAAAACATTCAATAATGGAGAACCAATGTGTAATTGTTACACATATAATTGTGTTAAAGAGACTATGTTTCTCTTTTATATTACTTTTCCTTGACATTTGATATTTTGTATATCAGAGCAAAATTTTGGGTTTTACTTATTTTTCACTATCATTTCTCATTTTGTGAGTTTCCAGTTAATGCATTAACAAAAAATTTGTTTTATTGCATTGAATGCCTATTTTTCTCCATGTTACAGTATTTTATTCTATTTTAAATTTTTGCCATTATTTTTTGCTCCTGACCTGGGGGCTAGATTCACGAAGTTACGCAAACACTTACGAGCCTGTACATCTTTCCTCAATCTTTGGCTGCTTTGTTTATAATTATTAAATAGTTAATGAGCTCCGAAGCACCAGGAGGCTGTTTATAACAATAACAACAGTTGATTAGCAAGTTTTCATGCTTGTAAACTGTGTAATAAATGTAACCAAAGCAATCAAAGATTTGAGGAAAGATGTACACGTTCCTAAGTTCTTGCGTAACTGCTTTGTGAATCTGGCCCCCTTCGGATCTGTCTCTTATTAGGTGCCCATTGTTGCCACATCATCATGCAGACGGGCATATCCTGAACACCCCATCACCAATAACCATATCTGTGCCGGCTACAGGAGGGGCTCCACCGATGCATGTGCCGGTAACTTTTTTTTATTCGTTTAGATTTAGTTCTAAATCTTGTGATATTCACCTTAGTCTTTAGTCTATTTTTCATTGGCAATAACCCCACAAACTCTAAAAACTCCATCTGGTTTTGAACACCGGACAAACCTTTAGATATCTGTATCAACGGATCAGATTATCATGTCAATGCACAGGATCAACACAAAAATCTAATTTTGAAGTTCTCGATGTAGTTCCTCATCTTAGGCTCAAGTGTGGGCACGAAGGGGCCCACTATGGAACATGCTCACTAGCTGGTAACACTGTGGATATCTTTATGGTACCAGTCTCACTGTGGATATCTTTAAGGTACCAGTCTCTCATGCACTTGGGAAGCTACTGAAGGCCCAGCTCAGAAAATACTCGCATCTTTTATAGAAACGTAAATAAAAAAAGTACAAAATTCAAACTTAAATTTGTATATTCAAAATGCACTATTCATATATTATGCAATATATAAAAAACCCATTCATTTGGAAAAACAAAAAAGATAAGATTCATAGTCCAGTTACAATGTGTACATTAGAAAATCTGTTAGGGGTTCAACGTTACTGAGATTTCGTTGTTCCGAATACACGCTGTTTTAGTTTTACTCGCCTTTCTTTCTTTGTTAGGTCATGTAAACAGATGAGGGGGTCTATTCATTGTCAACATTTACATTTTTTATAATTTATCTAAGTTTTGATAGCTACAGTACCAAAATCTCCATCCCACCTAACCCAAAACCTCAAGCTAAAGCTAATCCTTCCCGCTCTCATCTTCTTCACTTGCAGGGGACTCCGGAGGCCCGCTGGTATGCGAGGACAAGCAAGGGGTGTGGACGGTGCACGGAGTTACCTCCTTCGGGATGGGGTGTGGCGACAGTGGCAGGTATGGTGTCTACACCAAGGTGGTCAACTATGTCCCATGGATCAATCGGATCATCACTCGTAACTGAGTCGACTCCCTGGAAAAGGACAGCACTGGCGAGAGGAGGAGGTACCAGGAGGTACGAGCAAAGAGACTGAGAGCTACCAGGTTGGGAAGTGAGGAAAAGAAAAACTTGAAACACAGGGAGAGGACACATTAATTTACACGAGCACAATATAAGGTGACAATTATGTTGGTGTTTGTGAGAGATCGTTTCATCATTATAGTTGGTTTTGGAGTTAAAAAACATGCAGGTTGAAAGAATATATTATAAATGTTGTAATAAAGAAGGATAATTATCTAGCCTATGGATGAACAAATCAATGAAACACCCATCAAGATAATACATTAGGAAACACGAACTAGTATGGGCTTGGGAACAAAGTACTACTGTAGTACATTCAACCAAATAAAAGTGAGAACTGAACAAAAATCCAGCCAGTCCTCCACAAAATCCAGCCAGTCCTCCACAAAATCCAGCCAGTCCTCCACATTATATGCAGCTGCAATTATTCAGAAAGAACACAGGCATACAATGTATGATTTCTGGACTAAATAGTCTTGAGAGTATAGGAGAGCAAGTGTAAGCTCATCCACCAATGGTGTATTAAAAAGTAAAACAAAATTGGTCACCACTTAAATTATCAGAACAGGCTTAAAAACTAATACTGTTCTGTACTGTTCCATGCAGTGGATCCTCATTCATGCAATTCAATGGAAATACATAAGCAACATTAGGACTGTTTTTAGTCATAAGATCAAATGCTATTATTTAAAAAAATATGGTGTCAAATAAGCAGGGTGGAGTATTCTCTGGACTGAATTGCAGTGAACCTGAGAAAACTTCAACACTTTAATAAAAAAAAAATGTGCATTTTGAAGAGATTTTGTAATAAAAATGTGTCAGAATGTTGTGTTGTTGAGTAGGATCAAAGACCTGAGGAAAGTATGCTCCATGTCATTGTTACTCTAACCTATTCTACCCACCGAAAATATAAATAAAATGTTTAAATATATGTTCTTCACGAGATTTCTGACATCACTATAATGTAATGTTCATGCTGGTATAGGTTTGGAATTTTACCGTTATTGTTTTACCAGTGAAGTGACACAAGCTAAGGTAAAAATGGACAATATGATCCAACACAGGAACCGCCCACATACGTGACTTCTGCAGGCAGACGCATCCTTCCACCATAATATCAGACGATGGTTACCTTGAGATGGTTTCGGGGCGTAGCGGCCCAGCCTGGATGGCAACAGATTTATATAGCTTAGCCCTTGCAACAAAAAAAAACTAAAAAAAAAAAGAAGTATCAGCACTTGTCGAGTCATCTCTCCAGGAACCAAGAAGCTTCCCTTAGAAACTTACAACATGCTCACCTTTTCTCAAGCCTTGTCTTCAGGAACTACATGCCAACTGAAACTCCTACACCACATACATTACCTGCTACAACACCCTTGGCCTCGCACACTAACTTTTGTGGGTGACCAGTATTAAAATGCAGGTGCTTTAGTGAAATGAAAATCAGTGTTGGCATATTGAGCATTGGTCTAGACAGGTTAGGTTTATGGTTACTTCACTTAAAAATTGGTGCTTATCAAATAATGAGAATGGGCTGGTAACAGATGCTATTCTCCAGGCAAATGGCTATAACATCCTAAGGTAACGCCCAGTCTTCAACACTAGCCTGATCACCACATTCAATCGGATTGGGCCATGGGTCTCAAAAATTTACAAGAGTCCTGCCCGACCACCACCCTCCCTAATTGATCCAGTCATTACCGGGTCCAAGAAATGTGTGCATTCCCAGACCTACCTCATTTCATCCTGCTTACTTATTTTCTTAGTTATTAATTAAAGTTACCAATTTGGTAACTTTAATGAACTTTGGGCAAGTATTGTAAATACAGACTATATTATTTGCATTTCTGTGCACCAACTACTTAGCTATCCCAAAAAGTTGCAAATGTACTTTAGTTATACTGAAGAGATTATTTCAAGAAACAAGAGCAGACCTTATATGTAGACACTTTACCTGTAAAAGCATAAATTGATAATGTTATCAAAAGCTGTATCAAAATGTTGATAAAAGCTTTCAAGCAAGAGAATGTTCCCATGTTACTGCTACTCAACATCACTGTGTTCTCTTAAATCTAAAATGCCGTGGGCCAACGGGCTCCCACTTTACTATCGAAAGCAGCACTAAATTTTATGTTTTATCCAATGCAATAATGCCCCTGGAAGGGTGAAATAATCAGTAGTAAGGAATGATTGTACAATACTGTATTTTTCTCCATATAAATAGCATTAAACCCGATTTCAGGTGCTCCTTACCGTTTTAAATCATACTGACCATTTGCACATGACAACTTGTACTGGTCAAACAATGATCATGCTTACAGTCCCACATGTAAATAAGCCGAATCAGTAGTTCTAGCATCATCAACGACAATCACAGCAATACTTCATCACACACAGAAATCACAATTGCGTGATGCATCAAATGAACAAATCCACAAGGGCCGTGACAAGGATTCGAACCTGCGTCCGAGAGCATCCCAGACGCTGCCCGAATCGACTAAGCTACGACATGGTCAAAAAAAGAGTTGAAACCGAAGTTCTACTGAACTTACTGGATCCTGCAGCCTCTACGAACACTGCATCATTCAACCTCCAGTGTGATAATACCACAGCCTACCTTTCCACGATTCCGAGGATCAACGTCCGGTGGCCCCCCACTCTCCCCAGGCCTAAGGCCTATATACAGTATAAATTTAACATTAGTGACAAAATGATGAATATGAAATTAATAAATTATTTTAACAGATTATGGGTCACTTATTCTCATATTTAATGTACCAGTAGCTTTTTTTTAACAAGTTTTCATGTCATATTTCTAGCACTTATAAATAATTACCATAAGTAAGATTATGCCTGTTAGTAGCTTCCCTAATGTGATGTTTAAGAAAACTTCTTTATTGCCATGTTATTATAAAGCATAGGCAGGTTCTGAAAATTGGTTCAAATGCATTATCGAGTAATTTCCATGCTTAATCTCATTTAACCAGTATCAAAAGCAAAGACACACTTTTTCTACTGATAATAAAATCTGTGTGTTTAAGAATGACCCCGGAATTATTTGAAGAAAACAAGGGTTGAGACACATTGGATTAGACATACAAGAGTATCTAGCAAGAGTGTGATATACAAAGGAGGAAATGCCAAGTCTGAGTCATATATTTATACATACACACATTATATATATAAATATATATATATTATATATTATTAAATATGACCGAAAAAGTAAGATTAATAATTCTAACACAAATTTTCTCAATGTTTCTTACATTTTTCTTTACTGATGATGGTAACTAAAAAATCAATTCTCCAAAATTCATCATAAAAAAAAAAAATCATTATAAAACATCGAAGATGTTTAAGCTCTGTTCAGTTATAGTTGTGTATGTGTAAACTAAAGTCTTTGAAAACGTAATAAGTTTTACAAAACGCGCTCAAGTGTCGCGTCAGACTAGAAATAAAAATAAATTTTGGAGAATTGATTTTTCAGTTACCATCAACAGTGAAGCAAAATGTAAGAAACTGAGAAAATTTGTGTTAGAATTATTAATCTTACCTTTTCGGTCATATTTAATAATATATGTCTACAGGAAAGACTGCTACCAAAATATACTATTAATATATATATATATATATATAGATTGTTTTCTTTGATTATGTAATTAATACTCATATCTAGTCATTGTCAGTTGTGCAAGACACCCTTTCTAAACTAATCAATTTGTAGAAACTCCTCGAGCTATAAAATTATGAAAAAACGTCAGCGTTTCTAGAAAACAGATTCGGTAAACTGGGGTTACTCGAGGGAGAACAGCAGCAGGAGAGAGGGAGGGAGGGAGGGAGGGGGGGGAGAGAGCCAGAGGTAGGTCCGGGACAAAGACACGAGATTGAAAGACATCAAACAAGGAATGAGAAGCTAACATCAATAGAACCAGCAGATACTCCAAACTCAGACATAATCATAAATAAAATGGGAAAGCAAGCTATCAAAAGCAGAAATCAGCCACATATTCACAGATTGGGGACAAAGAGCCAGCCAGCTAGCTTGACTAATTACCATAACACAGACTTTGGAACATGGAACATGAGAAATGGGAGGCAAACTAAAACCCTGACCTCGACAATAGGGCCCTACAACAATGCCACAGGACTGCATAATGGACCCTGATCAGAGATCAAAGAATACCCAAAAATGTCAAGAGAAAGATGTGAGGACATATTCCTTCCCTAAAATACAAATGATAAGAGGCAGTGCCAAGGGCCAATGAGAAGAGGCTGCAACTGGCAAACCATTTAGGGCTATGACAGAAAATTCAACACCAATGACAATTCGACACAAATGAAGAACACCAAGAAGCAGGCAGAAGGCCCACTAGAGTGCAGCAACAATGGAAGATGCCAACAAAGCACCAAGAAGCTCTTCAACCGACTGACACGAGACAATGCAAAGAACCCTCACAATTGTCAGTGGAGCTGCAAGTGCAGCCAAACACTGGGAAGAGGACAATAACCAGGAATGGTCAGGGACAACAGATATGAAGAGCTAAAAACTCTGGCTAAACAGGAACGCACAAAGACACATGGCTCACAAAAAGCCTTTACCCAGGCAACACAGGAAAAGATAAACTCACCTTCCATATCCCAGATGAAATGCAGCTCAATTTGGAAACAGTGCCTCGTAGACAAAGCAACTGGGACCACTGAAAAGCAAACGGGCCCATGTGTGGACTGCCAAGCCCACAAAGCTAGACGGCAGTGGCTCCCATTCAACTGTCAAAACGGATGGACAGAAGAGACAAAAGATCAACATGCCCCAAATGGGAGCAGCACCAAGGACCAAATCCAATGCAGCCAGAAGTGAGGGAGAGGCCATCAAAACCACCACAAATACCTGTACCCTAAAATATGAATGCTTGTATCTTCCATAATTCTTTAAAGTGAACCAATTTTGTTTTTCTGACACCAGAATTCACTTATTTGTCATTTGTACAATTCTAAATTTAGTTATATTTATTTATCTACTCAGTATATACAAGAGTTCTTACACACAGAAATCACAATAGCGTGATGCATCAAATGAACAAATCCACAAGGGCCGACAAAATTAAGCTCAGTAGAACTTCTGGTTGCAATTCTTTTGATTATGTCGTAGCTCAGTCGATTAAGGCAGCGCCTGGGACACACTCGGGCGTAGGTTCGAATCCTCGTCACGGCCCTTGTGGATTTGTTCAAGAGTTCTTACATTCTTGTACAGCCACTAGCACACACAGCTAGTGCTAGTGTCAACTGGGAGACAGAAGAGTTAGAGGAGACATGATCACCACATACAAGATTCTCAGAGGAATTGATAGGGTGATAGGGTAGATAAAGACAGACTTTTAATACAATGGGCACACGCACTAGGGAACACAGGTGGAAATCGAGTGCTCAAATGAGCCATAGAGAGGTTAGAAAGAATTTTTTCAGTATCCGAGTAGTAGACAAATGGAATGCATTAAGAAGTGATGTGGTGGAGGCTGACTCCATACACGGCTTCAAGTGTAGATATGATAAGAGCCCAGTAGGCTCAGGAACCTGTACATTAGTTGACTGACCGTTGAGAGGCGGGACCAAAGAGCCAGAGCTCAACCCCCACACGCACAACTAGGTAAGTACAGCGTTTCGGACAAGTCCTTAATCCTAATTTTCACACGCACACATCCCCAGGATTTACTCTCTCTTATATTACTTGACCACTTCTGGTATTCTCACCACCCAATTCAATCTCATACTCACATTTTAGTGGTATAATCTGCAGAGGAAAATAAACTTAAAAGTACATAAAAAAATTATTTACACCGAAAGTAATATTGCCAAAGGTTTTAGCGTGAAAATGTAATACTCAAAATATCGTGACCACACTTAAAATGCACAAGGAACAAACGAAATGTTCAGAACCCTTTTAATCAATTAGAAGCCCCTATGAATAATTTCACTGACATTTCCGACATCAAGTACTAAAATGATTTGAAGACCCCTGTTACTGGTAATAAGCAAACACCGAGATACGAGAATGCCAATATATTCAAAGACCAGCTTGGTTCTTAGTTAATATACACAGTAGTGTAGTAGGAAAGTTAGCTACCACGAAAAGAAAAGTCTATTTACTTCATAGAGCCAGTGTTCTCCCAAGTGGCTTAAAGATTAGCTAGTCTTAACTCACCACCACTTCACACAGCATTTAGAGCTACATCACACCTAAGAAAAATGACTAATTACCTACTGTACACTAATGTATAATACTAGTCTTAACTTACAACCAGCATGGTCAAAACAGCTAACTAAAATATGGGAAACAAAAGCTGTATAAATTTGAAAAAAAAAAAAAATATATAAATAAAATGTGAACTTCTATAAACATACGCAACGAAACAACGTGCTTGAATGTAGCCAAGATGTATCAAACAAAAGGCAAGCAAAATATGGTAGCAATTTCATGTGCTGTAAAGGAGGATACTGTACATTTTGATAATGTAAACAACTTTTATTATTTAGCAACAGTCATTACAACGTATCACAAGGAACATCCCTCCTCCCACATTAGTGACCCTTGAAGCCTTTAGCTTATGCAAGTTCCAAAGCATTTTCTGTCAAAAGGTTAAAAGGAAAAAGGTTTTGAATAAAAAACTCTTCATTGCATGATACAAGAGATTTTTTTTACTAATATTTTTATAAAGACAAAGATGAATTTAGCCGTTTGTTCTTGCCAGAAAAATACTGTGTAACCAAATGTACATCTCTGCAATTTACACCCTAGAAGAGGAAAAATTAGTAAACTGTTTTTGCATTCTCAGTAACCTGTAGAATGCTACAATAACATACAATCAGTATTACAGGGGCCTGGAAAACTACAACACTGAACAAAACAGAACACAAAAGTACACATAATCCCATTAACATGGCCAAATTGTAAATATTTATTTCATACCTCATCATCAACTATAAATGAATACCAACCACAGCCAAAATCTAACTGCATTGTTAAAATGAACTTTCTAAGTAGTTCATTGAGTCCCATCATAACAAATACTACCTCATGTCGAGTGCGTTTATATTGGCCATCCAAAAGGTGACTTATTTGCTTATCAAGGCGACATTGTATCTGGAAGGTTGGCCACCACAACGGAAATGACAATTGTAATGGCAGCAATAGGCACCGAGAAATGTGAAGTCCACAGAAGGTATTCTTGAAGCTGGTAGAGAAGTCCAGTTGTCCTGATTCTGGGAGATGAACGGCAATCAGTGTCCAGAGTTAATAATCTTCCTTTGGGGCATCCAGGTCCCTGTAACCGACCCTGTCAAGGAAACAAGAACACAGAATATACCATGTATTCGTTAGGTAAGGCAAGGGAAACTGAAAGGAAGGTGCACTTGTCAGCTATTAGTACTCCGTGTTTGGATAAACACAAATTACAGAGAAAACTGACAACCAATTCTTTTTTTAACAAGACACCAACAGGACCATAACGATGCTGGTAACGAGTGCAGAGTTGACAGAGCACACCACCTTCCTGAGAAATAACATCACCAATTAAATAAGTCTTAGGATTCAGCAAGCTATTAATGTTACAAAGAAAGTAATATTTCTGCACAACACCTAGAGAACCATAGGCGAAGAACAGTGAACTTGTGAGAAAAAAATAAAATAAAAAAAAAGATGAGAAGAATTATGAATTCAAGAAATATTATTTTCTCTAGGTTTTGACTAAGCACTGCCATGAGGAAACCTCAGTCAAGGGCGCAGCCAAAACCCCTCTCTCTTGGTAACGCAGTTGAAGTACAGTATGTTACTGGAAATGCCTTCATCAATTACGTGGTCTTACATAGCAAGCAAACTGGTAATGTAAAGCTTTTACTCAATACAAAATAAAACAATCACTAAGATATAAGAGGGGTGACCTTAAGTTTAAGGACATCAAATTGGGAGATTCGGTAATCAAGTTTGAGGTCACACACAAGCTCGCCAACTAATTAGTGAAAATTTGTAGTATTCATACATAAAAACGTACACACATTGGAGTAACCGAGTTTGCCTTGCATTTGTTCAAATAACATAAATGGTCTCAAAGCTTGTTTGTTTCATATTTGCTTGGAAAACCTGAATGTCCTCAAATTTTTTTTCAAGCCATTTTCAGTTTATTTATATAAAAATACTATATACAGTATATATATATATATATATCAAATTTGGCAAGGACAAAGAACACTAAAGGGAATGATACTAATAATCATTTGACTCCTGGATCCTTATTGTCATCATTACCCCGAATGCCAGCTACAAATTAATAAAACCATTTTTCCATGCCGACATGTCTCCCAGTTAGATGTATGTACAGGGAACGAGATCCAGCTCTAGAGCCCTGCTTCATAGCCACTGTACCTGCTGCTTTTATACCTTCAAACTTTCCACTATGCTAAATACTCTTCAATTAATGCATAATGGTTGTCTCCACTATCCTGGGTTCAGACTCCTTCCACCTGCTTGCCACTCACTGTATACAAGTATTTCTTCACTTTTCTCTGGCTCATCTGTTTCTCACATTTACCTCCTCTCTTGGCCCTCACTCACTCACTGTATACAAATATTTCTTCACTTTTCTCTGGCTCATCTGTTTCTCACATTTACCTCTTCTCTGTTGGCCCTTACTAGGAAAATTATTCGTTTTGTCGATTCTCCTCTACATCTTGTTCACATTTTTGATCATACAGCTCTTTCTCCTCCTTCCAATGTCAATAGTTTTAGTTTACTTAGAATGTCCTTATTTCTCATCTCTCTGGCATCTATCTTTAGGAAAGCTTGAGACAACAATTTTCATATTATACTTTACCGGTTCCAGATCATATTCTGAGATTTGTATACATGTAATGTATATCATGAATTACATACAGGAGCTGTCTAGGATAACATTGGCTGTGCAAGTTATTCTGAAGGCTTACTTTGACCAGGTTCTTGCATATACAGCTGATGTTATTCTGTTAATAATGTGCACCTCTAAGTGCCAATTCTGACATTGTATCCACTCCAAAATCCTTTTACCTTTCAGATTTTTTGTAACGGCATCCCACAAACTGTATTGTCTTTCTGGTCTCCTCTCCCCTCGCTCAAACCTTAGCACTTCCGCGTTCAGCCATCATCCGATTGCCGTTCATAAATATTCATATATTCATTGCTATCATGCATAATCTATTGTATATACACTTTTGTTTTTCATCTTTTCTCTACAGAGCATCCTTTGCACGTTTGTAAATGTTTCATGTACAAATATTTTAACACCTAATTTATAGTTATAAACCAACATGTAATAGAAAACTTAAAATGATTTAAAACATTTTAAGCATCATTGAGTGGGACTTTCTAAGCGCACCAAGTTTGCATTCACAAATGAACAAAAAGGAAGAAAATCTACATTTTTTTTGTTTTGCATCCATTCTGTAGACATTTAATTTCCAAACATTTAAACACCATATTTACTGTTATTATCCAACAAATAACTTTGAAAATGTGAATAAATTTTAAGTATTACACATTGCTTAGCAATCCATCCAGGAAGCACAGACCATTTATAGCTGGGAATACAAGCAGAGGCTGGCCCACCAAAGTGTTTTGCATTTTGAAAAGTTTAACTCTAGTAGCCATTTGTTCACCCATTTCTGCAGCTTATCTACGTCCCCAAGTAACTATGCAGTCCTCTTTGGCCCAAACTCTTGGTCATCAGCTCAGGATCATAGCAAATGTCAATACGTACAAACCTATTTACTCCCAAAGGTCACTTACATAAACTGTTCACAGTATTGTGACCTCACTTGTCAGGATTGAGAGAAATGACTCACTCTTACCACAATGCTGTTTCCTATTAGTTAAATGTACTGAATTACAGCGCAATATCTTCCCAGTCTACTTTTTCCAGCTAGTAGATCAGCCTTTTGAGTGTTAAAAGGTACGTTGGCAATCTAGGAAGATGAAATCCACACACACAATCCATTAGTTGATTGACAATTGAGAGGCAGGACCAAGAAGCCAAAGCTCAAACCCTGCAAGCGCAGCTAGGTGAGTACACCTCTCTCTCTCTCCCAAATCTTCACTATGTTGTCTATCATGTCGTAGAACATGATCATGTTCATGAGGCACAATGGTTTGTTCCTTTCTAAAATCGCACACCTTCAAATACAAAGTTTAGTTCCCTATATGTATCCACTATCCTCTTTCTGATCATTTTCTCCAGTGTCCTGTACATCAGTGATACAGGGCCATAGTAGGTCACTTATACACCACAACAAATACGGCAGATGTAATGCCACAATTGTTTTGCCCTTTCCCCAAAAATGAGGTTAAAACGTGAGAATTTTCAGATTATTCAAACAAATGCATGCACTCCTAGCTATTCCAAAGGCGCACTCACATGAGGTGTCAGAAGAGTTCAAGATTCCAAAAGGTAACCCAAGTAACTACATGTTTGACCCCAAGCAACAAACAAGGCTAAGTTATGTTCTCAAGTTTTAGATCAACCCCTCAAATATTGGCGTGAAAGAAAACACTGCTCAAATTCAATTAAAACAAGTGCTTGTGGTATGTCTAAATACCAAAGAATTTAATATTTATTTAAACAGCCACTGGCATCTGAATCAGGAAGCATCAAAACTTATAATAAAGCTTATGGTATTTGGATAAAAACTTCACCTGTTACCAAGAGACGTAACAAGAACGGCTACACTGAAACCTTGAAATTGGAACGGTGCGTACAATTGGCTGGCGACGTCAAGGTTAAAAGAGATCTGTATCATCAGGAGCATCCAAATCATGGTATCCAATGACTTCCCGCGGATCACCCGACCTAAAGGGAACAAAAACTATTAGTAGTTGCTAACTGTTACTTCCTGATATAGGTGGTGTCCATTTAATTGTGTTTGAGCAGCAGTCTTTTTCCCCATTATAGCCTAGTACTGTACAGGATGTTGGAAACTGGGACTTTTAAGACTCAATACCTCATACTTGAACAAAAAATGCTATAAGGAGTGCAAGTTTATATCTTGAAACTTGTACAAACTTTTTAAATGTAAAATTGGCATTACATGCTGCACATTTATGGCTATGATGATATGAATTAGCAATCTTTTATCATCCAACAATACAACACCTATAATGCTAGCACATATCTATAACCCTTCCCTAGTCTTTGCAGCACATTTGCTGACCGAAGGTCAGCAAGAAGGAGCCTTTCCCCGATTCATCCCCCTCTCAAAATATCACTAATCCAAAATCACGGAGACAATACTGTACATTCATGACCTAAGCACGTTCCCGTCCCTATGTAAAGCATCTATCGAGGCTTACAAAGTGTACACAACATGAAATCTCCGAACATGCAAAAACTAGGCACGTTGTGATCGTGGACGATCAAGAACAAATCCCCCAGGGCCATCATTTCAGGAAAAAGAAAAATAGAAGTTGTTAGAAACAAATCTATAATGAATACAAGGTTGGGGAGTTGGAAGTGGTAGGAGTAGAAATGGTGATCGTAACAGCATCTGCAGAATTAAACATGTTTGGTGGCAGTGGTGCTTACTGACCAATATCTAAGTGTGTGGCCAAACACACTAAGCCTCCTAATATTTCACTGATGGTGGCAATGGTGCTTACTGACCAATATCTAAGTGTGTGGCCAAACACACTAAGCCTCCTAATATTTCACTGATGGTGGATAATGGATAAGGTACTTATAATGGTATTAATTGGAGATATGTTGGAAGTGGCAAGTGGTGGTGCGGGTGGGGAAAATGACACCCAACCCAGCCCAGAGGTTGTCACAAGAGAAGTGTAATCCGCATACACTATAACCTTATCATGTAAATGTGGCCCGAGGCTGAAGACACACACATCTGAAGCATTTGGCTGAAGACAAACACAAGTTTCCAGTGCTGTATTTTCCAGTAGTGGTCACATACAAGCTGTTTACATGGCGGTAAAAACCATTTAGATTTGTTATGCCATTATGCTGATCAACACACGCCACACACTGTTGGCGTTATTCCATTTGCACGCGCCTCTACTACTGCTACGGCTGTTCTTTAAAATGCATCCACTCCCAAGCCAGCCTGCCTGCATCCCCCCCCCCCCCCGTCTCTCCCCCTCTTCCAATTGGGTTGAACTGTTCCGAGCTATGAATTTCATCATTGTATTCTGTCTTCCTACTGAACATCCTGTAGGTAGGTCTTTACCTTTCTCTCAATAGTAGAGCTTACCTATTGTGTCTATGTCTACAGGAGTGCAAGATTAAACCTCTATATGCCTACCTCAAGAGTCTTGTATACCTAGGGGCTTATTATAAATGTTGACATTTAAGTGCTGCTGTATTTTTTTCTTTAAGATGCGTGATGTTTAAGCAACTGCGACTACTACTTTCAACGCATTCTAATTATAAGCCACCCATACAGGCGACAAGAATCTCCTTACATTGCTCCAACTGTATTGTGTATCCAGATATTACAAACGCCTTCTTGGTTCATCTCCTTTTAATTCAAGTGGGCTCTCCTCGGTTACCTTGTCTATTCCTCCGATACGTGGCGAACACGCCCCTCTTGTTTCCTTTCTCCACCAGGGTGATGGTGATAGTATCTAGCAGTGACCAGTCTAGTAGGGTTTACCTCTCTTCATAAGCCACTCTATATCCTCTTGTACTAATTTATTTACACCTCTTCTTAATACTTGAGTTTTGTGAAGTATTTGATGTAGCACTTCATTTTCAGTCCCCTAATTTTCATCCAGGTGAAGTTCAAATTCATGGGTGGAGCAAATGGGTTTGACCAATTTGGCTCTACCACCATCCGTTCAATCTGATAACTAAAAGTGGTACAAGACTATGATACTCACCGAAATTGCATCGTCACTTTACCACAATTGCTGGAACTTCAAAAAAACCCATGAAATTCAAATTCATATCAACGAGAGAAAGCGACTGATGAACGATTCACGACTGCCAACAGAAAAAGGTTTTTTTATTTTTACGACAGGAGCCATGAAAAGTGTAACACTAAGTACACAGGTGATTGAGCTGTTAAGATTGTAAGTCTTAACGGCCCATTCCTAATCCTTATCCTGACCCCTTCCAAGTGCTATAGTCGTAATGGCCTGGCATTTTACCGTGATAGTTCCGTTTCCTTCGGCCATTGAAATAGGAAATATAACAAGAGTGAATGGCTGTGTTTATACATTTATTCATCCTCTAGCTTGCAAGTGCAGATCCTGTATGTACTATTCTTGACAAGCACAAATGACTTCCCATTAACCAGCAAATACCTCAGTACAAAATGCAATAAAAACACCGTTCATTTTTTTTCCAGTTTGAAAATCAAGATTTATTCAAGATAACCTATCAAGTGCTAGACCACTGGCCTTAGCTGCCATAGAAGACAAAACGCTGATGCAACACACAGCTTTCATGAAAGCTCTCGATACGTGGGACCACGGTGTTATTGCACACAAAATGCTCGCAAAAAAGAATTACTGGCAAAGTATGAAGATGGATTTATAATTTCTTAACAGAACCCAGAGTGTAATAGTCAACAAAGTAAACTCTGGATCATCCACCATTAAAGCTCAGTCCCCCAGGTTACTGTGCTTGTCCTATTTCTCATTCTTATGGCAGACGTAGACAAGGACACAAATTATAGTACCGTATCATCCTTTGCAGACGACACTGGGACTTATGAAACTAGACAATATGCAATACACAGCAAACCACCGAACTTATATAAATCGAGGTCTTTCGGTGGGCTGCAGAAAGTAATGTGATGTTTACTCCTTAAACTGTACATCAATCACATCCGGATATATTTATGCTCCCAAGTAAACAGACGCCATATTGAAAAAAAATTGTAGGTCCTCCTCCTGGATGTGAGTGCCTCAGTACTAAAACAGCAACCGTGAGTAATCCATGCAGTAGCAGCTGCAGCTCATAGCACCACCACGCACCTCGTGGTCAGAGCATCGTTTAATGATCAAATCAATAAGTAACAATTTTTTTATCAACAACAATGACACTGAAGCCCACGGCAGTGATAATACGTAAAAGAATCGGTGAACCTGATGCACGTGACAATCACTGCGCAAGGCACCGCCACAGCACACAATGAACCACAGTTTGCTGTGTCTACGCATTGTGCAATGGCACCTTATGTTCCTTTACAAAATGAACTTGTGAAAAATTATTCACATTCAGGATCTAGTGATAGGGATCCTAATAATAATAGCAGTGTTTTGGTTTGTATTAAGTGATGTACATAGTACATCCAGTGCCAGCGGCAACTAACAATGGTCCGAGAAGTTTACCGTCCAAAGAATATAATAGTGCGCGCACATTGTGCGTCACGTTAAATTATGGAAAATTCTCAAATTACATACTATGGCATAATATAACTGCAAAAAAATCAGTAAAAAAAAAATTAACACTAAAATAAGTAAAAATATATTCATGGCAACTACTGCCGCACACGTGGCCCGGGCAACCTCCTCGGGAAGTAAGCTCCATGAACTCTCTTTAATTGTGTGTCACTGCGAGAGTTCATCCCTCCACCACAGCCAAAGCAAGCAAGCAAGCAACATACAGTATATCGTTTTAATTTTCCTCATGATCAGGGAACACACAAAATCTTGCACACCAGAAGGTTGCCACGTAAATCAGGAAGGCAGTTCAGGTATTAATTAATGAAGGCATGTACCAGCTCCCGCACCACGGGAAAAAAATGAACATGTAAACCACATATAACGCAGTCAAATCACACTATAGAATGAAAAAGCGATTTAAGAGATTTGGAAATAATCCTGTCAGAAGACCTTACTTAGGAATTGTGCTCGTCCACTCGGACAGCGAGGGATTGAATGCTGACCTGCAAGAAGCGAGATCGCAGCTCTATTGTCCAGTTCAAGTGATTGAATTGGAAAATATTAGAGGGACTGTTTACAAGTCTGCACATGGAAATAACTCCACTTGAGACAATGACGCATAGCAGGAAGTGCAAAATATCCCCACTGGAAAGTAGAGGGGCAATATGTACACTGATAGGAAAATTCTACCAACCTCAAGACTTTTAATTTTCAAAACTTTCCCTTTAAACATAAGGGTCATAACTAGCCAACATCTTGTGGTGTTCAACAGAGGACATGATAACCAAAGGCTACCCGATCAACCAGGCTGCAAGTAGCTGCATCTAACAACCTGGTTAACCAGACCACCAACTAGAAAGATTGGTCAGAGACCAGGCCATCATGGTTCCTGGTGCCAGATAACTATGAAATTCATGTAACTATGCAAGGCTATGAAATTTGCTAGGATTTGAACTCGAGCCTAGGTGTAAGTAAATCAATATTTGCTTATTCCCGGGTAAGTATGTATTTAAGATATGGGCTAGCATGTCTTGAGACCCACCTTAAAACTATCTGTATACATAAAAGCACAAAAATACACGCTCAAGAATTCAAGTATTTACAATGAATATTGAGGCTATGCAAAGGCACCAAAGCCACATACATCCCTTACAAAGTAACACTTCACAACCAGTAGTTTCATTTTGGGCATCACACTGCAAAGTTGCAACATCTTGAGGTTATCTTGAGATGATTTCGGGGCTTTAGTATCCCCGCGGCCCGGTCCTCGACCAGGCCTCCACCCCCAGGAAGCAGCCTGTGACCGCTGACTAACTCCCAGGTACCTATTTTACTGCTAGGTAACAGGGGCATAGGGGTGAAAGAAACATTTTGCCCATTTGTCTCCGCCTCCACCGGGGATCGAACCCGGAACCTCAGGACTACGAATCCGAGGCGCTGCCCACCCAGCTGTCAGGCGCCCCTGGCATCAAGTAATATATCAGGCGACATCAAGTAATATAACGAAGCATTATCACAACAGCCCTGATAACAGTATAATATAAAAGGATTCTACAAAGAGCACAACTTTCAGATAACACGGGACCACAGGAAACTGCAGAAGACCTACTTGGCACAAAAGGCATCTCCTTTTTACCCCCAACTAAAAACTCATGTGTGTCTGACCTTTCCATCTATTATGTAAACTTGGTAATAGGATTGATGTGTGGAATAAATTATCAACCAGTATTTATATAGTCTTTAATAAATCTAAACTTACCCATTCTGTTCTCACTGTTCCATTTTCTATTTTGTGTTTATATATTTGCCTTATTAATATCTCCTTGTTATACACCTGCACTCATTTGCTTACTTCAACTGTCACTACTTGTCTCTTTTAGGATTATGTAAATCAAACTTTCTTAATATATCTTCACACACACGGTTTCTTAATTCTTGAGGTCAACTTCGTTATTGTCCTTAAATCCTAGTAAATTTATGTCCATTCTATATTGTGGTGACCAGAACTGGACTACATAATGAGGTCTAACAAAAAGCAAGATGAAGCTGATGACTGATGTTTTACTGCTAACACCTCCAAAAATAAATACCAATATCATATTTCAAACAGTTAACAATTAAAAATTTTTTTTTACTTAAAATCCTAATTAATCATAAACCCAATTTTTTCACATCCAGAGTTCTCAATGTCATCGTTCAGCTTAAATCTGGTAACTTTCATCATTATTTAGACTCGGAAACCTACATCTTTCAGCACTGAACTGTATCTGCTATATTCCGACCAGTTTACTAGATTGAATCCTAGCCATTCCGAGTCATTCTAAATTTATCTCCAGCCTTATGTTGTATTGTCTGCAAATGTCCAATCCTGTCTAAATCACACTCAGCAAGTTTTTCTCTGAATTCCCTTTATTCTATAAAACTAGCGAAAGTATATACATGACCTAATTAAATGAAAACATTTCATTTACAAATTACATGGAAGATTAACGAACTTTGCTCGACACAATCTAAGGATACATATGCACGGCGTGTGAAGTAAACTTGCCTCTTCCACTTAATTAAAACGAGGTAAAAGTTAAAAGGATTACACAGTTGGTTCTCATTCTAATGAATTACTGCATGCTCTGAACAGTTTGGGTTAGGTGCACAAATTGTTCATTGGAACAAACTTAGGAGTGTTTTCAGTAAGGATTGTTCACCTAAGACCCCACTCAGACTGGACACAGCCATAGTAAGAGTCAACCTAATCTAATTGTAAACTATTATGGCCCATAAAACCTTTAAAATAAACTTTAATAAAACGTTATTTTACAAATGATATAAAATAAAAATACCGAACAACACAAAAATATCCAAAAGCGAATCAATGCACCACGTGACACATCCATACTCACAGCAAGTCCATATACTTGCTACAAATAAAAAGTTATAAGAAATAAACATGTATATATTTTCTGTAGAAAATGAACCCGAGACACAAGTAGCCGTTGCGAGATGCTTCCACACCTGCCGTGTTTGATGGTGTGTGGCAGTTTGCTACATTAACTCTCTCCACCACATACGACCCAACCCTCGCTCACTTTATGCAATATTTACATCCTTGGGGTCCTATAATAATTGTATGTATGTATGCATGTTGATTGTGTGCAAATTATGACCATCACGTTATGTGCGTGTGCCTGTCATAGTTATACCTTTGACATGGAATTTCTTTATGAATGATTTTCTATCTTGTGCAATGATCAAAATGAAAAATACATACAAAATAATATTTTGGTTAATTTTCTGAATACCAATAAACAACTGTTGGCTATGATGGACTTGCACTTACCTTATGTGCTTTAGAGTTATTACGAAGATATTACACTATATTATATTGGTAATAAAACTGTATGCATTACAGTTCTTGTAAGCCCTCTTTGAGAAAAATTTGTGTCAGAGGGAGGCTCATCACAAAGGCATGATGGTTCAAACAGAATCCCTAATGCAACGCATAGGCCTTGCTTCATATAGTTCGTTGAAGCGAATTCACACAACGAAAGGAACTAACTGTAAACTGATCATTCTCAAAACTTACTCCACAAAAATGCAACAGTAATTATTAAAATCGAATGCTTCGAATATACGAAAACCTCCACTCGTGTACAATAACACACAGCTGCTGCAACCGAACCTTTAGATTAACATTGTAATCATCGATGAAAAGGCTTCAATATCCATTCCAATTTCCCTGAAGCATGAAATTCTCATGAAATCCAGCAAGATAAGTTTAATCCATCATCAAATACTTATTTTGTTAATAGACGTGATAGTTTTAACAGAAAATAGGCTCATGAAATTACACACTTACCTAGATCTATACGTCACTCTGGGTCTCTGGTAAGGTTCACGTACATAAGGCTCACTTCGACCAGCATAATAATCTTTAGGGTACGCACTGCCATACCCATAACCATGAGTAGCTGGGTATTGTCTTCCATACCCACCAGCATAAGCCCCATACCTGGAAAAAAGAAAAAATTTAATCTTGTAATATTTGTTCATCTTTTTTTTTTCTACATACCCTCAGATGCCTGTGATGACCAGATCAACACTCAAGAAACTGAACAGTCAACTCTTTAACCATCCTGTCCTCTAGAATAATACATTGTATTTTGATGTCAAAATGCCACACTGTCAAAATATGAGGCTATAAATCACAGCAGCCTGTTAAATTGATGGGCTGTTACGTTTTGTATTTGTGGGTCCATCAGTTAGGTTCAGGCGATTTAGTAAATCATTTTTGTGGTGTGACAACAAGAGGACATGCTGCTTTGACACAGCTAAGAAACTGATATGTTTAAAATAAATGTTACGATACCATTATGTTTACAATCACAAATATTTTGTTAAATGCAATTCAGAGAATAAAGAAAGAAGATCAAATGTCTTCTATTAGATAATAGTAGATATTGGAGTGGAGTACCACAGGGTTCAGTTCTTGCACCGGTGATGTTCATTGCCTACATAAATGATCTGCCAGATGAAATACAAAATTATATGAACAGGTTTGCTGATGATGCTAAGAAAATAGGAAGGATAAGAAACTTAGATGATTGTAATGCTCTTCACGAAGACCTGGAAAAAGTAAGTACATAGGAGCACCACTTGGCAAATGGAATTTAATGTGCATAAATGCCATGTTATGGAATGTGGAATAGAACAGACCCCCACAAAACCCATAATTATGTGGAAACTCTTTAAAGACTTCTGATAAAGAAAGAGATCAAGGAGAAGGTTCTAGATAGAAAACTATCACCTGAGGACCACATAAAGAACGTCGTTTGAGGAGCCTATCTTGAGTTATCTTGAGCCTATCTTGAGTTATCTATGCTACACTTTCTAACTTCAGAATTGCTTTTAAATACATGGATGGCAAAATACTACAGAAATTGTTCACGACCTTTATCAGGCCAAAGCTAGAATATGCAGCGGTTGTATATTGTCCATATCTTAAGCAGCACATCAACAAACTGGAAAAGGTGCAAAGATATGCCACCAAGTGGTTCCCCAGAACTAAAGGACAAAAGCTACGAGGAGAGGGTTAGAGGCGATATGATCACTGCGTACAAAATAGTAACAGGACTCGATAAAATTGATTAGGAAGAATTCTCGAGACCTGAAACTTCAAGAACAAGAGGACAGATTCAAGCTAAGGAAACAAAGGTGCTGTAAAAATATTAGAAAATTTTCTTTTGCAAACAAAGTGGTAGATGGTTGGAACACTAACTGAGGTGGCGGTGGAGGCCAAAACCGTCAGTAGTTTCAAAGCGTTATATGACAAAGAATGCTGGAAAGACGGGACACCACGAGCATGTCTCTCATCTTGTAACTACACTTGGGTAATTACACACACACACAAGACCATGATCTAAATATGGAAATATTTATAATGCTATACACAGCCTAAGTCAGGCCAGCAAAAGGCATGGACTCCCCCCCCCCACTTTGTGAATCAAGTCTGAAAAGGCCAAAAGGTCCACTATAAGTAATCATACCAGAGATATGATCACAAAGTACAAAATATTGAGACAGATATAGTAAGCCAGGACAACCAATTCGAAATGACGTGAACCAATAATGTGGGGGGGGGGCCACCATTTTATGTTGTTTGTTTTCTCCTGCTCATTAAGTCCTTCAGAATATTACACACACCATATGTTAACACCACTACCCGAGTAACTCCAGCATGGACCCCAGAAAACTAGCATAAGAAATATTGCCTGAACAAAGGTGGACATCTTCAAGAGGAAACTAGATTGTTTCCACCAAGGAGTGCCGGATCAACCGGGCTGTGGTGGGTATGTGGGCCACTCCATGCAACAGCCTAGTGGACCAGGCCGGGCTTGGCAAGTAGAAGAACTCCCAGAACCCCATCAACCAGGTATCAACCAGTTATCACACAATAAGAAACTTGATAAAATACGAAGACTTGCCATAAGAGCAGCACCAGAGATGCACGAGAAATAATGTATTAGGACAGACCGAGTGAAAAACTAACAATGGAAAAAAGCTGAACAAGTGGCACTATAATCACAAAATACTAAAGAAAGTGAACAGAATGAATAGAGAAGTATTCACCAATAAAACACGAGGGTACAGATGCATGCTGGGAACAATAATCCAGAGAGGGACACCTTCTTATGCAACAAGAATAGAATACAAGTGGAATGAGCTAGAACCAGGCGGTGGTAGATGCTGCCACAATTCACAGTTCCAAGAGCAAGTTTGACCGAGTCATGGAAAGTCGGGAGACGAAAATGTGAGAGGATTATAGAGCGGAATCTTGCTCCCCATACACACAAAATAGGTTAACAGACAAGTGCGTAATTATTAGAAAGGGAACAAATTTATTTGTCAATTAGTAATTACCGGCTATCAGGTACATGCTGTGGGTAGGCTGCCACGTAGGGATCTGGACGATCATCCTTCCTACCGCCGTGTTTGTTCCCTGGGTATTCTGGAAGTTGTGGACGTTTTGGATCCCGAAGATAATTGTTGAAGTAGTCCACCTAAGAAAAACAACAACGTTCTTTTAAAATATTTACAAAACATGAAAATTTGAAGTTTTAATTGCATGGGGGGCCAATTTAAAAAGAGGTAGGATAAGGTAGGTAGGAAGTTCCAAGGTAGGAAACTAATGGTATAGTACCCTGTATATAGAGGTGGGGAGGGGGAGAGTGGAATGGTTGCAAGGTGCTGCTGCAATGCACACAGGGAATGTACTAAGCTTAAGACTGAAGAGTTTGTATGTGCAGGGATGAGAAGATGGAATGTTATGAAAGGTAGACAGAAAATGGAAGTCAAGAGTTGGAGATGGTGGGAGTAGTAGGTTGAAGTGGAAGGTGGCGGAGGCTCAAGGTAGAGAGAAAAGGAAGGGGGGATAATCAAATTAAAAAAAAAGTACCGATGAGGAATGCTGATATAACACAGGTGTATAAATCACTATCAGCAGCATAGGCAAAGTTAGCACACACAACAGAATTTCAGATGACATGCGGTGATGTTATGACAACGCACAAAATAATAAAACAAATAGAAATTGGATAGAGGGGTTCATTTCCAGGTGAAAAATAGGAAAAAGGGAACACAGTTACAAATTGGAAATACGGATGAGACACTGAAATACAAAGAGATAACAGGGAGAATGCCTGGTCTGGCGGGCCACCCGCAACGGTACGGCTACCTAGCAAGGTAGGTCGGGCATTGCCCGTGAGCACACAACGCAATGTTAAATACTTTCACTAACAATGTTTATACTTACTAATAATAAGAAGCAAAAATTATTTGACGGCGTTAACGTCATACGCCGAACTGCGTGTACTGTTTTGATGACAACGCAAACGTCATCTCGTCAAAGTGTTAAACATTTGGAATGAACTTGAACCAGTGGTGAAGGACCAGTATGAAGGTACAGGAATGTCAGGAGGTATAAATGCACCAGAGACAATAAATGTGAGGCAGACTCGAACTATCTTCCTCCTCATACAGGCAACTAGGCAAGAACATTAATTCAAAACAACTTAGCTGATTTTTTGCCAATGATAAGAGGAGGAATATCCACTTTTGCTGTTTTGTTCAGCAGGCATAAAGAACTTATTCAAATTAATTTGAATTAGATCATAGGTATGATATTGCAAAACTTAAAATAATAATATACTGCATATACACTTACCTCTTTCTTGACTTCCTTGACCTTTTCAGCATGCTTAATGAGAATGTGTTTGTGGACATATTCGGCTCCTTTGAACTTCTTCCCACACAAGGGACACTGCCATTTATCTTTGGCCACTTCCTGAGTATTGGACTGAACAAATTTTTCTACTTCTTCTTCTGCTTCCTTCAGACCTTTACAAAATAGATAAAAAAAATTACAGGTATATAAAATTAGTAGATAAATATATGTATTGTTAAGCCCTTGGAATAAAATACCAGAATTGTGACTACACAAATCTTGCCCAACCGTTTCCGTTTCCAAGGGAAAACCTTCCTTTGCAAATATATATTTCATTCGCTTAAATATTTACTGTCAATACTTCAATGGTCTAGCTTGTTTACACTCATAACAATAATTGCATGGCCAGTCATAAAATCCCACACACTCTCTTGACAGTCATTATGTTCATTTCTTTGGTCTGGTTCCTGCCCTCTGGTCGATACTGTAATTAAACAGGTGTTATTTCCTTTCAGTAATAATTATTTCTCTAGTTTCTTAACACAGATCTTATTTGAAGGCGACCAAAGTTCGGGAAACGCTCGAAGAACCTCCCATCATTCCCAGGCAGGTATAGTGATGGGGGTTTGTTGGTGGAATAGTGCATGTATTTGTATTCAGGCAGCTTGTAGAGAATGAGAGAAAAATGGAAGGTGAACATTGGTCTCATGGACTTCAAAATATGTATGAAAGTTATTATGTTAATTTTGGAGTGATGAACATGAAAGGAATCGACAACTGACACCCACTCGACCAAGCCCCCTCCTCCCACACCCACCTGATCCATCCTGTCTGCCCAATAACTTCCTCCCGTTTCCTAAATACTTCCCTCCTGCCCTGTCAAGATTCCTCCCTCCCACCCAATCTTGAGGTTATCTTGAGATGATTTCGGGGCTTTTTTTTAGTGTCCCCGCGGCCCGGTCCTCGACCAGGCCTCCACCCCCAGGAAGCAGCCCGTGACAGCTGACTAACTCCCAGGTACCTATTTACTGCTAGGTAACAGGGGCATTTAGGGTGAAAGAAACTTTGCCCATTTGTTTCTGCCTCGTGCGGGAATCGAACCCGCGCCACAGAATTACGAGTCCTGCGCGCTATCCACCAGGCTATGAGGCCCCCTCTATATATACCTCACACCTGCCCACCCAATACCTCTATTTATCCCTCATGCCCGCCCACTATCTCCCTCCTCACACCAGCCTCACCCTTAATTCTTATTTCCATCAAATTTAGACAGAGTACAGAATGATATAATCCTGATTATTGACATTCGCTCGAATTATTAATATAATGAATGGATAATTTCACTTTTTTTATGTAATATCAATAATATTCTTTCACTATTATTATTCCTCCTTCATTGTGCTGATACCTACACATTCCAAGAAAGAGTGATATGGGATAATAACGATGAACTAATTCTCAAGTAAATTAAATCTAAAACCCAGAGCTGCAATCACAGCAGCTCCTCTTCCCCTGAGGTTCTTGCCGACCACAAAGTGTAGCCCAGCATGGTCTCCCCCAAACCTAAATAACGATGGCAATAAACAAAAACATGCATATAGTTCGGTTCCACATGACTCATCAATTCGGTTCCGTCCATACCACAACTCAACTATCACGTACACCACGATCAATCACAGCTCGGTGATACTTTAGCTATTCACAATATAACTTTTTAATTTAATTCGTTTACATTGCACGCTTAACGTGCAAAATCATTTATGCAGTGAATGTGCACATTATCTGCTAACAAAACAAAAAACTTACCAGACTTACCTAGCTTTTTGGATTCATCTTCACTTAGTTTCGTGAGGGGTTGAAGGAAAGAACCAATTTTGTTCTCAAATGCTCGACAGTAGTCCTGTACCTCCTGTGGAGTGACTTTGCTTGATGGAGGTATGCCACGAGCATGCATTATGCCACAACGGTTAGGCATCTCATCTTCATTGGGATACTCAGAATGATTGTAGTAATCAACGGAATGAACAATGCGTAGATAAAGCAACAACCTATCAAGGACCTGGAAAAAATAAACAAAAAATATTCAACAGTCCAAGAAAAAATGGTGAAAAACTACCAAAATAACACAATACAGTACATAAAAAACCAGTAATCAAAGACGCCACACAAGGACCCTTCTACTTACCGAGATAAGACTAGGTTCACGTTCGATGGCTTCCCCTTCAGCCTTTTCTTCGGTGGTGTTCGTGACGGCACTGTTAGCCCCAAGAAGCTCTTCTTCCTCGGCACTTGCTTCTTCAATCAAATAGTCTGTGATGTTACGCAACACCGGGTTGGACGACGATGTTAGACTCAACAACTGCTTTGAAAAGAAACGGCAAAGAAAAATAATGTCTAACTGCACCTTTCAAGCCATGCTTCACTTGAAACTTCCCATCATTAACAGAAACCAAACATCTTCAGACATTTCCCATCCAACTCCAGGATTGTCAAGGAGCAGGTTTACAACTACTTGTTATGCACACACAACCTGAAGCCTAATTCAAAACTTCATACCTTCGAGCCGTTACCGCGACTGGAAACTGATATTACAATTTTTTTTTTTTTACTTTAATTCCAAGATAAATTAAGCTTATAATTTTGAAAGTTTTTAAATAATAATAATTCATAGCTAACTGATTTAAGGGGGCATATCAATGTAAAATTAAAAGTGGTTCAATTTGCTTATAAATTTTTTTATGAAATGGTTATATAAAGGGCTGCAGCTGGTCCAAGTTTCATCATCACACCCTAAACAGAAAAGGAGAAAAAAAAATAAACAACGAATTATGCAACGAATTTTCAAATAGTTTCAGGGAACACATGTGTCAACGAAAATCATTTCTATAACACTCAGATATTAAATTAAGCACATAATAAAGGATTCTAGTGATCAGTTTTATCAAAAAAGTGTTTAGTGCAATAATATAATTTTTCAAAGTTACCCTTCTAAAAAAATATGCAATATATGATATTTATAAATTTTTATAAAATCAACAAATAGACTTTGGACTAAAATGTCTACTAGATTCTGTAGAAGCACAAACGCTACATAAAAGGTGTAATTTGCATGTAAATTGATTAATAAATGAAAGCTCTGAAGTAATTTGAAGGTGTAAATTACTTTCCAGTGTAAAATAAAGATCCAAGTTCGGCCACCTGTAGCTGAGCTTGACTTCGACAGATTTCGTTCATAATTGGCACCCTTGCAGATAGGCATCCATTGAGCAAGGTGTGCAAGTTTCATGCAAATCCCTTGATAACAAACGAGAAAAAAATATTGGAAAAAAAAAAAAAAAAAAAAAAAAAAAAAAAAAAAAAAAATTTAAATATAAATATATTGCACATACATATTACAATTATTACAAGAGTTTGTGCTTCTACAGCACATAGTAGACATTTTAGTTGACACATGTGTTCCCTGAGATTATTTGAGAATGTTGAACATTCGTTGCATAATACGTTGTGTATTTTTTTTCTCCTTTTCTGTTTAGGGTGTGATGGTGAAACTTGGACCAGTTGCAGCCCTTTCTATAACCATTTCATAAAAAAATTTATAAGCAAATTGAACAACTTTTAATTTATAACGATTTAGAATGATATGCCCCCTTAAATAACTTTATCTCCATGTTAGCCACCACATACTGGATTGTCTTCATTATCATTGCAGTCTATCCAGAGGCTCCATCTTGAGTCTAGATTTTGAATAATCTTCGCCGACAATTTGATATCTGCACGAACTACAGCACGATGAGAGGTAATTCCATTCACAGTGCGGATGCGACGGCTGAGATCCCGGTTGACAATGGCACCCAGTTCACAGTCTCGTAACTGTGGGATAAGAAATTGCGACATATAAGCATATAATTGAAGCCAGGGTTAAATATTAACAAGAATACCTAATTAGTATATCAAGCCCTTTCACAAAACTGCAAATCAAAAGACGACAAATATGATATTTATCGCCAAGATTCAGCTCGAAAAGTATGCAAATCAATGAAGAACCATTAAACAAATGGTATGGGTCGTAATGACAACAATGACCTTAGTGTTCCGACCATAGACGGGCACTCAACAAATGTCTCTGGTAGCAGAACTGATGTATTATGCCAAGGTGTAGAGGCAAACTGCAAACCAGGCATTGCTCGAGTATAACATCACAAACTTGAACTTTTGATACAGAGCAACACCATTGATCCAAATTTCATGGTTTCAAAAACCTGCTACATTGTCATTGAAAAGGTTAATGCAACGGCCTACTACAGCTTTCTCTGGGCGAATCGTTTCAACAAAAGTTTGCATTTCTTCCCACAGTCTACACCACTTCCTAATTGTTAAGGAAGGGACATTCTCTACTGCCTCCTCCTCCCCTGAAGAAATATCCTCAGCTGCCTCTTGTTGCTGCTCCTTTTGAAGGGCTTGGAGTTTCTCGATGGTCAGTTCTTCACTGTGTTCTTCCACCAACTCCCCACATCAGCACTGTTCAACTCCAAGCCCATTTTCCAGCCCAGAGTAACAATTTCCTCAACAATAGATACTTCATTTCCAGGCTCAAACCCCTCGGTCTCATTCTGAAACACAATCAGGCCACAATTTTCTCCAGCCACAGATCAGGGTTCTTCGAGTCACTTCTTGCCAGGCTGTGTCAGAGTTTTAAAGCACTACAAATGTTAAAATGTTTATCCAGAACTCTTTGAGGGTGAGGTTTGTGGCATCAGTCACTTCGAAACATTTCAGGAAAAGTGCCCCTTCATAAAGTTTCTTAAAATTGGATACGATTTTCTGGTCCATGGGCTGAATTCGAGGAGTGGTGTTGTGTTAGGAGGAAGGAACTTTATTGTAACAAAATTAAATTTGTTCAAAAATGCATATTCCAAGCCTGGAGGATGAGCAGGAGCATTGTCGAGAAGCAGGGCCTTGAGTGGCAAACTTTTCTCCTGTAGATATTTTTGTACGGATGGGCAAACCACCTCATTCACCCACCCCGTAAAAAATAGCCTCGTCACCCATGCCTTATTATTAGCCCTCCACATCACACACATTTGGCTTCTCTGCACATTATATTTTGTGAAAACTCTTGGATTTTCAGAATGACACACAAGCAAGGGTTTAATTTTCAAACTGCCACTCGCATTTCCACACAGCACAAGAGTAAACCTATCTTTCATAGGCTTGTGTCCGGGCACAATGACCTCTTTAGGAAGCCGGTCGGCAAAGCGGACAGCACAATGGACTTGTGATCCTGTGGTCCCAGGTTTGATCCCGGGTGCCGGCGAGAAACAATGGGCAGAGTTTCTTTCACCCTATGCCCCTGTTACCTAGCAGTAAATAGGTACCTGGGTGTTAGTCAGCTGTCACGGGCTGCTTCCTGGGGTGGAGGCCTGGTTAAGGACTGGGCCGCGGGGACACTAAAGCTCCGAAATCATCTCAAGATAACCTCTCACAAATGATGGCCTCTGAAAACCTATCACCTGCTAATTCCTTGTTGTGTATCCAAATTAATAACTTTTCAACATCCTCAAGCAATTGTGTTTTGTTTCGTGATTGTTGATACGCCTTTAGCCACTTTAGCACTCAAAATGTTTTTTTTCTTGGCAAGTATAGTGCATATTGTGACATGGATTTGTTGTACTGCCTAGCTAGTTCAACAACACGAGTACCATTTTCATGTTTACGAATGATCTCTTGTTTTTCCTCTATGGTCCTTCTTACATGTGTTTTCTTGCCTTGAACCTTACCACTGGCTTTCTTGGAACCCATGGCGAGATACATAATAACTTTTATGCTCAACTAGCCAAAAATCCCCCCCAAAAAAACAACTAAATCCTTGCAAAGAATTTAGGCGGGATAGTCACTAGGCAGGAGGCACTGGGAAACAGACGAGATCGCCGTGCCACCACACGCTAGGTCGGCCATACGTGTATCAACAAACTCGTTTCCCGAGGTAAAGTTTGTAACCCGATTCAAATTTTCCGAAGAAATTGGGATCGTAACCCGAAAAGTTCATAAAGAGGGGCATTCGTAAACCAAGGTACCACTGTACAGTACTAACTTTTGATGTGGAAAACTACTTACAGCATTATTTGAACAGAAATTTTCAGAATCAAAATGTTTAGTAAGGTACCTTGTCTTACCAGACCAATCATGTAAAATTAAAATTGCCGTAATAACTCCTCGAAACACAAAAGTATTAAAAGATCACTAATACTACTACTAATAAAAATTATTGCTTTACAGTGCTCATAAAATACTCACTCTGATATTATTTAGGTTCCAGCATATGTCCTTGATATTGACGTGTCTCTTAAACGTGACCCAACCCCGCCTGAACCACCTGCGTTCTGGCTGGGGATCAGCGATAGCTGCTCTCAGGAATCCATTATATCGGCGACACATCTGTTACAAACACGGCAAAATTGCATACACACAGAAATCACAATAGCATGATGAATCAAATGAACAAATCCACAAGGGCCGTGATGAGGGTTCGAACCTACATCCGGGATGATCCCATACGTGTCTTAGTCGACCGTTCCACGACATGGTTAAAAGAATTGCAGCCAGTAGCACTCCAGGTTGCAATTCTTTTCAACCACGTCGTAGTGCAGTCGACTAAGGCGAGTCTAGGATCATCCCGGACGTAGGTTTGAACCCTCATCACGGCTCTTGTGGACTCTACCACAAAATTGCTTTTTTAACATTCTAGTTCTGTACGTGATTATTGATACAGTACTAACTACATACATTATGCAATAGGTACAGGTGATCCATTAAAAAAATTGTATAAAGAAACAGATGAAATTTTTGTAATAAATTCAAATACTGTATAGCACAAATGTTTTTATATACATAACTAGTGTATAAAAAATATAAAATATCTAAAATTTAGTAAACTATATTTAATTCACCAACAGAAAAGTTTTAATACAAAGAGATCTCAAATTTGGGGACGAATTGATAAACAAAAAATGCTAAAAACACACTTATTGCCTAAACACATTTATTCCAGTGAACACTAAACATTTCACCTCCAACGTACTTTATAGTAATCTGAATAACAATGCTGAAATAATTTGAAATAGCATGCATTTATTCAACTAATAAAATTAAATGTTTAGGACAGCTAAATATTCTATGCTACCACACTGAGTAATCAAATAAGTAAAGCGCTCTCATCCTCAATGAAAGGAGAATAATGTGTCACGTACAAAAAGGGAAACCTACAAAATTATACACCTGTAAACTTACAGCTTCCACTTCCTGTTTGGTTATAGTAGGGGCAAGGTTGCGCAAAAATATCGACGCAGTTTTATGAAGGGCTCGGGGCCGAAGATCCTCCTCCTCCTCTTTGTTGTTGTTGTTCTCCTCCTCGTCCTTCTTCTCCTTTTCTTTATTTTCCTTATCACTAACCTTGGATTCACTCTCTGCAAAAGAAGCATATCATCAGCAGTGGGGTTCATACCTGCAAGCATACATACATACGCAATGTACGTATGTATACATTTCATACACAATGAAATCACAATACTGTAGTGAGATTTATCACGCGGGGGAAATTTTTTCGGAACAGCTATATTTCACTGTGATTCTATAGACTAGCCAAGTGTTTCTGCACCCTAGTGTGATACAACAAATTGACACTCCCTATCCAAAGGATTACAAAGGTGCTTGGTGTCACACTGGCTTGGTGCCAGTGTGACACCAAGCACCACAGGAAAACATTAGCCCGTTGCGTCAGCATTTCAGCTCCCACCCTAGGCAGGGATGTCAATTGAAATGCATCCTTACCAGGCCAAGACAAATGTCTTATAGTATTTCTTTTTGCCGGGGAGGGGGTGGGGGTGTCATTTTCCTTACTTTCACAAAGCTAGATTTATAAATGAAAAGGTTTATGATTTCCCTAAATATATTTTTTTATTTATCTAAGGGAGGGGGTTGTGTAGGACTGGCTGAAATACATATTACATTTGAGGGCTTAGAATGCCAACCACTTATTAATCTCTAACCCTAAATTAACCATCAAATTCCCCACAATTATTGCTGTGTCTTGTAATGTATAATATAAATAAAAGTGATGTGCACTAATTCATAAACATTAACCATAGGCGCATGAAGAGCATCATGGCCCAAAATGCTAGATCTTCCCTTTTAAAGGAAGGGTATAACAATAACAGTTACCTTCTCCATCTTCTCCGTCTTCTTTCTCCTCTCCATTCTCTTCTCCAGGAGGTTGGAGTCCATTTTCCTTAGCCGTCTCCTCTTCCTTCTTCTCTTCCTCTTTTTTCTCCGCCTCCTCCCCCTCCTCCTCCTCTCGTGGTTTTAAGCCATCAACACTTCCTTCTTTCTCCATGCCAGGTGGAGGAGGTTCCTTTGGCTCGTCTTCCATGGGTTCATCCTCAGAGTCACTGGAAGAGCTGGATGATGAACTGCCAGAGTGCTTTCTTTTGCGAGTTTCTGTTGGAGTCGAAAGAATATACACTCAAACTTTATCAATCTACTATTACCTCTTGACATCATCAGCAGCTTCCACGCAGTAGCATATTTCAAACAGGATGCCAGATGACCCAATCCTACTTTCTTACACTGTTACCCCTATTTAATCATTTTTCTCAAGTGCTATAAATTAAAAAATGTAATGACTTACCATCACTAATTCCTTCCATGTCTTCTCCTCTCTAATGCTTTCTAACAGAACTAAAATTGACAAATTCCTAAAGCTTTCCCTCTAACACCATATCTACAATGTATAGTTACAAGTGCAAAAAATGATCCCATTCCATAAGCAGAGCCTAAATACTGCTTAATCCCATTTCTGGGAGGCAGCTTTCAACGTTAAGAATAAGAATTATAGGATGAATTAGGATGATTAGATTAGGAACTATTAGGATGAATTTTAATAGACAAATACATACGAACAAAACATTTGGGCACTGATGCAACCTGTCCCTTCTCCCACAACAAGTTCAGCGCATAAAAATACAAGCATCCTAAAAGTAGTTTACGTAACTAATTCAAATAGTTTGTGTGAATAATCTAGGTGCATATTTCCAACACACTCCTATATGCCAAGGTTAAAACGAATAGGCAAAAAGATTCGCTCCACATTCACATGTAAATGTTACCATCCGTGGTTGGATGGCACCATTCCTTCCCTCCATCCTATCCCAAATCTTAGTCCCCACATCTCTTCCAAGTGCTATATACAGTAGTCCCAATGGCTTAGTGTTTTCTCCTGATAAGCAATTACTCATTTATCACCCCCAAATATCCCCCCCCCCATTCTGCAACAGATTCCAAATGCAGTACTAATCACCTGCCAAATGATTGACGAGGCCAATGGCCAAAATCTTAAGAGCTTTTGTTGACTACCCTTCTCATTTACCTACCTGCCTTTGGGTAATACATTCCCTTATCTATATTTTCTTTTATTTGGGCACACCCGACAAATCTCTGCATTTGGGACTTTGCCACTTGACTGCTCGTTTGGCAGCTCTTCCTTTACAAGTACTGAATAGTACTGTATTTGCAAATCCTAATTCTCTATCTATTTATGACCTAAACTTTATTCTACAACTTGTACACTAGACACTAATATATGTTTGCATCACAATTCAAAACTGTATTGTGCTTGCACGCAATACTGACCCTTTTCTCCGTCTGTGCTTTTCTGCTTGAGGTACTCCTTTGCCTTCTTTTGGAGTTCCATTTGTTCTTCCGACATATCCATCTTCATCGGTTCATCGGGGTTTTTTGCTTCAGGTTTATCTTTGTCTGCGCCATCATCAGAACTACCAAAAAATATATATATAAAATTTAAATGCACACATGATATGGTACTATGCCATACCGTCCTCCTCTAATAAATATCAATTTCCAGTTATCGAGTTACTTACCAAAGCTTCGCAAATAGTAAACACACACACAAAAAACAGCTCCAGTAGCATAAAATAAGCCATTAGTGTGTGTGTGAAAGGTATGCGGGGAGTTCTAACTTAAGAGAAAGTGTTCGACATTTAAATGTGGGAAAATGTGTAAGCATGCATGTGTGTCAATCATATGAGTGACCATGTATGTGGAAGTATGTGTAGGAAAGTTTGTACATAATTATGTTTGTAAGTGCTAGTGGAGGGAAAAGTGCATGCAAACATGTGTGAAAGGTGTGCAAGGGTTGAATGTAAATATTTGAATTGCAAGTGTGACCATATTTAATACAGTGTGCATGTATGTGTATATGTATATATGTATAAATATATATTTATAGACAGTGGCATCTCGATTAACGAGTTTAATCCGTTCTGGCAGCGAGCTCGTTATGTGGATAACTTGTCTTAAACATATTATCCCATTTAAAATAAAATAAATAAATATAATCCGTTCCACTCCCAAATACATCCATACTTGTATGACATTGTATAATGTTGGTTGATACCTGGTTGATACCTGCTTGATGGGGTTCTGGGAGTTCTTCTACTCCCCAAGCCCGGCCGGAGGCCAGGCTTGACTTGTGAGAGTTTGGTCCACCAGGCTGTTGCTTGGAGTGGCCCACAGGCTCACATACCCACCACAGCCCGGTTGGTCTGGCACTCCTTGGAGGAATAAATCTAGTTTCCTCTTGAAGATGTCCACTATAATGTAAATATAATACTGCACATGTAATTATAAATGTTTTGTTGTACTGTTTTCATGTTTACTTTACCTTATGAAGAGTCGTTGCTGGCTTGAGGGAGACGATGGAGAGGTGGGAAGGAGGAGAGGGGTTATGATGTAGGAGGAGAATCCACATGAGTCAGGCGGCCTCTCTCTTCTTGGGAATTTCACCCCACTGGGACCAGGTTGTGGTTCACTATCACTTGCTGGTCTTTACTTTTGCAAAGAACGAGTCTATTGATAATTGCTTTTGTCTTTGTTTTAGGATGTTCCTAAAACGAGACAGCAAATTGTCATTAAACATGTTCACACACCGGGGTGTCACTGCTTTATCAGGGTGATGCTTTTCCAAGAATGCAGTCACCTTTTCAAACATTCCCAACACTTCGCTGATCTCACTGGAAGAGGAAGCATCCTCCCTTACCTCCTCATCCCCTTACTAATGGTGCAAATTGTTGATGGAGGACCTGCCATACTCCCTTGTGAGATCAGTCACACGGACACCACATTCATGCTGTGCTATAATTTCCTTCTTCAAATCCACAGTAATTGTATCTTTCTTCCTCTTGAAAACACTATCTTTAGCAAGCAGCTTCTTTGGCAACATCGTGTGTCATAAATTGTAGTCGCAAAACCACGAAAAAAACAAAGAAAAGCGCAAATAAATGCAGAGGGATGCTTGTCATGCGCGATACAGCAACAACACTGGAGTCAGAGGCGTCCGAGAATTTGCGAGAACAAACGAGACACTAGGAAGCACCATGTGGTTTTGCTCGTTAATGGAGGTGAAGTTCGCCAATAGAGACAAATTTGCTGCGAGTGGCTTGCTCGTTACTCAAAATGCTTGTAGATAGCCGCTCGTTAATCGAGGTGCCACTGTATATTCATATATGTATATGCACAGAGATAATTTCATCCCAAAACTTTCACCTACTGACAGGCAAACTAAACGACCCAAGGCCTACCCACCTAAATTATCAAGTGATTAGTTAAAATATTTACCTTCTAAGCTTTATATTTGAACTAAACAAAAAATATATATGTAAAATTCAGAAACCCTATGGTACTACTACACCTGCATTTATTCAACTCCTTGAGCTCGTGAACAAACTTCAAATTCAGATACATAACTGAAATAGTCTTATTAATAACCTACCAACACACATTTAAATTCAACAAAATATTAGTTCTTTTACAGACAGTCGAATACGAAAACGTCAAACTTACTCTTCGCCTAAGATAAAAGGCTTCTTCTCTTCCTCAGTGATTTGTGGCTTAACATCCTCTTCAGGCACCTGATCCAGCACCTGCAGATCCAAGTCTGTGCCACCCTCCAATTTGATGACGACAGAATCCAGCAATTTGAGCAGTTGATCCGACTGGTCAGCATCCACGCTGATGTTCTCCATGCGGTTAGCCTCGAGCAGTTCCGTGAAAACGGACACGCGCCGCTGAAGAGGAAATACAAAAAGATGAGACCACCCATTTAATGGATGCCCTGAGTGGGTTAGCCAGAGGCTTAAAACTCCAGCAGGAAGATACCTGCACATAAAAGGATATTCCCCCTCCCCTGAAAATGGCTAGTTCTGTATCCCCTTCAGGCGAAACATTTCCTACACCACCCAGCCTTATCACAACACACAAGTGTCAAGACCAGAATCTAGCTGCGGTCTAGACTTTTAACACTTACGCCCACCAAAAGCAATCACCGATTGTCTATATATAATGAGCAAATAGACGATTTGCTTATTATATATAGCTACAGCTTTGGACGATTTAGCCTGATGCTGCCAAATAGTGTAAAGTAAAAGGAGTGCAAAAAGTTAAAAATAGTGGAAAGTTAAAGATATTCACACTGATCAGCATCAATGTGAATATCTTTAACTACAGTACCAAATCCTATGGTACAAAAGTACCCTACGGTACTTTTGATACAAATGATACAAAAGTACCCTACGGTACTTTTATATCTGGTCCAAGCAGGGGAGATTTTTCAGCCTCGTGAAAGTAATAAATGATTATCAAATGGAAGCACTGTACTGTATTTAGATTTAACATTTGCTATATCTGCTTTTTTTTAGTTTCTCTGAAAACATATGTGTTATACAACATGCCCAAAATATTTGTCCGAAATATCGTACCCGGTACACGCATGAGCACAACATGAAAATGATAGGTCAGCACAAAATGAAAATTGTACTGTATTTTGAAGTGTATATTAACCAAAATTGATTAAAATTAATATTGTTGAAATACTACATTTGAATATGCATAATTTTATATTGTTAATGCGTCATACAATTATATTTTCCCCTCTAATTCATATCAGAAAAAATTCAGAGCACTTCCATGGCGCATGAATGATGGCAAATGGTATACAAAATGTGAGCAAATTATTTTAAAACTAACTTAGGTTTTAGATGCACGTTTAATTATTAAAACCTAATCTCCTGTAATGTGTTTTACCTTAAGGTTGGCCAGTTGTTCGTCCTTCCGCTTCACACACTCCTCTGGATGGTACTTGGCCTTGAACCTAAAGCAAACCATTGGAATACATTAGAATTGGGATAAATAACAAAACAAAAGAGAGCCAACCTGACAATCCTCACTTACTGATTATAGCGGATTACACAGAGCGAGTTTCCTTCACTTCACAATAACAAAACTTACATAATCATCAGCTTACTATTGATTAGGGTCATCCACTGAACAACCACACACTATAAACTACACTTTAATTGAATTGACATTACTAATTAGTGATGATGACACTCCTAAACACCGGGTGGATAACTAGTGCTGCATGTCGTCGTTTCTGGAACCCTTTGCGATTTACTCTTTCTCATAGTGTTGGTGACAATGGAATAGAAATCAATAAATATGTTATCACTAGGCACAATAATTCTCACCTGCCTTGGCTGAACTTTGCAACCTGAATCACACATGGGCTCGGTAAGTAGGTAACGAAGCGAACGATAGGTCATTGTGCGACCCCCTAACTAACATACGTTCAAATCGCATCACTAACACTGCATTGCGCGCAGCGCCCCTATCTAACCGCGGAAACGAGCCCCATGTGCGCGTTTCACCAGTTCGTCAGAACAGAAATTCAAGTTGGCTTGAGGTCTGCAGCAGTAGGTAGAAGCTGGAAAACAACTGTTAGGGGGCAAATGTTAGATTAGGTAGGGAAATGTCTCAAGCAGACATCCCATTTAAATATTTTAGAGAATTTAATTGTTGAAGACTAGAAAATATTTTGAAGAACTATCTACTAAGAAGATTATTTTGAAAAATAAACTCACCTAGTTGTGTTTCTAGTCTACCTCACTAACTTGATAAATTCTTAAAACTTGAGAGTATAATCATTTAACCCTTTGCGGCACTGGACATTTTTTTCCCGTCCATGCCTAACTTGCTCTCGAGCTTGTGAATGTGGAGCTTTTGGGCTCTTTCCCACCCCACCTTCCCACTCCACATCTTCTATCTGAATTTCAACATATTACATCCATAAAATCATGATATATGAAGCAACTGTGACATTCACTTAACAAAAACACTGCAGAAAACCGAAAGATTGCATGGCAAAATATGATTCTTGCATATAAACAGTACGAGAATAATGCTCCTCATGTGCATATACCTCAAGAAAATACTAACATTTTCTAGCTATTATTTACATGTTAAGTATTAAATAGGAAGTGTCTAGAAATACAAATTTCAAGATATAATAAAATGACAATTACTGATATAGTATTGTGTACTACTTACAAAGTGAAGCAGGTGCTGCTGACCCCCTACTACATTTTTGGGTCTTTTTGTCCTCTTATTTACAAGTCGAAGAGAGGCTTCATTTCACACAACATGAACAACGCATCTGGCAGTGAAGCCAAGGTTGTTAAACACACTAGCGACACGCTGGCAAAGCACCTCGCTGCTCTATACCAACCCCAATACATGAGACCCATAACAAAACTTATTTGCAAATATACACTACAAGTTTGGAAAAAAAAAATTACTATACGCTATTCAAGATTCAATAAAAATTACTTGGAATACAACAATTTGAATATTTTAAATACATAATAGTCTATATCAGCTTTTAGAAATAATAGCACAACAGAAGAACGACAGCTACTTTCAATGTAAAAATAGAGAGTTTTGTAATAATGTAAATCAAATTTAGTGTTCATTTTCCAAAACAACCAACATCAGGCGATTTTCAAGTTATGAAATTTTGGGTATTTAGACACCAAAATGCCTGGGGCCACAATATCCCAGAGTAACGTTACTTAAAAGTTGAACCAACATTATTCTTGCATACTGCGTCTACTGTGATATTGCACCAATGTTATTTATTCAAAATAACCTAACATTTTATTAACATTAGATCAATGTTATTGACATTACTCCGATGTTTAACCCCTGGACAGCCGTTATCATCAAATGTCGATTCACAGGGTAATGTGGTCATCGACGTATGACAATTTAAACAATGTCTGGGTTTTGCATGTATGACGCAAATAAGCATATATCATCTATATGGATGTAATGGAGATTACCTTGACCCCATGAAAAAATCCTGCCAGCATTTCATAGTTACTGTGTGAATACAGTTATTGTCATTGAATAAAATTCTTGTCATAATTACATGATACCAATGATTTTCATATGGTTTTCACAACTCTCTATGGTTGTAATGAGGAATACCAGGTAAGCCAATCAAGTGAACCAGTATTATGCATTACTTTTACTAGAAGCCTGCCGGCATCTGAGGGATGCACATTGGTGGTTTACGCCGGTTTCAATCTATACCATCCCCCGTGTGGTGCCAATTAGGCCCTATGTCATCGCCCAGAACGCAACACCTCTGGGAATCGTGTATGTATGTGTATATATGGGTTTCACTACTCTATATGGTTATAATGAAGTATGCCAGGTCAACCAATCATCAAATGTGTTATATGAATTATGCCATGCATCAGCCTGACGTATGAATCACAGCCTCATTGATCAGGTATCCTTTAAAGGTGTTTATCTTATTTTATCGATAAATCCACAAGGGCCATGATGAGGGTTCGAACCTACGTCCGAGAGGATCCCAGGCATGCCTTAATCGTCTGTGCCACGACATAGTTAAAAGAATTGCAACCGGGAGTGCTACTTCCCACACACAGATATTGCAGTCTTTCCGAGACAAACCAGGGTTTTACACAATTCCCCATACACCCGGGCTCTGTCAACAAGCTGTTCTACCTCTTCGCCCTTACTCCATTACACACAGAAATTACAATAGCGTGATGCGTCAAATGAACAAATCCACAAGGATCGTGATGAGGGTTCGAACATACATCCGAGAGGATTCTAGACGCGCCTTAATCGACTGTGCCAAATGTGCATGGGGGAAATTGTGTAAAACCCTGGTTTGTCTCTGAGAGACAGTAGGATCTGTGCGAGAGAAGCAGCACTCTGGTTGCAATTCTTTTAACTATTGTCACAGCACAGTCGATAAAGGTGCGTCTGGGATCCTCTCAAGAGGTAGGTTCGAACTCTTAATCACGGCCCTTGTGGATTTGTTCATTTGATGCATCACGCTATTGTGATTTCTGTGTGTAATGTGTTTATCAAGTTCTCTCTTGAACACTGCGAGGGGTCGGCCAGTTATGCGTCTTATGTGTAGTGGAAGCATATTGAACAATCTTGGGCCTCTGATGTTGATAGTTCTCTCTCAAGAGTACCTACTGCACCTCTCCTTTTTAACGGTCTAGAGCCCAGCTAGACCACATAGTCATAGCCCAACTTTTCACAGTACCTTTGCCCAGTAAAAATGCAAAAATTCCCTTATTTTCATGCTTTTCTTACATTTTGCAAACAAATTAATAATTATTATTAAAAATTATTTTGGGGATTTTTTTTGTGCATAGGCAAGAATGGCCATTTTTTCCTAGCCACTGTCCAAGGGTTAATCTGTGTTGGGTCAACACTACTGAGGTTTGTGTGATGCTAAAACACTGAATAACCGGAGTTCATAAATGTTTTCTGGTTTCTGAAAGATTTGCTGGTTACTAGAAAAAATAAGGAATATAGTACAGTACTAAAATGACACAGTAATTAAATCAGACCAGTACTAAAACGGCTCTGATGCAAATCCACAAGGGCCGTGACGAGGATTCGAACCTGCGTCTGAGAGCATCCCAGACGCTGCCTTAATTGACTGAGCTACGACATGATCAAAAGGAGTTGAAACCGAAGTTCTACTGAACTTACTGGATCCTGCAGCCTGGTTTGTGCCTCGGAGAAGCTGCAGGATCCAGTAAGTTCAGTAGAACTTCGGTTTCAACTCTTTTTGACCATGTCGTAGCTCAGTCGATTAAGGCAGCGTCTGGGATGCTCTCGGACACAGGATTGAATCCTCATCACGGCCCTTGTGGATTAGTTCATTTGATGCATCACGCAAATGTGATTTCTGTGGGTTCTGATGCAAGTTATTTATAACTGCCCTGTACAGTATTAGAATCCAACATTTTCAACACTAATGTATTTGCATTACAAACTTTTTGTTTTTTATTAAATGGTGCAGCAATTCTGGGAAGCCTATAATTTGTAAAAATAATTTGAAAGATACCGGAGGGAAGGCACGTTTTCAAATGCCGTCCGCAAAGGGTTAAACTCCTCTCTTATAAACAGCTTTAGGGTAAACAGCCTAAACAATACCTGTGATAACTATCCCACCCTCTCAAGATAAAATTGTCCCCCCCCCCCTTGTAATGAAACTTCTAATTTATATAAATTATAGAGGAATAGTCATTGAAAATAAGAAAATGAAAACTTTATGAATATGGACAAATTATTTACTTCGTGCCCTATTTCCCCTTCCATAGTGCCTCCAGATACACAAGTTCTATTATACGTATCTGAAGATGCAATAGTAGTACAAAAAATAATATAAAAAATCAAAGACCAGTTTCACCTCAAATATATCTATAAACAAAGGTTTAGAGACAACCATTTAAATATGTTCATATTAATAGGACACCACAGTACTGAGGCAACTCTAGACCTTTAATGAGAAAATTTACAACCTGTTACCGATTTCTAAATAACCCTTCAAAAGGACGTTTATTCTGAAGCCCAATAGCTCGGCAAGATTATATATATATATATATATATATATATAAAAAAAAAGAAACTACTGTGCAATATTGCTAAACTATACAATAATCAACTGCATGAAAAAACTGTAGTTTTAAAACAATTTCCATTACACCGTCTCCTAAACAGATTCCTAGGCCTACCAACAACAACAACTCCTAACTACTCCATCCTAGCCAAAACAAAAATAACCAAGCTTGAGCTCCAGTATATCATCATAGTGGAGAGAACATATGAATGTTCAAGTTTAGATCTTAGGTCAAGGCCTTTTAGATCTTGGATCCAAGACCTGGCCCTAAGACCTGGAGAGAATCTGGAGAGAGAAATGAAGTTGAAGGCAGAGACGGCAATGCTAGTTTATTATTCTTAAATTCTTAAAGAGGAACTATGATGTTTGAGAAAAGTATAGTAAGAGTGCAGTGAACCCTCACTATCAGGTACATTGGTATTCAACAAATTTGCTAACAGCAAAGTATTAAAACTAATTATTTGGGGATTTACAAGTAGCATCCAGTTTTTAAAACTGATTTTGTTTTTAATTACATTCTGGAATGTTTACTACACCCACAGAAGATATAAAGGGGAATGTTTACTTTTGTATACATCACTGATGAGTATATTATATATATATATATATGTCTATGTATGTTACAGTCTACAGAACACACAGTATTTGGCAATTCACGACCCTCGTCCAGCTCAGCAAAGGTGGGGTGCGTGCCCAATTGGCAGGAGTTCTTAAATATATATCTATATATATATATATATATATATATATATAGTTTCAATGGGTGTTTTTTGAAGAGAAAGTTGGAAGCAAGTAGACTTGAAATCTATAGGGCTGCTTATTTTTCCCTTACCATACAAATTTATTTGGTATTCACAAATTAAACTGTGTGCGTGACTATGTGAGAGGTGTCACCTTCTGGATACCTGAAGCATACCTAGAGGGGGTTCAAGCTCTATCGAACCCGAGGCCAGGCTCGATAGTGAGAGTCCACTACGCTTGACTGTCAAAAGCACTACTTATCCAGTTATAAACCTGTAATAGCATCATTCCTCAAAAGAGCGCGCAAAATCCTCAATTTAAAAGAACCATACCAAGTGATATCTATTAAAAATCCTTATCCGGTAATATTGATATTAGTAACTTCGTAAGTGTAATCGTCAAATAAAGATAATGACAATCTAAACCAAACCAGAACTGTGCCCTGCAGTTAAAAAATAAATTTATACCCAAACCTATGCAAACCCTTTCATGCAAAAGCAATGCCTACCACAACCTTCTACACAGGTGACAACCCCCAAGAAAAAGTGCCTGCAAGACCCAACACGAAACATCTCATCTTTGTACTCACCATTCCTCCTCTTTATGGTTGACAAAGAACTCATTCAGCTGTTGTCTTTTAAACTCGAGCTTATACTCCGAGTATTTCCTCAGAGCTTCCTCTTCGGTTATCGAGTCGTCACACTGTTCCATAAAAGACTTGAAGGTCATCATTGGAGGCTGTGTGGGCCCCAACTCATCGAGCCTGTCGAGACAATTACAATCAGTACAATCGGGATATGGATGATTGAGAAAGGTATCCCCAGTAGCCTATATCAGTATTTCTAATGACACTAACAATACAGTACTTTAGAACTAAACAGTACTGTATACTAAAGAAAAGCACAAAATTAAAACAACAAAAATTAAATATCTATTTTTAGACATCTCAGAAAGTTTTATGAAAAGAATAGGAAATAGTTAAAAAAGATATAATTGCAATAGTATCAGCTTAACACGTTCACAAAGTAGTGTTCAGAAACTAGTGCTCATCGTCACTGCAAGTGTTTGTATGCGTGTCGTAACACTATTTACAACCATTACTAAAGAATTACTACATGGCACTTTAAATCACTTATTCTTCAATGCAGGACTATTAATTACTATAACATTTTGTACCTATTTAGAAATCAACAACGTGCTGTAATGAAAATTTAATATAAAAATAGTTTCATGTTATCAATTGTAGTAAAAACTGAAACTTGTCAGTAGCATATTTGAGCTCCCAGAGCCATCTATTGATACCAGATGTAACCTTCCATAACCCGAGTACTATGAGGGAGGGAATTATGAGGGAGGAGACAGTGCCAAGCCATTACGACTATATAGTACTTGGAAGAGATTAGGATAAGGATTTGGGACGGGACGGGGGCAAAGGAATGGTGTCCAACCACTCTGATGTTCGGGGATTGAATGCTGATCTGCACGAAGCGAGACTGTCGCTCTACCGTCCAGCCCAAATGCTTGAGCATGCAACTTTAGCACGTATTAATACATTTCGGAGCATCCAGTGTGGATCAGACATTTCCGTTAACACGTCCAGTATACTCCGAGAGAGAGACTTGCGCAGCCCAATGGTTAAATCAACAATCGGTGCCCAAGTCTTGGCACAACTACATCACACTACTGTATTCGATGAAAATGTAACCACAATCCTGCATTCGGACGGATAAACCAAATCCCATACCTTCCTGCACCACCTGCATGTCCAGCTGGGTGACCATATTCCTGGCCATAAGCACCTCCATATGCCCCATATCCAGCAGCCCCACTTGCACCACTCTCATACGGATATCGTCTGTCCTCCCTAAAAGAAAGAAATATTACATTTTACAGGAAGAGACGGAATGGACCATGGAAAAGACAAATACAGCCTTAGTACAATCTTTACACTGCCATGCATGATTATTAATGAAATAAACTATTTCTTGCGTTTTCATAGCTATTATGATCATTTGGATTATTCCTAGAACCATTTCTCACACATGTAGGTACACAAGTCATTGTACATCTGGCTAGCATTCTTAAAAATTAGAAAACGCAACGGTGCACAGAAAGTAGTCATGGTTGTAGGCCAACCCGTCCTCTTAAAAATAACGTCACTTTTGGCTCGTATGCGCGCCATGGCCAAATTTGGACGTAATTTGAAATGAAATCGACTCACAAAAGTGACGTACTGTCCCGTTTTCTGTGAGTCGTCCGGCTTACTCAGTAAAGTTAGAAAAGGAAACTTTCAATTAATGTTTTTCATACCGTTTTGAAACTTTATGAGAATTTCCTGCCCACCTAACCTATCAGAGGACCCTTAACTTACTGTTGTTGAAAAAAAAAAATCCCAAATTTATTTTAATTTTTTTAATTTTCAAATTATGTCCACTTTCGGCCATACAGGCAAACGGCCAAAAGCGACGTTATTTTTAAGAGGACAGGCAGTGGGCGGCGTGGAGAGGGAGGGGGCCGTGGGCGGCGTGGAGAGGGGGGGGGCCGTGGGCGGCGTGGAGAGGGGGGGGGGCCCGTGGGCGGCGTGGAGAGGGGGGGGGCCCGTGGGCGGCGTGGAGAGGGGGGGGGCCGTGGGCGGCGTGGAGAGGGGGGGGCCGTGGGCGGCGTGGAGAGGGGGGGGCCGTGGGCGGCGTGGAGAGGGGGGGGGCCGTGGGCGGCGTGGAGAGGGGGGGGGGCCGTGGGCGGCGTGGAGAGGGGGGGGGCCGTGGGCGGCGTGGAGAGGGGGGGGCCGTGGGCGGCGTGGAGAGGGGGGGGGCCGTGGGCGGCGTGGAGAGGGGGGGGGCCGTGGGCGGCGTGGAGAGGGGGGGGGGCCGTGGGCGGCGTGGAGAGGGGGGGCCGTGGGCGGCGTGGAGAGGGGGGGCCGTGGGCGACGTGGAGAGGGGAGGCCGTGGGCGACGTGGAGAGGGGGGGCCGTGGGCGACGTGGGAGACGTGGGAGGGGGGGGGCCGTGGGCGACGTGGAGAGGGGGGGGGCCGTGGGCGACGTGGAGAGGGGGGGGCCGTGGGCGACGTGGAGAGGGGGGGGGCCGTGGGCGACGTGGAGAGGGGGGGGGCCGTGGGCGACGTGGAGAGGGGGGGGCCGTGGGCGACGTGGAGAGGGGGGGCCGTGGGCGGCGTGGAGGGGGGGGCTGTGGGCGGCGTGGAGGGGGGGGCTGTGGGCGGCGTGGAGGGGGGGGCTGTGGGCGGCGTGGAGGGGGGGGCTGTGGGCGGCGTGGAGGGGGGGCTGTGGGCGGCGTGGAGGGGGGGCTGTGGGCGGCGTGGAGGGGGGGCTGTGGGCGGCGTGGAGGGGGGGGGCTGTGGGCGGCGTGGAGGGGGCGGGGCTGTGGGCGGCGTGGAGGGGGCGGGGCTGTGGGCGGCGTGGAGGGGGGGCTGTGGGCCGCGTGGAGGGGGGGCTGTGGGCGGCGTGGAGGGGGGCTGTGGGCGGCGTGGAGGGGGGCTGTGGGCGGCGTGGAGGGGGGCTGTGGGCGGCGTGGAGGGGGGCTGTGGGTGGAGTGGAGGGGGGCTGTGGGTGGAGTGGAGTCCCTTTGAGTTGTCACAACTCACAAAATTGAGGTACTGTACTCAATTGCCCAAATCTAACCAAACTGAGAACCCATGAATAGGCCACAAGACAGCCAGTCAATTTTGTGAGCTGCTATGATTTAAAACACACCACATTTTGACATTAAGGATTTATATACCTGGTTGTTAGACGATTCTTTGCGGAGGGTCGTATTCCAGGGAACATAGGATTAAGGACCTGTTCAAATCGCTACGCGTACTAGTGGCTGTTCAAGAATGTGACAACTCTTGTATATATAAATAATAATAAAAAAAAAAAAAATTCAAAATGCAATGTACTATTTGAGAGGACAGGTTAGGCAAATGGCTTCCGGAACTGAAGAACAAGAGTTACTAAGGAGAGGCTCGAGATGTTAAATATCTAATGTTTGTTAAAAAGATGTTAAAAAGCTAGAAGATTGAAGAAAACAAGGCGATATGATCACCACATACAAAATACTATCGGGAATCAACCAAATTGACAAGAATTCATAAAACCAACAACCTCAAAAACACGAGGTCACAGATACAAGCTAAGGAAACCAAGGTGCAAAAAAAAAAAAAATTTAGAAACGTTCTCCTTTTCAGAGTGGAAAACGGATGGAAAAGGTGAGGTGGTGGTGGAGGCCAAAACCATTGGTAGTTTCAAACCGTTATATAAATGAGTACTGGGAAGACATGACACCACGAGAGTAGCTCATGCTGTAACTCGACAACAACATTGTATAAGGAGCACAACTTGTGCATTCCAGCTCCAGAATCGCTTTCAATTACATGGATGGTGAAACACTAAAACTGTTCATGAATTTTGCAAGAGCAAAATTGGAATATGCAGCAGTTTTATGGTGTCTGTATCTCAAGAAGCATATCAGTAAACTGGCAAAGATGCAAATACATGCTACAAAATGGCTTCCAGAACTGAAAAACAAGAGTTGAGGGACAGGCTGGAAGGAGAAAATATGCCAAAGCTAGAAGAAAATGGTGATATCACCATTACAACAAAATAATAAAGTGAATCAACCAAATTATAACAAGAGGAATTTCTGAAACCAGCCACTTTTAAGAACAAGACAACACAGATTCAAGCTAAGGAAACAGAGGTGTAAAAAAAAAAAAGTAGAAGTTTTCCTTTGCAAACAGTGGTAGACGGTTGGAAAAAGTAAGAAGATGGTGGAGGCCAAAACCGTCGGTAGTTTCAAAGCGTTACATGACAGCACTGGGAGGATAGGACGCCACGAGCATAGCTCCCATCCTGTAACTACACTTCAGTAATTACACAATTCACAGGCATTAAATTATTGGGTTGACTGCATTTATCTGGACTTGAGAGAGCGAGAGAGAGAAAAAAAGAAAGACTCGACAAAGTCCCACACAAAAGATGTTGTTCTGGAAACTAAAATACGCTCTGGTGTGACAGGGAGACTTCTGACAAGGATGACAAAAATTGACAGAAAAATGGGGGCAGTAATAAAAAGCAATGTATCAGACTGGAGAAGTGTTACATGTAGAGTACCACTGGGTTCAGTTGTAGCACCAGTAATGTTCATTGTCTATATAAACGATCTACCAGAATACAAAATTATTTGAACACGTTTGCTGATGATGCTACTAGGAAAGATAAGAAGCTTAGACGATTGTCATGTCCTTCAAGAAGACCTGGACAAAAGTGAAAGTAGCAATGCTTGACGAATGGAATTTAATGTGAATAAATGCCACAGAATGGAATGTGGAATACAAAAATAATAGGCCGCACACAACTTGCAAATTATGTGAGAAATCATTAAAGAATTCTGATAAAAAAAAACTCACCTGATAATCACATAAAGAACACTGTGAGAGGAGCATATGTTACATTTTCCAACTTGAGAATTACTCTTAACATGCATGGATGACAACGTTAAAGATATTGTTCACGACATTTGAGAGACAAAAGCGGGAATATGCAGCGGTTACATGGTGCTCATATCTCACGAAGCACATCATTAAACTAGAAAAGATGCAAAGACATGCAACTAAATGGTTTCCAGAACTGAAAAGCAAGAGCTTCAAGTAGAGGTTAGTGGCATTAAATATACCAAAGCTAGAAGATAGAAGAGGCAATATTAGCACTACATACAAAATAGTAATTGTAATTGACAAAATTGACAAAGAAGAATTTTTGAAAACTGCAACATTAAGTACAAGAGGACACAGGATTTAAATTAAGGAAACAAAGCTGCTGCAAAGCATTAGGATGTTCACTTTTTTGCAAATAGTGGTAAATGCTTGGAACAAGGAAGGAGGTGGTGTTGGAGGCCAAAACCATTAGTAGTTTCCAAGCGTTATACGACAAAGAGTACTGGGAAGACGGGACACCACAAGCCATAGCTCTCATCCTGTAACTACACTAGGGTAATTGCACACACACACATACCTTGTGTGTGTGTGTATCTAAAGTTGGAGGCTAGACACTTGGGGGGGACCAGCCTAAACCAAATTTGCAGGGGGGAATGATCTAGGGTGTGGTATGGACCTAGGCCAGTAGGGTTAGGCTTAAATTAAAGGCTTTAAGAAATACAACCTGTAACCAAAACCCCATGTGATTTTTCTGAAGTCTAAGTGAAATCGGGGGATGTGCTGGCCCTGTTGAAGTTATTCTCACCGTTTATATATGCATTTTCATGATTTACTTAATATATAAATATGTCTATCTGTTCAAGGTTGGAGGGAAGGGAGGGGTGCAGTAGGGGGGAAAAAAGGGGGTGGCTGCAATGGGGAAAAGCAGGGGGGGGGGCTGCAATGGGGGAAAACAGGAAGGGGGGCTGCAATGGGGAAAGGTAGGGGGGACTGCAATGAGGGAAATTAGGGGAGGGGCTGCAATTGGGGAAAGTAGGGGGGGGGACTGCAATGGGGGAAAGTATTGTTAAAAAACAGGGGGGGGGGCAGGGAGGAGGAGGAGCACAGCAAGGGGAAGGAAGGGGGGGGAGCAGGGTGTACCCAACCGTATCTACTGAGAGTGAGATTTAGCTCTAGAGCTCTGACTCGCAGCTAGTGTAGCTGGTGCATTTACTGTATACCTCAACATTCCTCTATCGTACTTGCTCTTGTATGGAGGGTGCTTCCAGTTCTGCTTCAAGCTAATTTCAATTGACTTGCCTCACTGCATGAGTATTTTCTTTCTTCGCTCTGCACGAGTGGGTAAGCGTGTGTGAAGCATATCTTCACATAGCGTATACAAATTGCATTTCATGAGATATGCCTTTAATCATTTATCATTAGCTTTGAAGAAATAACCCAACAATATGGATTCCTCATCACCCCTGACCTCTCATTGTTAACTATTGCCATATCCCCCAGCCTTAAATTGATAGACCAAATTTGTTAATTTTTTTTAATTTTCAACTGCAGGAAGTACTTTAGAGAATTGAGGCATATGAAAAAATGGGCAGTGGATGCCCATATAGAACACAAGATCTAGTGCCAGGTCAAGAATGGGCCGTGGTTGCTGGGGTGAGATCTTCGCATCGGGTGCTTCCATGTTCTGTGACCTGTGCTTCAGAAAGAACGATTTATCAATATATAAAAATTAACTTACCAATCTTGCCTCATCCTTTTAACCGGAGGAGACATATCATGACGGTTCGGGGAATATCGGTCGCGAGATCTTCCATATTCTCGGCTGTACTCTCTCCGAGATGAGCCTCGGTCTCGGCCTCCCCAGCTATCACGACCCCTGATTTTAGTAAAAATTTAAGAAAATCATCACCTATATCCCTATTCCCACTTTCACGGGTTGGGAGGCATGGGAAGGGTTATTAAACCGTACCACCAAGAAAATTTGCCTACAGTGCTTGAATAAAAATTAAGCAGCAAGATAAAATAGCGAATAAAAGCAGCGGTGGTGATGTAAGATATCAGTGTGAAGATACAGTACATAATTTATTTTGACTAAATGACCCCTGGGCAAGGCTGGGCAATAGATACCAAAGGTCAGGTCAGGTTACAGTACTTTTTTACCACCACCAGTGAAGCCAAAGACTATATATAGAGTGGACAGAAAATTATAGTTGCCACTAGAATACATTGCCCAATAATGAATGGCCACCTACAATTTCTGTGATCATACATATTGTAGGTATAAAAGTCATTACACTGTACAATGACAAGCTATCACATGTCAAATAATATAAACAAAAGTTGCTATTGGGATATACTGTTCAGTTGTAATAGCAGCCATATGTTGTTTGGTTCAACCCAAGGACAATATTTTAAGTATTAAGTTAATACGATGAGATGCTCTTTAAGATACTGAACAGAAACCTTGAGGAAGGAAAAAGAATTAGAAACACAGTAATGTAAATAAAAGACAAATCAAAACACTATCATACTGGGGATACCCAATCATAAATACGAAGTCACACAAAAGTCAATGGACAGTCAAAACAAAACATTACATTAATAAACGAACCTGTCAGCCCAGTCCTCTCTTGCGCCTCGTCTACTATCATCTCGACGGTCTCTTGTGCTACTACTGCTGGTGTACTCTGACCGTTCTCCACGAAATTTGTCCCGTCTTCGTCTCTCGTACTCATCATCACTGTCAGCCATGCTTCATCTAAAAATTGCATATAAAATAACATTAACCAAAATGGTCCCTCGTGGAGCTGTACTTACAATAAGAACTACTTTAAGAGACAGGCTGAATGGTAGGCACGCCTCACAAGACTTCTCTTTCTAGAATCATAACCTCATACAAATTCTTCTTATGTCATTTCAACCTTTCTGCTTTCATTCTCCGATAACTTTGTCATGCTTTTTGTGACCAAGACAGAATTAGGGTGGAAATTTTTACAGTACTTTCAAAACTTGACAGCTAGCAGTCCAACACTAAATGCCACTTTTACTGCTGGAATTTTGTAAATTGTAAACATTCTCCATATCCAAGGTTTTTATTTACTATGCTGCCAAATGAACAAGCTCCACTATATATAGTTATGACTTATCTAAGCAACCTGGGTGTAAATATAGTAGCTTCATGACCAATGGGACCATCAGTTGTCCCACGACCAGGACAAATTCTAGACTAAATACTTCAGCCACCACCCTTAATCAAATTCAATAATTTCTTACTTTTGTGAAGAGGAAGAAACAGCTGTGACAAATCAGTCACCTGTATTTTAAACTTTAACCCTTAAAGTGCGCATCACGTCATATGACGTGCTGGACGTTGTACCAGTAAACTGCGCATCACGTCATACGATGTGTTGGAGTACTACGCAAGATTTAAACAGCCCGCGGATACACGGGGTTCACCACACCTTCATCAGGGCTCTTGTAAACAGACGCCATTTGTAAAAAAAATCGTGGGCCAAACTCCCGGGTGTTATTGGCCTCAGTATTGAGTGAGCAACCAAGCCTGACGCACGCAGCATGAGCTAACAGCACTGCTGTTCAGCTTGTGACCACAGCATCGCCTAAAAATGCCAAATTATACTTGTTCATGCTATTATGTAGCGATGATATTATTACAGAAGACCCCTGACTGTGATAAAACTGACCAGGGTTCTGATAATAGCAGGATTGTGGTGATATTTAGCGCTATGCGCCATGGAAGGAGGTGTAATGCTGTAGGAGGGAGGGTGGTGGCGATGTCTTTTGACTGAGTGTGGCCACCTTTTATTGACTGCACTCAGCATACCAGCTTAGTGGTTCGCTATGGTGAACACAAATGTAGATACTTATATATAACGTGTGCATAGAGGGTATAAACAGCAAGAGAAGGTTTGGAGCCGCCATTTTGGTGAGAGCGGTGGCGTCGTCTGCACGACGCCACCGTGCAGACAACGGTGTTGTTTACTGGTTACCACGATGGTCTTTGGGCACCATACCAGTTTATTTGTACAAGTATGATGAATAAAACAGGTAGATATTTATATATAATGTGTGTATATAGCGTAATAACACCACACAGTATTGTTGGAGGAGAAATATTAGTGCGTCTGGCCTTGAGGGCGGCCGCCGATCAGCTGACTGTGTGAGTAGCCACATCTCTGTGCCTTTACTCACCATACAAGCTTAGATGTACAGTTATGGTGAACAAAACATGTAGATACTTATATATAACGTCTGTATATAGTGAATTATAGCAAAAACATTATTGTGGGAGGAGAATGAGGGTGAGTCAGATGACTGGAGGTAGGGCGGGAGTGGCTGGCTGGTACACGGCGGTCACTCCTCATTACTTTTCGACTCATAATAGCTACTTAGTGATTCGTTATAGTGAACAAAACATGCAAATACTTATATATAACCTGTGCTTATAGTGTAATAACCGACAAAGTATTTGTTCACTGATTGATGAACGTAATTGAATCAACAATATGCACACCATATTTTTGAGTACAGCAATGATTCACTCATTTTATTATATAAATATATCAAACTACACACTATTGAATAATATTACAGCAAAAAAAGTATGAAAAATCAATCAGAGACATTGAAATAATTCGGTAATTATCTCTTTGTGGCAACTCTGGCCTGACAGCTTGCGAGCAACAGACCGCCTGGGACGCACGCTTTGTCAGCGCCTATAATTTGCCAGACTTCCCCGCCCTATAGCGGGCAATATATGCCACTTACGATTTTTTTATTATTTTTCCCGTGATCAGTGAACACAAATTAACAGGTTAGAAAGAAAAAATAATTTTTTTTTTTCAAAATGACATGCGCCTGTGGGGATGGCAGGATATTAGACCTCGAGCATGTTAAGGGTTAACTGTACCAACCCTGTATCTGTACTATATCTCTACCTAGGGAGCCGGTGGCCGAGCGGACAGAACACTGGGGGTATCAATGGTATATATGGCACCTCTACTCTTCACTGGGTCTATTCTGAAAATTCAACCATATCTTTCACTTCAATATAGTGTTATTTTACTGTGCAAATTTGAGACCTGGCCCTCCAATACCTTCCATGTACATAATATGACACTTTTCTCATCTCCTTGCCAGATAATATTTTTGTGAGCTTAAAAGATGGATACAATACAGTAGTTAGTGCCTTATTGTGGCTTTGCATGCTGTATACATTCTCTGTATTCTCTCTACAGGTATTTAAAAAAAAAATCCTACTTTGAAAAGGAAAGAGTATTATGCAGTATTCAAAGGCTGGCAAGCACAAGTGAATTGAATAGTAGGAACATTGCGATGAAATCCCGGTTGGATTTGAAGGCTCTCATAATCTATCCTATCATTTTCCCTAGTTAATGATATTTTCGATTCTCAACTAGGAACCCTAGTTGAGAAATGTTGGGTACAGAAACCCACCCACACTAAAGGAATTTAAAACCTACCTAACCCAAAGCAACCTAACTGGCAGGCCCATGGTGGAAGTTATACAATAATGTAATCTACATTTTTGACCAAAAATTAAACAATAACATTCATATTAAACATCAAATGCAAATCATGTGTACTTTGTTTTGACATCGAAACAAAAATATGGCTTTAGTAGTAAAAAGGTACCAGATGCGAGGTTTCATTAATCACTTTAATAAAAGAATTACTCTAAGCTAATTACTCCAAATACCCTAAAACGTACTATAGAGCATTATGAAGGAAAAAAAACACACAAAAAAAAAACAATCACAGCGAGAAGCGGCTCATCCGCCTTTCACCGAGGTGACAATAATAACAAAACGGTAATCAACAAGCATACATATATAAAACCTATATAGTTATTTAAACCAAGCCTGTGGGGTACATACAATAAACCCAAGACAAAGGAGCGGCAGCCATAACCCCTTCCCTAGAATCCCAATTATAAGAAAAATATCCAACCAGCCTCAAAGAGGATTTTCACGACGCGCGGGAGGATGCCACCTCCCATCACACCCACTTTTTCCTCTCCCACACACGTTTCTCCCTCCCACGCACTCGCCAACCTATACTTCACCCTTCCAGGAGTCCGTGCTCACGTTCTCACTCACCTAAATCGCGGCAGTCAGCGAAATGGCGAAGAATATGCGAGACACGTTACACCGCCGGGGACGTTTGTCAACAAATATGGCGGCCGAGTCGGCTTCCCGTCATCGCCGAGCCCGCGGTTCTTCTCCACGAAAATATATATATACAAAAGCCAAGCCAAGCCAAAATGAATATATATAAATATAAAACACAAACAAAAATATATATATTTAACAATATATATATATGTGTATAAAATAACGTCGTCGTCTCATCATCTCTTGTGTGTTTTGGTCATTATATATACTATATATGTATAAAAAACACATATAATCACTATCCAACCTTTATATAACCGTTGCATCGTTCATTGCAACTCACAATTTATATTATGGGTCATTGGAATTTGTTATTCGCCCGTTATCGCTATATATCTTATCAGAGGTCTATTAGCGGGATATATTTCATTCATAGAGCACGTGTATGGCTCGTCTTCTCTGGCAGGGGGAAGCGTGTGTGCATATATCGGGTCGTATATCGTCGGTATACCTCCTGCAGGTGCTCTTCTCGTCGGTATATACCTCCTGCAGGAGCCTCTTCTTTGTAATGGCTACGGCAAGAGGCAGAGACGGGCTGGAGGAGATGTCGCAGGAAGATTTCCTGAAGGAGGCGGTGACGGCGCCCATGTCGGAAGATCAGCGGTGGCTCCGGCGGCCCTCCCGCCCCTACACCAGCTATAGCCAGAGGTGGGTCCTCCCGCCCCCTACACCACCCACCATCACCCCCATGGTGGGTCCTCCCGCCCCCAACACCACCCACCAAACCACCCATGGTGGGTCCTCCTGCCCCCTACACCACCCACCATCACCCCCCATGGTGGGTCCTCCCGCCCCCTACACCACCCACCATCACCCCCATGGTGGGTCCTCCCGCCCCCAACACCACCCACCAAACCACCCATGGTGGGTCCTCCTGCCCCCTACACCACCCACCATCACCCCCCATGGTGGGTCCTCCCGCCCCCTACACCACCCACCATCACCCCCATGGTGGGTCCTCCTGCCCCCTACACCACCCACCATCACCCCCATGGTGGGTCCTTCCGCCCCCTACACCACCCACCATCACCCCCATGGTGGGTCCTTCCGCCCCCTACCCCATCCACCATCACCCCCATGGTGGGTCCTCCCGCCCCTACCCCACCCACCATCACCCCCATGGTGGGTCCTCCCGCCCCCAACACCACCCACCATCACCCCCATGGTGGGTCCTCCCGCCCCCAACACCACCCACCATCACCCCCATGGTGGGTCCTCCCGCCCCCAACACCACCCACCATCACCCCCATGGTGGGTCCTCCTGCCCCCTACACCACCCACCATCACCCCCATGGTGGGTCCTCCCGCCCCCTACACAACCCCCATGGTGGGTCTGGTTAACTAGACTGTTAGACGCCCTTACTCGCACTCATACATTCCGTAGATTAATTTGCTCTAATTTCCGTTATATTTGACAGGAAACTTATACATACGGATATAGTCAGACGGTCAGAACATACACATCCAGCCCGTCTGAATGTACACAATCCAACCCGTCATAATGTGAGGTTGTATCCTCCAAAAATTATATATGCAAGAAATGTACTAAAGGTACATTTTACAAAAGGTACCTTTTTTGTAAAGGTACCTTTACAAAAGGTATACTGTGGCGTCCGTCCTATTAACATGTTATATTGGTGATCTTACCATCGAAGGCGGTACACCTTCCGGAAGATCGTATCTTGCCTCATCTTTCTCGATAATTATAATATTCTATACGCAAGAGATTAGGCTAGGTTTAATGTTAATCCCCCTTCCAGTAGCTTTTCCATGCACGCTCCATTTTATAGTGTGATTTTTCTTTTTCTATATTCCTAAAAATGCTTTTTGTAGTTTGTGCTTTTAGGGCAACGGGGCATCTTGTATTGTTGTCCCGATTTAATCTGTTTAGAGAAGATTTATAGTGTAATGGTAGTGTGTTTCTCTCTCTCTCTGGGACTTGACTCCAGTTCCGCACTCTACACAGATGGCGTGGCAACAGCAGGAAGCGTGGAGATCGAGGCCAGGACGCCTGGAGGAGCTCATCTTACCAGCAGGCCAGGGGAGGCTTCACGCCCTCCCAGGGGTCCAGGAGGGACGGGATGAGACCCGGAGTGATGATAGCCCACGAGCCCCATCCCAGACGGCCGCTACCTCTCAGGTCGAACCCCTCAGCCCGGCCTTTTGAGTCCATCCTGACGTTAGGGAGTCACGAGGCTTCAACAGTGAGTATTGTGTTTACACAAATTTAAAATTATACTCTTTGACCAGCCTATTCACAATTATTTTGTGCACACTTTACATAAAATGTTTAATTATTTTGATGTGTATTAAAGTGTGGGGGTTGGGGGGTTGGCGTGGTTTCCGAAGATAGATTAAAATTGAAATAAGTTTATTGAGGTAAAATACACACAAAGGGATGAGGTAGCTCAAGCTGTTCTCACCCCGTTCAGTACATCGTGTTCCTAAGATAGATTGCTTTTTGAGGTCAGCGTCCCCCCCCCCACTCCCTCCCTCCTCTAGATACTAGAATGCCACCCCCCCCCCCCCCCCTTCGTTCTCCCTTACCTGTTGTTACAGGATTTCTTGATCTGTAGTCTTTCCTCCAGACTCACTCGTCATGTAAGCCAGATAATATTTACCTGAAGGACCTGTACGGGGACGCAAAGCCAGCAACTTGTCAAAGGTTATAGACATTTCCGTGAGTTTGTTACCGCCTGTTTGTGAACAGTTGTATCCAGACCACGGTTGTGTGCGGTCGCTAGGTTGGCGCTCTTGGCGTCCGCTGATTGGTGGGAGGTGGAGGATTGCCCCACACTCTTCGTTTTTGCACGTGGTGATACAGGATATTGTGCATTTGTTCTCGATTATTGACAGCGTCGAAGAAATGGCTGAGGCGGTATGCCTAAGTGGTAGTGAGGAGGACAGACAAGATGATAATCGACCGTTTGAATTAGTAGTGAACAAAAAGAAACGGAAAAATAATAACAGACAGCGAGACAGTGAGAGTGACGATGAGATTACAGAGACCAAAGAATGAGACCCTACTCAGCAAGACTCAAGACAAGCAAGACAAGACAAGAAGGAAGAGGCTGTTGTTCCCTACAACATGCCAATTGAATTTCCACCAAAAGCTAGAGTGGACGGTACGTCTGGCTAAACAATGTTTGGAATACGAACCACTTTTCAAGGAGGGTCTTCACCGGCCCTACATAACAGTTGGGACTGAACAGGCCGTGGAAACGCCTCACGACGGTTGGTTTTGAGAATGTAGTGATGGTTCCTCCAGAAGAAGGTATGTTGCACACAAAGATCATAGTTTTCAAGTTTCCAACTTATTTGGATCCTGACTGTCTTCTTCTTAACAATGATAATGTTGTCTGGGCAAAGAGGAACAGTGTTCGTGGTGACAAACGAAGCCAGGTTGTTGCCTTGGTAAAGGGTGAGGCGCCGGAGAAAATTTTTGTGCAAGGACTAGGCTATAGGAACGTTGCAAAATACGTTGAGGTGCCCATACTGTGCATGAAGTGTTCACGTTGGGGACATATGGCATGGAAATGCCAGTTTGACCCCAGGTGTCGGTATTGTGGGAAAAATCACGACTCGCGAGAGTGTAGAGTCAAGATTGAAAGAAGTGAAAAAATCATCCCATTTTGTTGCAACTGTCGAGGCAGCCACAATGCTGGTTCCTCTCTATGCCCCATGAAGCCTCATCTGAAAGAGAGTAGAACGGGTCCTACAAGCAGGATAGATGTATCCTCGCAGCAAGGAAAAATTCTGCAAGAGGAACATGGAGGAAACAGTTGGAAGCCAACGGCAGCCCCTATGATCAATGTGTGGGAAAAAGGGACGGAGAAAGTAAAGGCGAGCTTAGGGAAAGTACATCATGCAGTGGAAAAACTGAAACCTTGTGACGACAAGGTTCAGGACAATATGGTCACCTCTGAGGTTGGTAATCAAATTTTGGAGTATCTAAAAAAACTAGATAAGAGGATTGAGGCATTGGAAAAATTGGCTATGGAAGGTGAACGGGGTGAAGATGGTGGTGAAACAGGACGTGTAATTGAAAGTAAAACGAGACGTGAAATGGAAAGTGAAACGTGCGTAGAAGAAAGTAATGATGTGCATGAGGTAACGATGATAGAGGATAGTCAGGAGAATACACTTTCTAGTAGTGTTAGCGGTGTTCAACCTCCTGTTGTGACAAATGGTGAAAGAACGGTTAAAGTAAAACGGGTTACAGAAATAACAAAGAAAATAGATATGAAAAATATTACCTTCGATGTTAGTAGTAGTTGTGAAGGTGAGGAGAAAGAAAAAATGTTACGGTGTTGGAAGGAAGTTTCTAAGGTTCTCTTGTATCTCATGGAATGTGACAGACAGGGCAAAGGTAGTTTTATTATTAATCATGGATGAAAGTAAATTGAGAATATTATCTTGGAACATTAATGGATTAAAAACTAGAGCGGTGGATGTACACTATTATACTCTTAGAGAGAATATTGACATAGTAGCACTCCAGGAAACTGGGGATAGGGATGGTAGCATACTGAGGCTAAATGGCTATAGAGGCTTTCACTTATATGCTGATGGAGGAACTAGGGGGGTCTCATGTTATGTCAAAAGTACCATACCTGCCGAGATAACTGGAATCCCTCAGAGATATAGAGGTATTGAAAGTATTAGCTTGCGGATACAATTAAAGGACCGAGAGTTAAATTTCATTAATCTATACATCTCTGATAGCTCCCTTGATTTACGATACTTGCCAGATTCCTTCTTTTCTGAAGATACACTTGTGGTAGGGGATTTTAATGCCAAACATCCAGCTTTAGGATCAAGGGGTAAAGCAAATAGGAATGGTTGCAGATGGTACCAGTTTTTGCAGGAACATGAAGATGCAGGCGATGAGTCACAATAACGTGGCTGAAGTATGTTGACCAGACCACACACTAGAAATTGAAGAGACGACGACGTTTCGGTCCGTCCTGGACCATTCTCAAGTCGATTGTGATGAGGACAGGTAGGGACAGGCATTAAATAGGCAAGAGAGAGCTGAGGAGGAAAGTCAGGTGTAGGGGATAGTAGTAATGAGAACTGGAGCAGGCCTATTGGCCCATACGAGGCAGCTCCTATTATAACCACCGAAGGAGATGGTAATAGGAATAAGAAGAGGATAGCAAGGGAGCGTAGAAGACAATGAACAGAAAAAGGGAGAAGAGGGAAAGAAAGGGAAAGAGAAAGAAAGAAATGGAAAGGGGAAAGCTTATGTTAAGTCACGTTTGTTAGAAATTAGTTAGAAATAGAAATTGTTTGTTTGTTACGCTCCCTTGCTATCCTCTTCTTATTCCTATTGCAATGGATGCAACTGGGAGATTGGTGAAACCCGACAGAGAGAGTGCATCTTCTGCCAAACTGTCACAGAAAAGCCATTACTTCACTATCTTCTGGAATGTGAAGCAACCAATGACCTTAGAAGAGCTTTAAGAGTTCCTGAATCATGCAGTGGCCACCCTGAAGCCATCAACACAGCCACTCTCCTGGTCAACAAAGGTGTCCAGCAGCTGGACACCCTCATAAAGACTGTGAAGCAGTATCCTCCCCCACGATAACAGCTTGATGGTTAAATGCAACCTCAGAACACTGGGAAAAAAAAAATTAATAATTACGGGAGACATCTCCCGTCACGCAGGGTGCAGTCGCACCTCCACAAATCTCCAGTATCAGCTCTTGATACTGGTAATGGCTCAAAAGGGCCACCACTTACGGGCTATTCATGCCCGTGCCACCTTTTGAGTGGCTTAATCTTTATCAATCAATCTGTCCTCATCGGGACCATTTGGTCCGGGAGACATCTCCCGTCACGCAGGGTGCAGTTGCGCCTCCACAGATCTCCAGTATCATCTTTTGATACTGGTAATGGCTCAAAAGGGCCACCACTTACGGGCTATTCATGCCCGTGCCACCTCTTGGGTGGCTTAATCTTCATCAATCAATCAATCTGTCCTCATCACAATCGACTTGAGAATGGTCCAGGACGGACCGAAACGTCGTCGTCTCTTCAATTTCTAGTGTGTGGTCTGGTCAACATGAAGATGTTCAACTGCTGGGCGAGCCCTCTCCTACTCATTTGAGGGGAGGGAGATTAGATTATGCTTGTTTAATAAATGCTGAGGGCATAGAGGGGAATTGTCTTACTGTGGATGAAATGCTAAGTGATCATTTTGCATTACAAATACAGCTTAAACTAGATAAAAAGCATGCCTGCCTTCAGAGGAAAAGGTTAAAGTTTAATGAGGGAGAATTAAGGGGTCTTGTTGGCCATATTAAGTCTTGGTATGATACTTATAAGCCGGTTTCGGCAGAAGCATTTTATGAAGATTTAATTAAGGAGGTAGATGTATTTAATGCAACATTGAACCGGAAACCATCTAGTATAAAAAGGCATCCCCCCAGAAAAGAAAATTATACACATGACAAGATGCTTAAGGGGTGGACATTAACAATGAGGAGAGCTCACAGGAATTGGAATAGGAATGGTAGGACTGAGGAAGGGAAGAATGCTTTACTGGCAGTTGCTAGGCTGTGTGGGGAGAAGAGAAAGGAAATTAGGAGCAAGTATTGGCAGGAATTTGCAGAGAAAGTTGGGAGTAACAGAAACTTGAAGGAAATCTGGCAAGACGTAAATAAAATAAGGGGTAAAAAGCACAATTTTGTTGCACATCCAGACCCGCAAGGAATTGCAAATGGGCTCGTAAATAAATGGGCGGAAGCTGCCAAACTTAGTTCATTACCCGCTGTAACGAGAGAGTCATTAGATTCTTGGAAAGATCTAAGAAAGGATTTTATACTTATAGCAGGTAACAGTGGTGATGTCACTTGCACAGGTATTACCAGAGAAGAACTAATAACGGCGATTAAAGTTGGGAAATCTACCGCACCTGGGGAGGATGGAGTAACTTATGAAATACTTAATGAACTTGCCACTATGACGAAAAGCCCACTTTTAGACCTCTTTAATATTAGTTATAAAGAGGGCAGTATTCCCAGTAAATGGAAAAAAACTATGATCATCCCTATCCCTAAAGCCAATGGAGAGTATAGACCTGTGTCTTTAACCTCGTGTTTTTGTAAAATGATGGAGAGGATCATTTTAAATAGACTTTTATATATAATAGGTGATCATCTGTCTAGTAATTTGTTCGGGTTCCTCAAAGGAAAAAGTACCTCTGATTGTATTATTAAATGTCTGGCTAATGAAAATGATTATTATAGAATTTTCATTGATTTACAAGGAGCTTTTGATAAAGCCAACAAAGAGGTTATTTTATATGAATTAGCTAGTCTTGGTGTTAAAGGGAAATTATTGCGCTGGATAGGGGATTATCTTTACGAAAGGAAGGCTCAGGTGTGGTATCAAGGTTGTATGTCAGGTGTGAGGTCTTTTGAACTCGGCACACCTCAGGGAGGAGTGTTGAGTCCCACCCTGTTTAATGTACTAATGAATAAGATAGCATCTGAGAGATACTCAAATGGGGTAACTCCGATCATATATGCCGATGATATTTTGTTTCAGGGCAAAGATATTTCAAAGGTTCAAACAGTGTTGGACAATTTCGGAAACCTGTGTCACCATATGGGATTGGTGGTTAATGAAAACAAAACTAAGTTTGAATGTAGAAGTCGGAGCCCCATTGTATTGAAAATAAACGATAAAAATATAGAGAGAGTTAATATATATAAATATTTAGGCATATATGCTGGATATACCCATGAGAGTGAGAGTTTGGAAGCTGAGATGAACAGACTGTTGGGTCAATGTTGGAAGAGATTACAACCTCTGAAGGCCTTGGCATGCTGTGGAAAGGGAGTGGGAGTCCCTGTGCTACGAATGTTATACTTGAGTACTGTAAGATCTCTTATTAATTATGCTGCACCTGTCATTTCTTGTTTTGGTAAAGGTAGGATGAGCAAGTTGGAGAAGGTACAAAATGAAGCAATGAGAATTATCTTAGGATGCCCAAGAAATGCTATGATTGAGATAATGAGGATGGAGTTGAATCTGCAGAGTATTGGGGATAGAATTTCAGAGATAAATGTAGCCTCTGCCATTAGATTAATGAGAGGTGGGGGAGCTAATGAATTAATCCTCTCGGTTCAAAAGGTGGGAAGTAGTGAACAGTGTATGATGAAGAAGAGAGTATATATGAATAAATTATGTTATAATGTTATAAAGTATGATGTTATTACAGAGTGTATTGCTGTGCCCAAGAGAAAATTTACACCACCATGGGAGGATTGTAATGTAGATGTAGTAATTACTCCCTTGCATAAGAAAAAAGTATGTATGAAATAGGAGAGCTGAGGGCAACATATGATTGTATAATTAGAAAACTGCCTACGGAAAACACTCTACATGTATATTGTGATGGGTCAGTAGCTAGGGATGGGAAGGCAGGATGTGGAGTCTTGATCAGGGAGTACACTGACATCGGCACTGTAGATACTGTTATTGGACGCCGCTTAACTGACAATGTCTCTTCAACGCAGGCTGAACTCCAAGGAGTATTAGCAGGATTACAGGAAGTAGTCAAATGTGGTAAAAATGCTTGCTTCTTTATTGACAGCAGAGGAGCGTTAGAGTCTTTAAATAGCAGACGCCCAGTATATCAGAATATTGTGATAGAGTGTAGAGAAAATGTTAAGAGACTAGAAAAAACTGGGTATAAAGTAAGATTCATGTGGATCCCTTCACATGTGGGGATACTGTTGAATGAGGTAGTTGATGACAGCGAAGAGAGCCACTGAAAAAACTCTTGTTGATGTTGTATGTCAGTTAACCTTGAAACAAATAAAAACAAGACTCAAGGTGATTCAGGAGGGTGAAGAAATGATAAAGAGAATGGCAATGGTGGACAGTAGTAACACACTTAAGAATTATTCAATAATAAATACAAATTCGTCCTTCACTTATGGTAAAGGAAAGTCTACTTGGAAGGATTCAATTTACATGAGATTACGATTAGGATATAAATATATCTGGCAATACGGTGTTGATGTCAGTGAAAAAGATAAGGAGTGTAAATTATGTAGTATGCCGTCCGCCCACACCTTAGAACATTATGTATTAGAGTGTCACCTTATTGAAAAATATAGAAATAAGGAAATAAATAGTGTACCGCATCAAATTGTTTGGATGTGTGATAATGGTATAATAGACAGTATACTTAGGAGCTACAAGAATTTTGCCCCAAGAATGTAACAATTATATGCTGTACTTGCTGTATGCAATGTTAAATGGGATTCTTGTACTGTTATATGTCTATTTGTACTCACTGAATTTGTGCGCCCCTTGAGGGACTTGAAGTAGAGGGGGGTAGAAATAGCCTAAGCTACTCTATCCCTTTGAGATGTATTTATTGCTTATCTCAATAAACATACTTGAACTTGAACTTGTTTGTGAAACATTGGTGGCTGGTTTGTCCTACATTGTGGCTTGTTGTCCTGAAAGTTGTTGTTCCCTAAAGGAGTTACACTGGGCCTTTGAAAAATGTTGTCTGGATCAACAGCTCTGTCGTGTCTGGTGTCTAGTGTTAGTCCTGAATCTCTCAACCTTTCCTGGGATGGTTTTTGACACTGCATTTATTTTTTGTTTAAATCAGTTATCTCCTGGGGAAGGTAAGGTCTCCATACTTGGGTACAGTAGTCCAGATTGGGGCGCCACAGACACATGTATAGCTGAACAACCTCTGAATAAGTCAAAGCCTCGTTTCATTATTTCTATAATTTGATGGACTTTTTTTTATATACAACAGAGCCTAATTGCTGAGCAACTTTCAATGATTGGTGGATAATAATTCCTAGGTTATCTGTTTGATCAACCTGTTGCAGGGTCGTGTGGTAGATATGATAGTTATAATGTGTATTACTAAGGTCTAAATGTGACGTCTTGGTTTTTTTTAGTGTTGAAAAGCATTTGCCAGACTTCTGGCCATTTATGAAGTTCCTGTAGACCGTCGCTTTGCAAGGCCTCCGTATAGTTTTCACTTCCCACTTTGCCTCGAATCGCTGTGATCTGCAAATTTGATGATGCAATGTGTGATTTTTCGTCTATGTCGTTAATGTATATTACTAAATGGGTTGGACCCAAGATGTGACCTTGCGGTACTCAGCTCACTGGTTTTGTTTCAGTCAGATTCATTTCCATTTAGGGCGACACTTTGCTTTCTTTGTTTTTAACCATTGCTTTATCCTTTCTAGTATTTTGATGTTTATTCCACGTGCTTACAGTTCCTGTGATAGTCTTTCACGTGGTACCATATTACATGGGAATTCGAGATACAAATGAGCAATAGAGACGTCATGAAGTCCGTTACCATTGTAAGATTTTACTTTGAATTTTTTTTCCTGGAATAGTTCTGTGGGTCATTTGTATCCCAAATTTCCATTCGTGTCCTTGCATTCCTCTATTTCTCAATTATGAACATCGCTGCTATGTTGATACTCGTTAAATTTGTGAGTGTCGGTAACATATTCCCCAATATGGTGAGATCCAGATATTTGGTGCTCATTTTCCGTGGACACGGAAAATGAGCGCCAAATATCTGGAGCGAAGGTAGGGTCCTTCCGCGGACACGGAAGGGAGGGTCCTTCCACGGACACGGAAGGGAGTGGACACTTAGCATCCTCGCGAAGACTACGAGTCACAATAACATGGGTTGAATATTAGTCACCCAACTCACACATCTGTAAAGAAAGGCGGCGATGGCGACGTTGCGGTCCGTCCTGGACCATTTGCCATGTCACTAACTTCCTTTCCAGATGTGTGGATTGGGGGTGTGTCTCAACATGGTGTTGCTGGCTTTATCCCATGTCCCTGCCACAGGTAAAGGAGGGGCCCGGACGTCAGGAGGAGGGGAAGGTCATCTTGGACATGGAAGCGGTGGCGAACAACGCGCAGCCAGCTCATAAGGTCAACTTTGTCCTGGGCCAACTACTGCCAGTTAAGGCAGGTCGCAATTATCACTTCCTTCCCGTTCAGGACCTGGCTCTCCTCCGGCGAGATACCATACTCAAGGTACTACAACAGCTTTAGTAACAACTTGGTTTAGAGTTATTTATATATTAATAAGATATTATTGAGATAAATGTGTATCAATGTGCATCGGATCTTAATTAAGGTTACAAACTTAAGTGACCTTAATTCTACACATACCTTAATCCTAACACTCACGAAGATTGTGAGTCGCAATAATATGGCGACTCAAACAATTTTTGATTGATCAATCAATCTTCATCAATATGGAGTATAGTGTGTGTGTGTGTGTGGTTCACATGTATGGAACTCACCTGTATGGTTCATATATATAGTGCCATTTGTTAATAAGCATACTGTATTGGATTTGCATATACTTTGCGTTACGGAGTATATTGAGGTATATCTGGTGTTAATGAGTCTGTTTCAGGTACCTTGTGTTTATGAGTATGTTGGAGGTACCTAGTGTTAATGAGTATAATTGAGGTACCTCGTGTTTAACGAGTATGAGGGAGATACCCCGTGTTTATGAGTATGTAGGAGGTATCTTGTGTTTAACGAGGATGGTGCAGGTACCCTGTATGCCTAGCGTGTGTTATGTCTATCTAGTCTGTGACAAATGACCTCGTTGAACACCCTTGACTCCTCATCTCCCATCCTCAGCTGCTGGTAGGGATGCTGAACACTGGGGAGCGAGGGGTGGTGTACCTGGGCGTCCAGGATGGCGGTCGAGTAGAAGGGGTCTCCTGCGAGCCCCAGATCCTCGGTCAGTTCGTCGAGGGACTCATGAAGAGCATTCAGTTCTACCTGATGCCCCGACTCCACGCCCCTCAGTACGGTATGTGAGGGTGTGGGTGTTCAATGCCCTTGTAACTTACAAATTCATGGTAACTCCTCCCTAGTTATGACTTCGAGTTTGTAAGTATTTGGCATTTAATGTATGCATACAGGGGTGCGGGTGGAGTGGATATGAAATTGTTGTTGAGGTCTTAGACAAGAATGGGTGTTGCAGGAGTGAGGTACACCAATGTGTTGACATCGAAGGATCAGATCCTGAATAACGTGTGGGTGGTGGAGCTCCACGCCGTCCCCAAGATGGTAAGTGGCATAATATTAAGAAGTTTTTTTGTTGTTAATATTAGATTATTGTTGAATCTAAGTTGAAATCTTATTGCGTTTGTAACTGTGCACTGTGTTAGATAAAGTTCCAGTGGTCTGTCGGGCATTCTCCACAGTGCTGACATTTCCTCTCATCTTCCGGAACCTGTAAGTCTATTTCCCATGCACATGGGTATCCAAGCCTGATGCGATGTTAGTGTACTTCTGTTGCTCTACTGCTCCCTTTTATCAAACTAAGTGGTTTGTAGTTGGATGAATTCTTGCACCAACCCGAGCCGGTCGGCCGAGCGGACAGCACGCTGGACTTGTGATCCTGTGGTCCTGGGTTCGATCCCAGGCGCCGGCGAGAAACAATGGGCAGAGTTTCTTTCACCCTATGCCCCTGTTACCTAGCAGTAAAATAGGTACCTGGGTGTTAGTCAGCTGTCACGGGCTGCTTCCTGGGGGTGGAGGCCTGGTCGAGGACCGGGCCGCGGGGACACTAAAAAGCCCCGAAATCATCTCAAGATAACCCGCAGATCCTGATGTTGCAAATGCTGTGTTGTGGTCACTGTACATCTTTTGCATTGCTCTGTTTCTAATTGTGAATTGTTGATTGTAACTGGCTGAACTGACTCGAGGTTTGTGTTCTGTGTGTGTGTTGCAGCAACACTACTACAACGCTGTGATGGACATGGATTACCACATCCGCCACAACACCCACACCGAGACGCTCCCCTTCCCCTCCTTCTGCAGCGCCATCGTCGCCACCACCTCCAGGCCCTACCAGCAAGAGACGAGCAAGTTAGAGCAGAAGGTGAAGCTCCTGGAGAAGGCGCTGCAGGAGAGAGGAGTGGACATCTCCTCTGTGGGGCCTCACGTGTGCGACAACTGCTGGTTCGCCGACTGCCCTGCACAATGTTATGGAAGGGCGCCTGTGGTGTGCGGCAGCAGACGCTAACGCCGAAGTCGGCTGTTAGTAAGGGTCGCAGCGAGTGAGAGACGGGTCAATTTAGGTATAACCCTATGTAACACTCCCATATAATGCCAGGCTACTGATGTAAAACACTGACAAGTTCCTATATAACACCATATAACTGACTCAAGACAGTAACAAGCTCCTATATAATGCCATATAGCTGACACCAGACTGTAACAAGCTCCTATATAATGCCATATAGCTGACACCAGACTGTGACAAGCTCCTATATAATGGCATGCAACTGACACAAGACAGTAGGCACCAGCTCCTATATAAAGCTAGGCAACTGACACAAGACAGTGACAAACTCCTATATAATGCCATACATTTGACACAAGACAGTGACAAGTTCCTAGTAACGCCATACAACTAAGACAGTGGCCAGCTCCTGTATAATAACATACAACTGACATAAAACAATGGGCCAGCTCCTATACAACGACATAAAACAATGGGCCAGCTCCTATACAACGACATAAAACTATGGGCCAGCTCCTATACAACGACATAAAACAATGGGTCAGCTCCTATACAACGACATAAAACAATGGGCCAGCTCCTATACAACGACATAAAACAATGGGCCAGCTCCTATACAACGACATAAAACAATGGCCAGCTCCTATACAACGACATAAAACTATGGGCCAGCTCCTATACAACGACAAAACAATGGCCAGCTCCTATACAACGACATAAAACTATGGGCCAGCTCCTATACAACGACATAAAACTATGGGCCAGCTCCTATACAACGACATAAAACTATGGGCCAGCTCCTATACAACGACATAAAACAATGGGCCAGCTCCTATACAACGACATAAAACAATGGGCCAGCTCCTATACAACGACATAAAACAATGGGCCAGCTCCTATACAACGACATAAAACTATGGGCCAGCTCCTATACAACGACATAAAACAATGGCCAGCTCCTATACAACGACATAAAACTATGGGCCAGCTCCTATACAACGACATAAAACAATGGCCAGCTCCTATACAACGACATAAAACTATGGGCCAGCTCCTATACAACGACATAAAACTATGGGCCAGCTCCTATACAACGACATAAAACAATGGCCAGCTCCTATACAACGACATAAAACAATGGCCAGCTCCTATACAACGACATAAAACAATGGCCAGCTCCTATACAACGACATAAAACTATGGGCCAGCTCCTATACAACGACATAAAACTATGGGCCAGCTCCTATACAACGACATAAAACTATGGGCCAGCTCCTATACAACGACATAAAACAATGACCAGCTCCTATACAACGACATAAAACAATGGGCCAGCTCCTATACAACGACATAAAACAATGACCAGCTCCTATACAACGACATAAAACAGTGGGCCAGCTCCTATACAACGACATAAAACAATGGCCAGCTCCTATACAACGACATAAAACAATGGCCAGCTCCTATACAACGACATAAAACAATGGGTCAGCTCCTATACAACTGACATAAAACAATGGGTCAGCTCCTATACAACGACATAAAACAATGGGTCAGCTCCTATACAACGGCATAAAACAATGGCCAGCTCCTATACAACGACATAAAACAATGGGTCAGCTCCTATACAACGACATAAAACAATGGCCAGCTCCTATACAACGACATAAAACAATGGGCCAGCTCCTATACAACGACATAAAACAATGGGCCAGCTCCTATACAACGACATAAAACAATGGGCCAGCTCCTATACAACGACATAAAACTATGGGCCAGCTCCTATACAACGACATAAAACAATGACCAGCTCCTATACAACGACATAAAACAATGGGCCAGCTCCTATACAACGACATAAAACTATGGGCCAGCTCCTATACAACGACATAAAACAATGGGCCAGCTCCTATACAACGACATAAAACTATGGGCCAGCTCCTATACAACGACATAAAACAATGGGCCAGCTCCTATACAACGACATAAAACTATGGGCCAGCTCCTATACAACGACATAAAACTATGGGCCAGCTCCTATACAACGACATAAAACTATGGGCCAGCTCCTATACAACGACATAAAACAGTGGGCCAGCTCCTATACAACGACATAAAACAGTGGGCCAGCTCCTATACAATGGTTATCTTTCCTCAATTATAACGGCTTGGTTTACTTTGATTAAAGAGTTTAAGAACTCCAAAGCGTTACGAGGTGATTGGTAACAAAATAACATTAATAACCTCGGGTTGTGAAGTTTACCAGGTCGTAAACTTTTTTGTTGTAAATAATTACATACTTAAGCCGTTATGACTTAAGGAAAGATGTACAGGTTTCGTGAGTTTACACACGTAAATCCTCTGATGAATCTTAAGACTCAGCTGGAAGCGAAGGAGACCATTAGCTGAGATGAGATATCTGCTGCTGAGATAGCAGCAGTGTGATAGACTCTGAAGTTTTGAAATAGAAAGTTTTTTGTTCAAAGTTCTACTTTTTTTCTTCGTGTTTCTATTTTATATATAAAATCGTTTTGTGATGATAAACATTGCAACGTGGAAAAGATGCAAAAGAATATGTTTGACTTATTTAATATTAATTTTTATTTTAATTTAAAGACAACTTGCTCTATTTACGGGGTTTACCCTCGTTTTTTTTTTATATCCACACTATTTAATTTTTTTTTATGAAATTAAATGTTTTTAATGTTCATATAAACATGTGTTTAAAAATTATGTAATTTTCAACTTTTTTTTTTAACAATTTAGAGTAATTTCATCATTAAAACTGAATTTGTGTTTAGGACCGTAATTCCGATTGAAACAACAAAAACAGAATCTTGGGCTTAAAAATGTTTTATAATGTTTATCTGAACATATGGTTTAAATATGTTTACAAATTATCTTTTATTCAACTTTGTTTCTCTCATAATTGAAGCAGTTATGTTTAAAATATTGTGTTATTCAACTTTTTTCTCATAACTGAAGCAGTTATATGTTTAAAATAAAAAAAACATAAGAATGAAGGTAACTTCATTCAATATTTTTTTCTTCCTTCCTATTTATGTTACGATGCTGAGACTTGGACCAGATGAAACCCTTTTCATATACAACTAGTCAAAAAAGTTTGATTGAAATAGAACTAGTTTTCATTTATTGCATATTTTTGGCAAATTTGGAACTGATGCCCCCTTAAATGGTGTCGGATTTTCCGACAAAGAGTTACGAATTGCATTTATTTCAAAGCAAAAATTCATCATGTCAATCCATGCGCTTGAAACTATCTAGCGACCCAAGTTTCATAACTCAACAAATCATCTATCACACTGCAATATTCTTTATACGTTTGTGTTCAATAGGTTAAGTAAGGTAATCAATGGGTTGACCTTTTCATACGTTTTATTGATTAAAGTCATTACGTTCACAGAATTCACACAAGTATAAAACATATAATGAGTACAAGTATATAAAATATAATGAGTACAAGTATATAAAATATAATGAGTACAAGTATATAAAATATAATGAGTACAAGTATATAAAATATAATGAGTACAAGTATATAAAATATAATGAGTACAAGTATATAAAATATAATTAATGACTCAACAAGACAAGATGGAGACGTTTCTCCATCCTCAAATCAAATTTCCTGCATTTCCTTCAATATCCTTGTTGCTGACATTGAAAGTGTCATTGTTGTGGTAAATGTAGACTCACTGTGGCAGAGCCCTGGGAGTGTTTCTCCAGGCAAGAATGTCAGCCTGGAGGAGGGGCAGGCGAGTGTAGGAGCCGTGGACAAGAGGGTGCCGCGTGAAGGGGTCGGAGGCTGACTCCAGCAGCAGGCGGACCAGCGTCGACTCGTCTACCACCATCTTGGACGAGTGCAGCATCACCGGCGCCTCCATCACCGCCTGCGTCACGCTGTCTATAAACTCCTCCGGGGATTCTTCACGCGATACTGAGAACTGCTGGAAAAAGCTGAAATCTGTTGTCTGCGTACTAAGGTGAGAGAACTGTTCTGCGTGATCACGTTTTAGAATTCGAGAAACATATATAAATCTATCCTCTACAAATAGTTTTTGGTAAATATCATTTAAATCAGCGATGAGAGTCTTGGAATACTTGGAACCTCCTCTATCCTTGAGCTGTAATACTGTTACTGCAGAGACTGTGAGAGTAACCAGGAGCGCCGCAGCGGCCTCAGCCAGTCCGGGAACACCATAAGCCGTGGGAGTTGTGTCAGATGCGACAAGTATCTTATAAATATGCAAAATTTCGTTGATTTTGTATAAATACTGTTCGATACAAAATAATGTTTCGTTTGTTCTAGCTTGATATTCCGCTAGAGTAGCCTCCACCATTTGCTTTAGAAGCTGCACCAGATGGTTGAAAAACAATGCCTCTGATCCAACGTTAAGACTCCTTACCTGGTCCACAGCTGCAGCAGCGACACCATCTAGGTGTCCCCATTTATTAAGGCTGTCTAACACATTCTTGAGACGGTAAAAGAGGGGCTCATGTAAATAACCGGACATCAGATGGTCCACAGTCATGTAGCGACTAGTGTTGACCAACCCTGCTGCCCCTTGCACACCTGAGGCGGCATCCTGAAGGTACGTCTCTGGCCACATACCGACCAAGTGCAACAGTTCCAGCCGCAGGTGCGGGTTGGGGCACACTTCACGGTCGGAGAACATGGTGAGTACCCACGGTTTCAAGGCAGTAGACTCGAGTGAGGCAAAGTTTATATTGTTGTTCGTCGCCAAGGTCTTTGATAGATTAATAATTTTCCAGATAACGTCCTCCCATTGTTCGGTTATCCTGACTGACATCGTTGCCATACGCGTGGAGAGAGTCAAGGTCCATAAAACTCCAAGCTGGATTTTGCTGTCAAATAATCCCACTGAACCTTTCTGATCCATAATAAAATCACAAAGATTTGCCAGTGACAAGTTCACTGCTCTTGAAATATGGTATGGATTATGTAACGAAGGGAAGTTCCAGACCATAGATATGAGAGATTGTGGGAGTTTTGGAAATGAATTATCGTAAGCTGTGGGAGAATAATTGATAGCGTCCATTGTCTCAGATGCGACAAGTAAGTGATCAAGAAAGATGTTCTAATGCACAACCAAAAGGGTGAATAACTGAGCAAGACTAATGTAGGTGAGATAATATATAGTTTTAGAGGAGAGGTGAGGGTCCCGAGTGAGGTACACGGACACCATCTGGAAGTTAACCATCTTGAAGATGGTTAACTTCCAGTTAAATCAGCAATTTACGCACTTAAAATGACAGTTATATATCCATGTGGTGTTACTGTGTGTATAGTTAACTTTCCTTCGGGAAAGACCTGCATATAGGCATACGAGCTTAGGAATTAAAAACTGCATATATAGCTAATAGGCAAATAAGAACATAAGAACAAAGGTAACTGCAGAAGGACTATTGGCCCATACGAGGCAGCTCCTATTTATAACTACCCAATCCCACTCATATACTTGTCCAACCCGCGCTTGAAACAATCGAGGGACCCCACCTGCACCACGTTACGCGGTAATTGATTCCACAACTCTGTTACTGAACCAGCATTTACCCAAGCCTTTCCTAAATCTAAACTTATCCAAATTATACCCATTGTTTCGTGTTCTGTCTTGTGTTGATACTTTTAATACCCTATTAATATCCCCTCTGTTATGTCCATTCACCCACTTGTAAACCTCTATCATGTCACCCCTAACTCTTCGCCTTTCCAGTGAATGCAACTTAAGCTTTATTAATCTTTCTTCATATGAAAGATTTCTAATTTGGGGAATTAAATTTGTCATCCTATGCTGGACACGTTCAAGTGAATTTATATCCATTCTATAGTACGGCGACCAAAACTGAACTGCATAATCTAAATGGGGCCTAACCAGAGCAAGATATAGCTTAAGAACCTCACTAGGTGTCTTGTTACTAACGCTTCGATTAATAAATCCCAGTGTCCTATTCGCCTTATTACGAACATTCATGCATCGATTAGCAAGGCTTTTGATACAGTGCCACATGAAAGACAGATTAAAAGAGATAGAGGCTTATGCTATTGGGGTGCTATATTAAGTTGGATTAGGCTATACCAAAGGAAACCAAGAGTTAGTATAAATGAACAAAGTGTAAGTTAGTATAAATGGGGTTAAGTCAGACTGGGAAAATGTTGAAAGTGGAGTGCCTCAATTAGGCTATACCAAAGGAAACCAAGAATTAGTATAAATGAACAAAGTGTAAGTTAGTTTAAATGGGGTTAAGTCAGACTGGGAAAATGTTGAAAGTGGAGTGCCTCAATGCTCTTTCCTGGGATCACTGATATTCATAATATATATAAGGGGAAAAGGAAAAAAGATTTAAAACCAAAAAATCAATGCATTAATGTTCATAATAAGGTAAATATGACACTTAGGATTTATTTATCAAAGCGTTATTAATGTCTTGCTCTTAAGAACATATGAATGACGGTAATTGCAGAAGGTCTATTGGCCCAAACGAGCCAGGTCCGATTTATATCCACTCAATCTCATTCATATAAATGTCTAATCTACAAGTGAAACAATCAAGGGATCCTACTTCTATTATGTTATGCTGTAATTGGATCCACAAAACAACCCTGTTACCAAACAAGTATTAAACTAAGAATTCCGAATTACGTTTTCATCATGTCAATCCTGCGCTTGAAATAATCCAGCGACCCTAGTTTCTTATATCAACAATCATACATGACCCTGCAAATTTCCTCACTTGATTATTCATATACGTTTGTGTTAAATAGGTTAAGTAAGGTAATCTGAGGTAACCATTTCATACGTTTTATTGATTGAATTCATTAAATTTACAAAACTCACACAAGTATAAAACATATAATGAGTACAAGTATATAAAATATAATGATGACCAAACCTCATCTCACAAGATGGAGACGCTGCTCCATCCTTTTGTGTGTGGTTTGGTCATCAACAAATTTACTGCTGAGTTGCTAATATTAATCATTGTTGTGGTAAATGTAGACTCACTGTGGCAGAGCCCTGGGAGTGTTTCTCCAGGCAAGAATGTCAGCCTGGAGGTGGGGCAGGCGACTGTAGGAGCCGTGGACAAGAGGGTGCCGCGTGAAGGGGTCGGAGGCCGACTCCAGCAGCAGGCGGACCAGCGTCGACTCGTCTACCACCATCTTGGACGAGTGCAGCATCACCGGCGCCTCCATCACCGCCTGCGTCACGCTGTCTATAAACTCCTCCGGGACCACCTCCGAGGATTCTTCACGCGATACTGAGAACTGCTGGAAAAAGCTGAAATCTGTTGTCTGCGTACTAAGGTGAGAGAACTGTTCTGCGTGATCACGCTTTAGAATATGAGAAACATACATAAATCTGTCCTCTACAGATATTTTTTGGTAAATATCCTTCAAATCAGCGATGAGAGCCTCTGAATACTTGGAACTTTTTCTATTCTTGTGTCGTAATACTGTTACTGCAGAGACTGTGAGAGTAACTAGGAGCGCCGCAGCGGCCTCAGCCAGTCCGGGAACACCATAAGCCGTGGGAGTTGTGTCAACCAACATGTTATGGATATGCAAAATTTCTTTAAACGTTAGTAAATACAACTCTATACAAACAAAGATTTCGCTTATTCCATCTTGATATTTCGCTAGTGTAGCCTCTGTCATTTGCTTTAAAAGCTGCGTCAGTTGGTTGAAAAAGAGTGCTTCAGAT